TGTGCTTGAATGACCTTTGTTAGGTCAGTGTCACTTGTGATGTCCCTTGTGATAAGGTAACCTGCCAACGTTCTGATTTTGCCAGCAGTCATGAAGATTAGCCCGTTTGGTACACGTTGTAGAGAGCCACCAGTCTCTATAGAATAATACCCCACCCAACATGAAGCCACCACTATAAGAAGAAGTCAGAGGAGCAAAATCCATTTTCAGTCACTGAAACATAACTTGCAGTGATTGATGCATTCTTGATCTGTGCTATATACATACGTTCTATATTGAACCATCAATGTATTCATACTTTTGAATGATAAAACAGCAGCTGAAATGGTCCAAACAGGCCAACTTCAGATTGAAATGTTTTTCTTTTCTGTTGGCTTTACTGCCAGATAATCTAATAATGCTCGTTGCATTTGATACAGCGGCTTATCTACCTTTGAGATATCTCAAAGTGCTTCACAGGATATGCTGTAAAGTCTAATGACTGTGTACAGTATTTTTAGGCAAACGTAACAGTCAATATGCGCACAACAATATCCCACAAATAGCAATGAAGTAAATGACCATTTTTATCTGGGGAATTGTTGGCCAGTACTCTGGGAGAAACTACCATCTTTTTTGGACTAGTGCCATGGAATCCTTCATGTCCATGCAACCATGAAGTCAGGACCTTGGTTTAATGTCTCATTCAATGAACAGCACTCTCCCAGATTTGTATTGGAGTGTCAGTCTGGAGTCGAGACTGTGAACTGAAAATCCTGTTGTGGGGATGGAACCGGCAGAGGAAACCTTGGTTTAACATCTCGTCCCAAAGACGGCATCTCCACCAATGCAGCACCCCCACAAAATTGAATACAGTGTTAAATGCATTTCATAAACAAAGCAATTACAGTGGTGGAAATATTTCTACCTGTTAATTGAGTGTGAGTTAAAAGCCAAAGATTTTGTTGTAGATTAGCCGGTGTTGTATTTACAGAAGTGCTGTGATCTCAATACTTGTCAAATTTAGGAAAGCTGTACCTGATTATTTTGTATTTAACATTACAGTAGTGAATATCAATTTTACAATAAAGTTTTAGTTGCATTTGTAATAATCCTGTTACTTTTGCAGCAGCTTTGTGTGTTTTTTTAAGTTATATTCAATAGATTTTTGTTTGCCAGAAGTTTCAGGTGCCCAATTGCAAAACAACCCTCACAATGAAGGTAATTTTGAAGGAATACATGGACTTCCAATTCCCCCACAAACTATACAGTCAATTCACTTTACAGTATATTCTGTGAAGTGCTTTGAGACGTCTCAACGATGTGATACGGCGCTATATCAAATACAAATATTATTACCTTTCTCAAATAACTTAATACCCATTAGCTCTTTTAATTTGACATGATATTCTGGCATAGGCTTAAACTGAAGACAAAACACTATTTCTCTTTTGTTACTTGTAATTTTGCATTTTTTAAACAATGATTTTAAATGCATGTGTGGAATGGAATAATTTATACCATCTTTTGGATAAAAGCTGAAACAGGTATCATATCTGTTCAAAAACTAGGTTTACTGAACTATTTCAGATTGGGGTAGTGCTTTAAAACTACATGATTTGGTATCCTAGAAATAGAGGAGTAAGAATATTTGCATTTGATATAGAGCACAAAACCTCTGAAAGTGCTTCATAGTATACACTATAAAGTGTAGTAGCTATATTTGTAGGCAATGTGGCAGCCAATTTTCACACAGCAATGTCCCATTAAAAGGCATAAAGTAAATGACCAAATTTTACCTGAAGAATTGTTGGCAGGACTCCCTTCTCTTTTCGAATTAATGCTATGGGATCCTTAATGCCCATCCAATGGAACCTTGGTTTAACATCTCCCTTGAACAACAACACAGAGCTGCATTGGGTTGCAATTGAAACATTTTTTTGTTCAAGTGAATTTGGATAGGCACAAAGAGAAATGCATTGATGGGTAATAATTTGCACAAAGGATAGTAGTAGGTGCATGACCATTATTTGTACTGGAGACACAAACTGAAACCCTTTGGTTTCATAACTGTTGGGAGGGTATTTTAAAGTATTTCCCTCATTGGGGTCCCCTTATCTTCATTGATCTTGTGTGGTACATATCAGTAGTTTCGAACCTCACGCAGTCTGATTCACTGAAAAGATGCAAGAAACCTTCAGGTGTTTTTTTTTGATTTCCATCCAGAACTGAAAGCAAATCCTGTTGAATTGATGAAGTTTCCTGTAAGGTGATTCAAGATTGTCTGCCCAGAATAACTTGAATCCAAAATGGTAGTCTGTACTGCAGTTTTCTCATTCAGTGGAGGACATCCATTTGTTAAGAATTCAAGGTGTCCAGAACCTATGTATTTAAGTGATATCAAAGAACCACACCTGTGTGACTCGGGAAGCTGTGTTTTTATATAATATTACGTGTAATGGAGCATGGATTTAACTGTTTAGAACTCACTAAGGAAAATAATTGACAGATTTGGGGGCTCAGTCCCCTTGGTGGTCGAAGAATAGCTTTTTTGAGAAACTGGAAGGGTGTTGGAGAAATTAATAATGAGATAAAGTACCCATTCCCTCTTCAATTTTTTTCTTCCCCTCCCCTAATGGTTCACATTGATGTATGGTTCCACAGGGGTTGATGACCTTCTAGCATCCCAGTAATATATTTATTTTTGACATGTGAACCAATATAACTGTGAACAGTTATACAATGGGAGGGGGAAGGGGGTATCGCAGCCCGCCTCAATTTTATCCTCGCTCAATATAATGCCTTCACATAATGCACTTTCCTGCGCTGGAGACTGGCTGATTCTTTTTATTATGATAATAATAATTTCACTCTGTCATGATTAGCTTTACCAACTGATCTGTCACGAAGAGCTGTAAATTTGAATCTTTGTTCATGGTTTGGGTTTTATTGTTCAAGATCACACTTTTTTACAATCTGCGTGATACGATATCGTGGATTCACAGATGCCATTTTGAGTTGAATTGGCACGCCTTAGTTGGACCTTAGCTTTTGTGACCTTTGCTCTAAATCACATAATGGGGCAATGCTGCGAGTTGTACACACACTATTCATGCTTTCTGTGGCGTTGATTTCATTTGAACTGCTAAGAATAGGCAGAGATAAGGTCAACTTCAGTAAGGTAGCATATGATTGATAATAGTCATGAACAAGAGATTATAAATAGAACGAAGGATGTTTTATGTGAACTCTGAATTTTCACCTTGTTGTTAGAAATCCATGTGTTTGGAAGAGACTTTTCCATGGTTTTATGCATGTGATACCCACACATAACGTGGCAGTACACAGTTTTACATACTGGAGTTTAGTAAACCAGCATGAATTAAATAGGTTTAATGTTATTGTCTACCAACAAAATAACACTGAAATTCAAAAGGAAAACTTGTTTGTATTTATGTGAAATAAGGTAGTGATTTTTAAAAAAGAAACAAACATTTTACTCAATTAAAATTTTTAGGCATGTAAATGTGGAGTGTAAATCTGGTCTGGTATAACTTCTCAAACAAATAATCTCCGTGGTAGATCCAGATCAGTTTTATTATCCTTAAGTAGACCTAGCTATAATTAAATAATTCAAAGAGCTTGCTTTAAAGTACTGTTCTAAATGGGGCAAAGCCGGATATAGTATTTTATGATGCAATGTGACTTTATTGCTCGGTGTCTTAATGCTGCAGGAGACAACTCAGCCTCAGGCCCAAATTGTTGATTGTATATTTTCTTTGTTCTTTCTCCTCTCCCGCTTATCTCCCCATTGTATTTGAAATTATCATTGCCAACACTGGTGGTGTATACTGGGACTAGAGTCTTGCCTGCTTTCTGTAATAAAGTACTTTTCACGCACAAAATACACTATCAATCCAGTTTACACTATATTCTATAAAGCGCTTTGAGACGTCTTGAAGACGTGATAAGGCGCTATATCAAATGCAAGGATTATTATTATTGCTTTGCTGTATGCTGTGCTACATCTAAGAGATTTGTGGGAAGGGGTATAATGTGCTTAGAGATTGTATACAAAGTTGAATGTTAGATATTGTCTAAGCTTTAAACTTGACTCAAAATCCAGACCTGCACAGTGAATGAATTGACAAGCTTGCACTGTAGGTCAGTTTCACTAACTAAGGAGGAATAGCATTTTGATAGCTGTTAGCTATCATTTGTATACAAAATACCAAGACACTACACTTGACAATAATTACTTGTGAAGCACATTAAGATGATATGATAATGTGTCTTAAATGCAAGTTATTTTCTCTTGCTATGGTGACTGCTTTTGTTTTCATTTAACTGCTCGCCCTCCTACGCCATTGATTTCTTCCACTTAAACTGGCTTCATTTTTGCTTCCACCATTCGTGTAACATTCCAGATAAATGTCTACATGCTTTGCCATGTTTTTTTGTGAAAAGGTTCACTTGATTTATTTTAAGTTGGGAATGGGAACAGCACAAGTAGCAGCCCAGGTACATAATAACAGGTAAGCCAGTTGCAGGAGTGGTTGAGAAGTAGAAGTATTGGTCTTTAGTGCTGAGACTTTGGCACTGTAGGGTACATAGGATCACAAAAACTGTAACATACTGAAACAGGTTATTCGGCCCAAGTAGCTTGTGCCAGTATTTATTTATATTCCACACCGTCCTGATCCCTCTTCTTTGGCTTCCCTCAATCTCCTGTTGTTCTATTCTCTCTCATGTATGGCTTTCACTCATGTATGTGAAGAGATTTGGAAATATAACTAGCAAATGAATCCAACTTGCATATGCCACTGTATGAAATATGTTAGACATAGAATTATAGAATATTGCAACTCAACGTAAGGATTGAATTTAAATTGTAACTTGAGGTTGGCAAGGCCATTGTACCACGAGTAGAGTTGATGGTTTTTTGTGGATTTTATAATGTATTTTCCGGTGTGTAAATCTGTTGTATGTTACTGACCACATTTATATATTGTATCTTTCAGGTACATCCGACTGTATGGAAGAAAATTCAGCAAAGAAGATCATGTACTATTTGTTAAACTATTATATGAGTTGGTCATTATGCCCAAACTCGAAATCAGCATGATGCAGGGCTTTGCACGATTATTAATAAGTTTACTCAAGTAAGTTCAGTTATTGGTTGTTATCCTGCCTTTGAACTCAGTTAAGGTGATAAACCAATAAGACATTTTAAGCTATAGATTTCTGTTTTCTTAATTTTTAAGGAAAACAGTAAATAGCAATGTTTCTGTTATTTGAATAGATGTACTACATAATTTCTATTGAATCATAACAAACTCTATAGTATAGGTTTCCATCAACTAGACTGAATGGTCTTTACCTTAAACTCTGTAGTTTTAGGATAACTTTAGTTTTAGGAATTCTGTAGTTACCACAAGTACACGCACAGCTTGTGGTAACTACAGGGTTCCTAAAACTAAAGCTTCACTTCCACTGAGCCCAGAGTAAGAGCAATACAAAACTGCCAATATAGAATTATAAAAGAGTTTACTAAGGTTAACATAAATAGGCTGTTTCCATTGGTTGGGGAATCTGTAACCAAAGGGACACAAATGTAAGACAGTGACTTGGGGATCTAAAAGAGGATTTGGGCGGAACTACTTTTGAGTACAGAGTTGTGTGACGGATATCTAATGTGTTTAGCTAAAATATTGAAACTTCAATGCATATGCTAGAAGTGTTGAAATTAGAAAAGACAGCAACATCAGGAGAACATCCCAAGACGCAACACAATCCAGGATTTGCACCTGAGCTGGGGTGGAGCTGAGTGGGTGAGGGCAGTCACGGGCTTCTTGACTTTAGGAACAAATGTGTCACTTGGAAATTAGGTACGAGTTGGACTGGTTAAAAAAGAAGAGCATGATTACACAATATGAAGATCATCAGAGTATATTAGGAGTTTGATGGACTGCTGCCCACCATCTGAGCACTTAAGTGAAAATATTTCTGGAACTCTAAGTGACATTTAGAAACCAGACATGTGACCGTTTCAACACATGTGCTTTCAAAAACAGGCTGGTGTTGAATTGGGTAAAGCGACTTGTAAAGTTTTGAAAATATCCGAAAATGATTTCTTCCCATCTCCTCAATCTGTGTTTGGGGTTGGTGATGGGTGGGGGATGAGGAGGAAAGTGATACTGCTTTCAAGCCACTTGGGTCACAAACTTGAAATGATGTTGTAATCTGGAACTCACCCCATCAAGGGCATCAAAAAAAGGCTGTAGTCAAACCATGGAGTAAAGATAGTTGATGGTTTTAAATTTCTTGAGCTTTGCTCGTAGGTTTAGAATCTCTGTCAGATAATTCCCTGCAATCCTTCCCAGCTATTCAAGTATTCTGCTTCAATTATTCAGAAGTGTAACACCTCTTTCATTACTTTAGGAAAAAAGAACTTTTATCAAGGGAGGATTTACAGTTGCCGTGGCGCCCACTCTATGAAATGATAGAAAGAATTTTGTACTCCAAGACAGAACATCTAGGCTTAAATTGGTTTCCAAAGTAAGTGGCTGTAACTTTTTCCTATGCTGATGTGTTTTTGGATTAGAATTTTGCAAGACATTTTTGTAATATTTATTTACTTATGCTACTTTCTAGATCTCCCCTAGGCTGGACAATACACATATGTCTGGCAAGCAGGCAACTTTAAAGTGTGACTTTGTTTTAATTGCTCTCTCTCTCTCTCTCTCTCTCTGTTCCTGAACTTTTCTCCTCCCACTCCAATTGGCGAATTAAACCGAATTTTAAAATGCTATGCTGCTTCAGAGGAAAATGCACAGGTTGCACACTCTAAGCCACACATAAGTAGAACGTCTCTAGTTGGTTTCTGTTCTATGTCACTCTTGATTGGGGTGATGGTGGTGTGATACAGTTGGCCTTCGTATAAGGTCAGAGCTCGTGTTTCCAATTGCTTTCCAGTGTTTCTTCCTGGCAGCATGCATGGGTGTCAGTTGGGTTAAGATAGGATTGAGCTTGTTAATGATGCCGATGTACCATAATATGCAGTGATGATGCACTATGTATACAAAATGACAACACACCACTGCTATGAACCTGTAAGCTGTTTGTTTCCAAAAACTACATAAGAATTCACAAAAACGAAAAACTAAACGTAGGTAATCATAAATTAGCAAACTTTTGCTAAATGGTTGTTGTTAAAATACTGATTAAGAGCTCATTCATTTCAGCAACAACCACTGTTTCTGTTTATGCATTTGGAACATTTCTCTATTGGTTGCACATACATAATTTAAGATGGAAAATCTGTGTTTGGATGGTTTCGGAAGGTGCTTTCATCATAGGTAAAACCTGGCTTAGCACAAACTGTTATAAAACAAAATGTCCCATCTGCTTATTTTGTTCCTTGATCTTTGCAAATGATTATACAAAATTGCGGCTGTTGATATGCAGTGCGATGTGTTCTCAATGGTGTTTTGGGAACATTGTGTTTTAATTTATACTGTTCAATTCACATTTCAATAATACACTTCCTATATATATATATATTTTAAAAAAACTGGGCGACAAGCAATTACTGCTGTGTGAGCTCCACTTATATGTCAAAGTCCGCTTTGCGGTCCTGTAAAGTGTCAAAACTTTTTTTTAAACTGTTTATACACCAGTGTAAAACTTTCTGTTTATTTCTGTGCCCTGTTTGACCTATTTCTCTTTATTTATTATTCAGTTCGTTCCGACAAGGCGTTTCTTCCCCTAAATCGTTTGTGCTTAATGTTTTACATAGGTGGTAAGGAAGATGTTTATACATTTGCCCAATCTTTATAGATATATTTGCATGTTTTTTTAATGTGGCGCTCATCACAGAGGTGTAACATTTTTGTCAAAATTGCATCTTTTCTTCTGCATTTGTTTCATTAAAAGCAAAATGTTAACATTACACCACTATCTTGAGAATGTCGCACTGTATTTAAATTTTGCCATCACACAAAAGCATATTTGGTGTGAATTTTGCTACTGTTAGCTAACCTTTAAACTCCTTTCTTTGAAGGTTTGGGGCTGCCACCTGCACAAAAGCCTAATATAAAAAGCTAATAATACAGTGGAGCACTGTTAATAGGGATAATTGGAGTTCATATTTGGCCATTTATCATTTTCCTAGAAATGTTCTTGCAGGAAGCGCCCAACTAAAGAGAACTTGTACAAAAGAAAAGATTTAATACTACGGTTCAGTGAATGTTTTAACCAGCAGACATTGCCTCTGTAATGGACTACAGTAAACTCTATGAATTGTTCATTCATAGGTAATGCATTTCTTGGCTCATACCAGTTTGTCGAATGTCACTGCAGACATTCAAGAGCACTTGTAGGAAAATAATAGATGGTGATCTGATACTCGTACATGTAGTACTTCTGGGGCAATGAACATTGGCATTGAATGAGGTTTTTGTGTCACTGAGAAGTTTAACTGGTGAATTGAAATCAGATGGTGCTCCACTGTACTGTGGTAAAGGGTATACCATGGGAAACGGCTTGTAAAATGTTTGAAAATGAAGATCTGCTCTATCCAAGCATGCAGAAAATTGGGGGAGGGTGAAAAGAACTTCATTCTGTCACTTCACAGTTTTTTATTACCAAATCCGCCAAATAAAATTGGTCACTCATGCCATGGCTGTTTGTGGGACACTGCTGTGTGCAAACTGGCTGCTGCGTTTCACCCGCAAAATGCACACTTTATAGCATATCCTGTGAAACGCTTTGAGACGTCTTCATGATGCGAAAAGGCGCTATATCAAATACAAGGATTATTATTATAGTAACGTGGCAGTTGCTTTACAGAGATACACATATTACAATACTTACAATATTGTGGTCTCTAATGTCAGGAAGGAAAAGACCAAAAGTGGAAACGTTTAATTTATGAAACTAACTCCACCTAATGTAAATGGGATAAATGAAAGAGATGGCATTGTAGTCTAAAACCTTTGAATACAGTATTTGGTACATTTTATTTCCTTTGGACTCTAGGGGAGGTGAGAGGTAAAATAAATTGTTAAGGAAGATGGTTCGCAGTATAATCTTGATGATTAGCTATGTACGAAAGTAACAGATTAAGTTGTGCATGCACACAGGTGGTGTCTAATTGCATTAGTGTTGACATTTAACACTTTAATGGATTACCTGTACTGATTATTAAAAAATGTTGTTTGTTCCCTCTGAATCTGATGTATCAGAATGTACTAACTATTTTTTTTTCCCTTTTAAGTTCTATAGAAAATGTGTTGAAGACACTGGTGAAGTGCTGCCGACCGTAAGTACAGACGTTCTTATATTATTTTAGGAATTTTCAAAGCCAGTTTTAAGTGGCTTGGCTTTGTTCACTTACTGCAGTTTTAAAGGTTTGACTTTGGTTTCCCAAAGCATTTTCTCCAAATGTTAGCTTTAGAAATCTGTAATATTAGCAATTAGTCAACATTTACCATGTTATCCCACATTTTGGAACTCCCTCCATCTTCCCTCCACCCTGTCCCCTCTCTATCTGCCATTAATTGTTGTGTGCAATTGGCTGACGTTGTTCAGAATGTCTGAGTTAAATTATTTTCAAAGGCAATTGATCAACTAATTTTAGCCTGATGTAGGGAAATCCCGATTAACACAATTTTCGTTTTAGAAATCAATATTGCGTTGAATTTGGCTTGGGTTATGCAAAGATTCAAGAAGCTGTAATCAAAATCAGAAGCTATTAAAATCTAAAAATAAGTAAATTGGTGGGGTCAAAAGTTTAGTTTATTTGTGCCTCTATCTATAGATAGATTGCAATGACTGGCAAATCCTCACTGAGCACTGTTTTAATACACTGAAGAGGGGGTTGGGTGACCTTAAGCACTGTTGACAACGAAAGTTGTCAGGTGCGATCTGAAGACTGAAAAGGACGGGGCAAGTGTAACAGGCCCCAATGGTGGAGCAGAGAGGTTGAGGGACACGCAGTAGGGTTGAGATGGCTGAGTGAAAAGGGTGCCTTGACAACTAGGGTGTGAGCATGTGGAGAAGAAGGGAGGAAGCCATGAATTATGCCTTTACTTTTGACCTGTGATAAAATGTTTATTCACTGTCCACTCTAGACTTAAGATCAGAAGAGGGAAGATGAGCAAATAGTTCAGATTTAATTATTTTACGCAGGGATTGATGAATTGTAGAATGGACTACCTATGGAGACAGCGGAGGCAGATTGTGTCAGCAAATTCAAGAGGGCATTAGATAGCTATTTGCAAAATAATTCATTTGAGGGTTAGAGTGGTATAGGATTGTGATTGTGTTTTTAATTTTTGGTGGCTGATCCCCCCCAGTTGCACCACTTCCCCCTGATGACCCAACAGCAGATATTAGAAATGTTGAGTTGAGAACTCTATTTAACCTTTTTGGTGCTGTTTTGTGTTCCCACAGATTATTATTTTGTCTTGCTCTTTTTCTTGTAATCGCTCTGTAACTAATGTTTCCTGCTTTAATAAAAATGTAGTTGATAGATAGGAATGCCGGAAAAATATGATGTTGCATTAATTCATTTTTGCTTATATTAAAGCAATACAATTTTATTTGCTAAGTATTTAAACCTCTGAGAATTTCAGAATGGAATAGGTAAGGAATGTTGAGCAGAGTGAATTTACTTGGATGAATTTGCAGTGCTTAGATTTCATTGAACAACCTCTGCAGTTGTATTTTTTTTAAAACAAAATAAAAGTAAACTGTGAAGGATTCAGGAATGCATTCAGCCGAATTCTTTCAATATGGTTGTGCAAAACGTTGAGGCAACAAGAGAATCTTTTAATGTTGAGTACTTTCATGGCTTTTTTTTAAAAAAAGAACTCTGGAGAGATAATGTTAGATCGATGAGTCAGTTGTCTTATAGAGATGACTGCTGTGCTCTGCAGTTATCCCCTCCGCCTTGTCCTTGGCTTATTTCAATGCTGAATCAGAGACTGAACTAGTCATTTGGCTTAGCCTAGCAATATCTATGGCTCTATAAACACTATCTATAATGCAAAGTTTTTATCTTGGGTAAATATAATACATTTTATTGCATTTTATTGTATTTGATATTATTCTATAACGTCGCATAACATGCTATTAATAATAAGATCCTGGCAATTGTAATATTAATAGCAACGACCAACCTTCATTTCCCACATTCTTCCTTCAGATTAAGCACTTGACCTTCAGAATCAAATTTGATGCTAGGCCCCAGGCGGCTTGTGTTAACACATGTTGATGCTGCTTGGTTGTTCAAGGGAATATACGCTTGCTTTATAATAAGGTTAGAGTCAAGAGGGCCCTTCTCAAGCAAGATTTGTTAAGTGCAAGACAGCTTGACTGAGAATTGGTGAAACTTACCCACAGCTGATGGATTTGTGAATTAGACACTTGTGTGCAGTGTTTGTGCTCTTTACAGGTCAGAATGCTTCAGAACCAGTTATGCAAAAGTTTGAGGCCGATGGCACCAAAATCCATCCCTGTTTAGATTGCAGTGTGGAATGCTATCACCACTAATATCAACGTATAATGAGTATAATGAGTTGCAATTCTTTATTCTTCAACCTCTGACAAATTCTCAGGAAGCAAGTTGAGTGCTCAGCCTGGTTCTGGAAAAAGACCGAGGTTGGGGGGGTTGCGAGAGGAAGAGGAGGACAGTACATCATGTGGCAGTGAATTGTTTACTTGCTGTGTCCACTGTTGGAAATAGCAGTATTTTGTTTTATCTTTTTGTGTTTGTTTGGGTGGGGTTTATGTGACTTTTTTTTATTTCTGCCCATACTGCTTGTACTCTTCAGAGTTCTTCACTCTCATGAACCATGAAAGTAACCTGTTAATTTTAAGCATATGGGGTCCTTATTTAAGAGCAAGCCTCCGACAAGCAATCCTCCTCTAGTAATGAATCTGTAGTTATGCTTTCTGCTCGAATGCCAAATTCTGATCCCTATACAAGAAGGAGAGGTTAAAGAATGTTCTTAAGAAACATATTAGAAAAAAGATTGTTTCAGCAAAGTAAATATCAACATGCTGTATAATTTTCAGCTACATTGATCATCCTACTTGAACTGACAGATTTACCATCCGTAACATCGCCCGACTCCGCCACTACCTCACCCCTCAGGCCGCTGAAACTCTTGTTCATGCTTTCATCACCTCCAGGCTCAACTATGCAAACGCACTGCTTGTCGGCCTTCCCAACTCCTCCCTCCACAGGCTGCAGATAATCCAGAACTCTGCAGCCCGTGTCCTCTCCCGCACCAAACTCCGTGACCCCATTTCCTCCATTCTCGCCCGACTCCATTGGCTTCCTATCCTTCAGAGGATCCAGTTCAAGATCCTGGTCCTCACCTACAAAGCCCTCCATGGCCTCGCCCCACCCTACCTCTGCGACCTCCTAACCCCTTACCAACCCGCCCGTTCCCTCCGCTCAGCCGGCTCCAGCCTGTTCCATGTCCCCCAACCCACCCGCCCCACCATTGGTGGGAGAGCCTTCAGCCACTCTGCCCTCAACCTCTGGAATTCCATCCCCCAATCACTCTACCTCACCCCCTCCTTAGCCTCCTTCAAGTCCCGCCTCAAAACCTTCCTCTTCGACCATGCCATCAGCCACCCCCCTTCCCCTCCCCTCCCTTCTCCCCCCCCTAACCCCAGCTTGGGTCTGAAATGCTGTACACTGTCCAGCACCTTGGTTTGTCCTCCCGATGTAAAAAGCGCTATATCAAATGCAAGGATTATTAATATTATTAAGGCGCTACGCAAATGTAATCTGTTGTTGTTGCCTGTGTATGTTCTTGTTGCCATATAAAATTGAATCATACAAATGATTCAGCCTTATTGAAAGAGCTGCTATGTAACATAGCACACTTTCCTTGTGTGTAGCATGCATATTTTTGGGTATCATTTGAAATGTGCTGTTGGAAAACAGTTTTTTTTAAATGTTTGCTAAATGGAAGCGGTTTTTGTGCCCAGGTATTTTCCAGATAATGCCACGGCAGAGATGTTAGATGAATGGCGGCCATTAATGTGTCCTTTTGATGTCACCATGCAAAAGGCGATTAGCTACTTTGAAATGTTTCTTCCTACCTCCCTTCCTCCACATCTGCATCATAAAGGATTCAAGTTAGTATACTGTGTAGATTATGTTAGACCGCACAGCACAATTTTTTAAAATTTGTTATTTTTAAAAAAAAAGATAGTTTACGCTTCTCTTTCACACTCACTATTTCCCGGCTGATCTGCTCTTAGGCCTTTGTTCTGAAACTGGCCATCGATGATCAAGCCATTGCTTTTCCTCCTTCCTGTGGTTAGTGCTGAGCTTTTGACAGACAATTCGTTCTGATTGACTTAGACTGAGTATTTCATGTGTGCAGAATCAGTTGGATTCTATCACTGTGCTGCATCACCTAGTTAATGTTTTCAGTTCTAAACAAAAATATTGGAACAATTGTACAATTGTTTTTTAAATGTATACTCTTTTTTAAGAAAAAGTACACACACTTGGTTTTCTGCTGTTGCAATAGTAAACAAGTATGCTTTTATTAGTGGATGAGGTGTGCGGAAAGAATTGTTGGTACCTCAGTAATTCTGCACCACAACCAAAAGTAGAATGTGATTGGAATGTTTCCCTGAGAAGTATATTGTGAATTACTTTATGGTTATATATGGGGCTGGATTGCATTAAGCAATCATTAGAAATAGCAACGTATGTATCTTTTTAAAAGTTGTAAGATTAAAGTGTACTTGCCAAAAAAGTTGGAGGGGATTTTCTTAGAAGGGAAAGAAAGAAGTGAGAGAATCTTGGAGTAGATTGGATCTGCTGGATGAGCAAATTGCATAGCAGGCAAATGTGAAAAGCCACCGTGCTTAGCTCCAGTTAAGATGTGGCATCCTATTACCATGGAAAATATAGCTGTCCCAATTCATATATCAAAATCAAGTCAGTGTTCCAATACATTTCTGAGAAGAATGAATGTTTCGGCTAACAGCAATATTCAGCTGTCACATTTACACTTTAAAATCCATTTAGTTGAGTGCAATGTTGTTTAAATCTTGAGGATGAGTTCAAATGTACAGTAATTAATTGATCAAGATAGTTTTGTGAAAAGAGTTGTATATCACATGTTTATAAAATATGAAACATCTAGCTTGATTTATTTGCAGGCCTCATGTTTTGACTTTCCTTTTCGGTTTTCCGCAGGCTGTGGTTTGATGAATTCATAAGCCTTTATGTTACAGTGCAGAACCTCCCACAGTGGGAAGGGGTAAGCCTCTCATTTTCTAGACCAAAGGATCAGAAGCAACCGATTCGCAGAATAAATAAATGTTGCTAAATTAATGGTTTTGCAAAATTAAAACATGGCTTTTTATGTTAAACTACTAATTTACTCTTGCAAAAATAGAAAGGAAATTATAAAAGATTGCTGCTGTCATTTTCAATCTGTACCATCTAGTATAAAATATTAGGAAAAATCATTAGCTTGTTTGGTGTCCTATAAAATTCCAGAAGATACATTTTTATTTTTCTTAAAAAAAATTCTTGCCAATATTTCCTGCATGCTTTGCAAAGAGATTTTGGGGCATTAAGAAGACCTCTATTACTACAAGCTGAAATATGTTTATGAAAATTACAGTTGAACTTCAGTTCATTTTTTCTATTTGTTGACAGATTCTAGTAAACCTGTTTGCACGTTTGGCTATGGATACCATTGGGTACATAGATTGGGACGAATACATCCCAAAGGTAAAATACATTATTTTTGACAACAATAACTAGGTGTCTCTGAGATGTGAAGTTTTGAGTTGATAATCCTGGAAAATACTTTCATGATGTATTTTAACTACTCAAATAAGCCACTAATTTTCATACTGTAATAAATATTTGATGGCTTCGGAGATGCTTTGATCACAAATGATCAACTAACTACGAAAAGAAAATCGCTTCTTGAATGAGATTAATAACCAACATTAAAGTGATGAATACGATAGGAGCTTTAGCAGGTCATTAACTAGGGGTGGAGGGGGAGGGAGAGAAAGAGAGAAAGAGAGAGGAGGAGGCAAGAAAATAGAACTGAGTCTTCTCTTGTTCTCACTTTGCATCCATGCATGCACTCTTCCAGTTCTCCAGTTGGAGATCACTGGATAGGGATTGAGAGCAGATCCTTTGCTGGTTGATTTCCTCTCTTCCCCTATGTGTGGAGGTGGTGAGGGACTTTTAGTACCCTACTCTTCAGCTGATTGACTTAGTCATATTTAGAACTCTGTGTCATATGGTTGAACGTCCAAATCATTGTCCCATCAGTTTCAGCTGAAATTGTGCTGTTTTTTTGCAGTACTTGCATTTATCCACAGTTATTATAATAAATAACATACTGATTTTGCTATTTCTTGATAACTGTAGAAAAACTGTTGATTATCACACAGTGAATGCACAGTGATTAATATTACAATTATTACTGCTTTAGCTAGGACACCATCCTGCACCAGTGGTCAAAACTCTTTATCATATCAATAGGCTTTATTACACAAAAAGCCTGAAACCCAATAAAACTCCACAGTAGATGTTTTTAAAAAAACACACAATGTTTACAAGTGATTTCAAGGCTATATTCTTGTGTTGAGTTCCATCAGTAAACTAAGTGGGCTTTTATCTGCTAACACAGTTTGATGTCATCCAGACTCTTAAGATTGCTGTCCTGTAATCACTCCTAGGGATCTTCAATTCTGTATATGTTTCCAAGGCACTAAGTAACTTATATAAGTCTGGTTGTGGAGTCCTGTAGCTCAGTGGTTAGAGCACTCGCTTTGCAAGTGAGAGACCTGAGTTCAATTCCAGGCAGAGGGCGAAACCTTGGGCAAGTTTCCTTACTCCACACGCCTAATAATAATCCCTCCAAAAACCCAAAACAATAATTAAATTGGTCATTTTCAATCTACGACTGTTTGTGGGACATTGCTGTGCGCAATTGGCTGCCGCGTTCGCCCATAAATATGCAGTCAATTCACTTTACAGTGTGTTCTGTGAAGCGCTTTGGGACGTCCTCCCGACGTGAAAAGCACTAAATCAAATGCAAGGATTATTATTATTATAGTTATTTTAAAAGTTGCTAGCAGCTTGCAGGTTTCTAGATTTTACTTCTTAATTAATTTTACTTAATTAGAATATGAGAAGAATAAAGTTGTGTGTTTAATGTAATGGCAGCATTACTAATACCTTCATTTTTGCAGGTTTTCACCAGGTTCCTTAGAAGTTTGAATCTGCCAGTCGGAAGCAGCCAGGTCTTAGTTCCCAGATACTCAACAAATGCTTATGAAATCAGCCATGTGGTGCTGTGGATTGCCTCCATGCTGGTTAGTAAATTATTGATGGATCTTGCATGACTTCAATAACAAGTGACTTGTGCTTTTTTGAGAAATACAAGCAAGTGTTAGCACTTTTACTGTTTTAAGCTTCATGGTATTTTGCATCTTGTTGCGAAATGTAAAATTATTGAAGAATACCTATTCTGAAACTTTTAATTTAATAGGGTGGCCCAAGTAAACTGGCACAGAAACATCTGAACGGGTTGTTCAATAGCATTGCATCATTCTTCCATCCTTCTAACAACGGGAGATGGCTGGTGAGTACTGTTGGTCTTACTGTCTTGAACTGTCTAATAAGAATGGAATCATGAGCAGCAGTATTTATTCAGAGTAAATGCAAAAGAACCCTGTAACAACTTGTTGTTTTGGATCCACAAAATGCAACATTGGTTATCATGGGGCACAAAGCCAAAATGGCAACTATCAAGTTACTTCCTGTGTACTATGTTTACTGAAAAATGGCTGCTGTTGACATCGTTTCCTGTGCACTGTGCATTCACACTGGATTCCTGTGCTAAAAGTGGCTGACTTTCAGGTTGTTGGGTCACTCCGAGGTCACGTTTTGACCGTGGTACTGTGTCCTATGCACAAATGCTTTCCACATATGTAGCACATACAGCCGCGACCTGACAAAATCAACTGCAGATGCACAGGGCACTTCATAACAGGATTCTTCTGTAAAGTGTTCTGTGTGTGTAGCCCGGAGCTTGTTGTTTTGGTGAATAGTTTCCAACTAGTAGTTAATGCAAAAGCTGATGCTAATACATGGCATATCAACTGCAATACAGTGAGGATACAGGGAGGAGGAATAGATTGTAAGACAATAAAATGACACTCGGGAGAAAATGGAAAAATGGCCACTGAAAATATCAGTGAAATAGGGAAAGGCAAGAAAACTTGCAACAGAGAATAATGTTGAAGTATAGACACGAGACAAGTGTTCCCTAAAGTGAAAATGAAACCGAATCAAATGATCATTTCATTGTAATGAAAAAAAAGAGGATGGCAAAAAGCATTGATAGGAAAGTTAAACATTTAATCATGAAATTGAGGATGAGAACAGGTCTTTAAATGATAACCAGTGAGTTCACTTATGATTTAAGGACTATTGTAGTGTTGTCAAACACACACGTCCTATAGATGTGCTAGGGAACAGGTTTGGATGACATTTGACCAGTAAAGATTTACTTATATTTTAACCTATTAACTATAGAGTATATGTGTATTGTATCAACCTCATGAGAAACACATGTTGAAGAACAGTTCAGCATGTACTTACTGTCAATTAGCTGATCAGAAAAAGTTCTGATTGATCAAAAGAATATTCCAGGATGGAAACTCAGATTAAGGTGATCTGGGTTTTCAGGAATGTATGTGTTTTATCCTGTTGAAAATGGTGTGGTCATATTTTGTGGTTTTTTAAACAGTAAGGTATAGCCCAATTTTTAGAAATACTGACCTACAAAAGAACGTCGCATTCACTGTAACATTTTTGATGATTTAGGGAATAGACAGCTTAATCTCTATACCTTACTCCAATCCCAGTGTAACTACTTGGGAAGTTGTCATAGGTATACTTGACTGGGTTTGTGAATGTAACCTTTTTTATGTACTTAAAGCTTTGATTCACTTATATTTTCCTGCTTCCTCTTTCCAGTGGCTGGATCAGGAGTTCACTGTCCTGTTTATTTTTCACAGATGAAACTGATGAAGTTGTTACAGAGGTTGCCTTCCAGTGTGGTGAGAAGACTTTATCGCGAACGTTACAGAAAACCATCCTGGCTGAATACAGTACCCGACAGTCACAAGTTGACTGACCAGGATGTTACTGATTTTGTGGAGAGTATCAAGCAGCCTGTTCTGCTAGCTATGTTCAGTAAGACAGGCAGTCTGGAGGCTGCTCAGGCCCTCCAGAACCTTGCGTTGATGCGCCCAGAGCTTGTCATCCCTCCAGTACTTGAAAAGTAAGTTGTAGTGAGATGCTTCTTTTTCTGAATCAATAGTTGACTTGCATCACATGGATTGAAGTCAGTGATTTTTGTAGCCCCATTGCAGAGTTATGAAGGATTCAAATTTGGGTATGATCACGTTAAATTCATTTTAAAAGTTCCAATTAACAACAACAACAACAACAAGATTCCATGTATAAAGCGCCTTTCACGTCAGGAGGACGTCCCAAGGCGCTGCACAGTTGGGTCATGACCCGAACAGGGGGGAAATGGTCAGGGTGAGGGGAGGGAAGGGAGGGAGCGAGGAGGGGGGAAATGGTCAGGGTGAGGGGAGGGAAGGGAGGGAGCGAGGAGGGGGGAAATGGTCAGGGTGAGGTGAGGGGAGGGAAGGGAGGGAGCAAGGAGGGGGGAAATGGTCAGGGTGAGGGGAGGGAAGGGACGGAGCGAGGAGGGGTAAGAGAATTGAGAGGGGAGCTGAAGGCACGGTCAAAGAGAAAGGTTTTGAGACCGGCCTTGAAGGAGGAAAGGGAGGAGGCAAGGCGAAGGCACTGGCGGATGGAGTTCCAGAGCCTCGGGGCTGAGAGGCTGAAGGCCCGACCACCGATGGTAGGGCGGTTGGGGCGGGGGACGTGGAGCAGACCGGAGCCAGAGGAACGGAGGGTACGGGCAGGTAGGTAGGGGGATAGTAGGTTGGAGAGGTAGGAGGGAGCGAGGCCGTGAATGGCCTTGTAGGTGAGGATGAGGATCTTGAAATCAATCCTCTGGGGATGGGGAGCCAGTGGAGGCGAGCGAGGGTGGGAGTGATGTGGTCCCGAAGCCTGGTGCGGGACAGTACACGAGCTGCAGAGTTCTGAATGACCTGCAGCTTGTGGAGGGAGGTGGCGGGAAGGCTGGCGAAGAGAGAGTTCCCGTAGTCCAGCCTTGAGGTGACAAAGGTGTGAACCAGGGTTTCAGCAGCGTGAGGGGTGAGGTAATGCCGTAGTCTGGCGATGTTCCGGAGGTGATGGAAGGCGGTGCCAGTTGTGGTGCGGATGTGAGGGAGAAAGGACAGCTCAGGGTCGAACAATTAAGATATTGACTAATGAACCACCTCGCAGAGTGCTACAAGAAAGCATTGAGCTTCTTGATTTCGCCACATAAATTCTAACTCCCAACCAGACTATAGAGAGGAAACCATAAGGTATTTTATTATCATGCGAAAAACAAAGAGTTTTCATCAGGCAACCTTTCCTCCTGTATGGTATCATTCTAAATGGCCAGTTGCAAGTTAGTATTAGTAGAGAGCTGTCAGCAGTTCATCTGCTGACCTATCGGGTCCTAAAGATGGGTATAGGTGTAGGGAAAGATTGGAGAGCAGAATTAGCCCCAGTTAGGTAGTCTTATCTGTAAATGTTATTTATTTGTATTTGGTACTTAAAATACTAGAAGTCTAAACTTCTGTTTCACTGTATTATTGAAGTTCAGTTTTATATAAAGCTTTCACCCTATTTTTCCTTGATTTTCAGAACATATCCTGCTTTAGAGACACTCATAGAACCACACCAACTTACTGCAACACTGAGCTGCATGATAGGAGTTGCACGTAGTCTGGTCTCTGGAGGGAAGTGGTTCCCAGAAGGTCCAACACACATGCTACCTCTGTTAATGAGAGCGTTGCCTGGAGTGGACCCGAATGATTTCAGCAAGTGCATGGTATGTTCCTGCTAAATTCCTAAGCCATCTGTGGTACTGAAATTGAACCTTCTAAATAATATATGCACTTCATTTTTATATATATATACATAATATATATAGAAAGAATAGTTACACCATGTTGTTGAGACTTAAATAAAGTTTGGTTATGAAATCTGATCGCTTTCAATGTCAGTGACAGATTAAATATAGCATGGGTTTCAGCAAAGCTACTCTGACCAACAGTGTGGTTATATGATACAGACCTTCTCCTGTTGTGTTTTTTTATTACTCACTGCACTAATCTTGAGTGGGATGGTACTGACTTGGACTTCATGTAAGTGAGTTCAGGTGATGGAGAGACTAGAGATTCTTTAACACCATCAGTCTATAGTGGATTCAACCCCCAGTCAACCCAGTTCCCAACCACTTTTGGGTTGTACTGACACAAATCATTAATAAATTATATTAATTTGTTAGTACTCTATATAGTTATTATGTGACTGTGGTTATAACTACTTCTCTGCATATATTAATAATCATTTAAAAAATCTTTCCATATAGATTACATTCCAGTTTATAGCTACATTTTCTACTCTGGTGCCTTTGGTAGACTGTTCATCTGTCTTGCAAGAAAGAAATGACCTCACAGAGGTAAGTCAGCTTAATAAGTGCCAAATGTAATTTTCTTTTAACACCAATTATGATTGAAACTAATACTCTTAAGAAGACACAAAGAATAATTGTGAACTTTACCCCATCTATATGGAAGTTTCTTTGGAAAAGCAATTTTTAAACTTTGTTAAGTGTTTAATTTTGTTATCCATAGAACCATAGAAATGTACTACACAGAAGAAGGCCATTCGGCCCATCGTGTCTGTGTTGGCTCCCTTAAGAGCGATCCTTTCAGTCCCATTTACCTGCCTTTTTCCCCATACCCCAGTAGCTATCTCTTTATAAGGTATTCAGAATTTTTTTTTTACCCAGTTGATCAAAGTGATTACGAGCATTGTTCAAGAGACAACAAACCTTGAGTTAGATTAGAAGTATTTTGCCCTGGAGATATAAGATATGTGGAACAGACTTCCAGGAAAAATAAGAAAAAATCATTGTTAGTTAATTGGTTCTTTTAAAACAAAGCTGTGAATCGATATGGGTTGAGAAAAGGGATTGAGGCTTCAGAGAGATGATGATACTTCTAGATTGCCATGGAAAGTATAAGATCCTCCTAAAGGCTCAGATTTGCATTTTAAGTGCATTATGACTTCCTTAGTTGGGGAGCATAGCATCAATTCAGTCAGCACTACAGAAATTACTTTTACATTGTGGGAGTCTGGCACTGGTTTGGATAGGTTAGTTTTGTGGCTGCATTGACTCAGACGAGGAATGAGCATTAGGCCTGCTTTTGTGTGGATCTGCATTGAAACGGAGTAGAACATGTATAATTCAGCTGATGTTGCATTGAAAAATAACAGTTAAATTGTTGTATTTGGCTGATTTAAATGTGAACTACTGTCAACCATTAAATAAAAGGTCGAAATGCAACTTTATGATAAATAAGCAGACTGCATGTTTTTTTAAGGCAAACTTTTTCCTGTTTTTGTCTTTTTTTCTATTAACTCTGACCTTTAAGATTTAAGATGGTTTTCATCTTTTGACAAATGTAACTACAATTGACCTATTCTATTTCAGGTCGAGCGGGAACTTTGCTCAGCCACAGCAGAATTTGAAGATTTTGTACTTCAGTTCATGGATAGGTTAGTTTTGTGGCCGCATTGACTTAAGTTGAGAAATAAAACTGTTATTTCAATAAAATACAGTGTTAAAGGAAACATCTTAGAACCATAGAAATTTACTGCACAGAAGAAGGCCAATTCGGCCCATTGTGTCTGCTGATTCTAAAGTGCAATCCTTTCAGTCTCATTTACCTTTCTTTCCTTACACTCATCTTGTTGAATAGACCTTCAAAAAAAACAGTTAACAGTGTGTGTTAATGTAAGTTCTTTAAAACGCTAGATTCAAGGCTATAAGGATAAGTAGGGACAAAGATGATTAATGCCCGATGAATTTCATTCAGTGAAAGCACTATCTGCTATGCAAGTATAACGTTTCTATTTCTTACTCGTTTTGGCATTGTGACTTGTCTAAGTAAGATTGGCAGTCAAAATTGGAAGAGTGTTGTGTTGTGAACCACTAGCACATGGGTTGAGACCACCCAAGCTTGCTTGCAGTTATCAGTCAGAGGAGAACATCATTGCGTCATTTCAGGGTTGGATTTAAACTCTGGTCCAAGATTGAAAGTGCTTTTCACCAGCCAAGATTAGGAGGGTGGCTGCTTTCTGCTATCATCAGAAATATTTCACAGATCTTAGAACAGGATTTCCACTGTAAACCTTTTTAATAAGAAAATTGCTTAAAAATATTGAATAATATATTCATTAAGATACATAAATGACTTGCATGAAATGGTGGTACACCTCACCATTTCAGGTATTCTGGTGATTTAAATAGTGATTCTATATATTGATTGATCATCTTAAAAAAAGTACTAAAATAAAGAAGTCAAACCAAATTGGAATATAATTTGCATAATGAATATTAAAAATGTTTTGTTTATTAAAGAGAGATATTGTGTTCTCAAGAAAGCAAAGTGCTGCAGCTACAATGTTAGGAAAAATGCTGAAGTTTGGGATGTAATTTAATAATGCAGTTCTCAAAGGAGTCTGTTGTTACAATTGAAGTCTGCCTTGCTACTATAGGTTAACAAAAGTGAATCTGCCTTATGCCTTAAGTATTTTCCTGTTGAACATATTGGGGAAAGTGAATCTAATTCTTTTCAGTAACCTGTAAGAGAGGTAGGGAACTTAATGTCTGGTTGCTCAGTATGTTTATATTTTGGGTTTGTTTGCCCCAGGTGTTTTGCTCTGATAGAAAGTAGTACACTGGAACAGACCAGGGAGGAGACTGAAACTGAAAAGATGACACACATAGAAAGCCTGGTAGAGCTGGGACTGTCTTCAACCTTCAGCACTGTCCTCACACAGTGTTCCAAAGACATTTTTCAGGTAGGTGTTAATGTTGTCAACTTGTCCTGCAGATTAGGGTTAGCTGTAACCACACAGTTTCTGGATGGGACCATTACAAAATGGTTTGTAACATGTTCTTCTTGGAAAAAAAGAAGTTACAGTTCAATTTAATTAGTGTGTGTGCAGACATCACTTCATTGCCATAATTGTAGTTACAATTCGAAGTTTTACAGATATCAAAATCTTGGCAATGAGTTTGTAAATTCTATCCTACTGTTTACAGTTCTAGCCCTTTAGGAATCACAGTGAATCCAAGCTCAAATAGATTGTGGATTTTGTTTTCCTTCTAAAGGCTTATAGTTCAAATCATTTCGATTTACTGTATTCATTAGGAACTGTTGTATTAACTGTGTATGTGTATGGTTAGATGATGCATGAAAAATAAAGATTGGATTTGTAAGTCATCAAGTATAAACTGCTATTCTAAAGACTCTGAGACAGCAGCAAGAAGGAATTTCAAAACTGCAGGTGACTCTGAAAATTGCACTAGAATTTTAATTGTGTACTGTTTAGTAAGGATTATTCCAACTTTACCATAGTGTAAAAATGGTTTCCTAGAGCAGACAGGCAGGAGAGGGAAAGAGGGGAAAGGAATGACAAACAATTGGAACGTTTATTTCAGGCAACTGAATAATTGCACAACCCCTCTTATCCATTTTAATTTTAGGTCGCCCTGGAAAAAGTGTTTAACTTTGCTACAACAAATATTTTTGAGACCCGTGTTGCTGGCAGGATGGTTGCGGACATGTGCAGAGCAGCTGCTAAGGTTTGAAACTTCTAAAATTGATGTGCTGGCCTCTGGGACTGTAACATTGATTTAACCTGTTCAGTGTTATAGTAGGATTTTTTTCCTCTTTGTAATATTATTTTGATTAAACTTAATTGTGATTTTAGATTTTAACAAAAATACTTGACCTGCGGTGGTAAATAAGTAGAACAGAATGCTTGAAAACCTCAGTAGTTTGAAATAAAATGACTTGCAGAACTAGAAACATTTTACTGCAGATTTTCTTTAAATTGTATAGATTTTTTTGTGATACAAACCATAATATACTTCAGGGTAAAAATCTTTACAACCTGAACAATGAAAGAGAAATCATTCAAGTGCCTTGAAAAAAACAACAGCCTTTGGAGCTCTCAGGAATTTATCACTTGAGCTGTTATTGCCATAAAGCGTTAGCACACCTACAAAAAATTAATAAAATACCTGTACCTTATTTTCTTCATTATTCTTCATCTCTGATACTGCGGTTTTGGAGACTTGAAATGTGTTAAACTGAGGTGTTGCTGCATTTCGAGTCGCCACTAATTTTCACATTGATCCAGAGAAATCCTCTTCCACAGAATGTTTTGTGACAAGATGATGATTTGTGCACGTGTCATCAAAAAATTAGCACTTTCATTGGATTGGGGAAGACTTCAGTTGAAAGTCTTCTTTCAGAGTAAAATGTGCCATTTATTGCTCTGTGTATTACCTGCGTTAAATATGCGACATTGCTGTGTGCAATTCGCTGCTGAGTTTCACCCATAAAATATGCATTCAATTCATTTTATCGTATATTCTGTGAAGCGCTTTGACACAACAACAACAAAATTACATTTATAGAGCGCCTTTTACGTCGGGAGGACGTCCCAAAGTGCTGAACAGTTAGGTATCGGGGCCCGAGCACGGGGGAGGGGTGTTGTAGGGGTGAGGAAAAGCGGAGAGGTGGGAGGGGGACCAAAGGTATGGTCGAAGAGAAGCGTCTTGAGACCGGCCTTCAAGGAGGCAAGGGAGGAAGCGAGGTGAAGAGACCGTGGGATGGAGTTCCAGAGTATGGGGGCAGAGAGGCTGAAAGCCCGGCCACCGATAGTTGAGCAGGTCGGGCGGGAGATAAAGTGCTATATCAAATGCAAGGATTATTATAAAGCTTTACTAGACCTAATTGACCTTTTGGAATAAAATCCTATTCTGGCTTCAATGGAAAATTCATTGTTGAGTGCACTGATCCCAAAAATATTGCATTTTGCTTGGATAGAAATAGTTCTTTGATCAGCTGTTAATGTTATTGATATGTTTTTTTCTGAACTTTCTTTGTAATTTTTTCTAGTGTCATCCAGCAGATGCTCTGAAGCGGTTTGTGCCACACTGTTGCAGTGTCATAACTCAGCTCACCATCAGTAAGCCCGATTGTTTTGAAGCTTTAATTCTTTGCAAATAATGATGGGGTTGATTTTTTTGCTTCACTGATTAAATAGTGAAATGGAAATAGTTGTTCACAACCAATTTATATTAGCAGGATTGGCTGCGCCATTACTATCTCAGTTGAAGAACAAATAAGAGCGTGCAAAAAACAGAATTTCTGCAAATTCACATAGCAAATAAAAGCTGGGGTTGTTGAAAATTAAATTGTCTTCAGTTGGACATCAGGTCCACATGACAGATTCCTTAATTTCAACACTTCGTTTTGACCATTGTTCACATCCTATCTTTCGCGTTGTCTCCACTTTATCTCCTTAAATGGTTTCTCCTCTAGCCCCCGCACCATCCTGTGCAGCATTCTTCAGAGCTCTATCCTTGGTCCCCTCCTCTTCAATATCTATATGCTCCCTCTTAGTGACATCATCCGCAGACATGGGTCAACTTCCACATGTATGCGGATGACACCCAATCTACCTCTCTGCTTCCACCCTCGACTCCAGGACCACTGCTGTCCTGACAGAATGTCTGTCAGACGTCAAGTCCTGGATGAGAGCTAACTTTCTACAGTTGAAAGTCAACAAGACCGAGGCTCTCCTGATTGCCTCCCGTCAGCGCCTCTTCACCTAAGGCGCTGACAGCATCACCATCCAGGGATGCACACTTCACCTCACTGAGCCAGTCCGGAACCTTGGCATCTTGTTTGATCCTCAACTGTCCTTTCTACCCCACACCCGTACCATGACCTTCCCCCACCTCCGCAACATCACCCGGCTCCATCACTGTCTCACACCGTAGGCCGTTGAGACCTCATACACACATAGCATCCAGGCTCGATTACGCAAACTCCCTGCTTGTCGGCCTCCCAAACTCCTCCCTCCATAGGTTGCAGATCATCCAGAACTCTGCAGCCCGTGTCCTCTCCCACACCAGGCTCTGCTACCCCATAACCCCATCCTCGCCTGACTCCACTGGCTTCCCATCTCACAGAAGATACAGTTCAAGATCCTGGTCCTTTCAAAGCCCTCTGGGGCGTCGCTCCTCCATGCCTCTGCGACCTCCTAACCCCCTACCAGGTTCCAGCCTGCTTCATGTCTCCCGCCTCGCCCGCCCCACCATTGGCATACGGGCCTTCAGCCACTCTGCTCGCACCCTGTGGAACTGCATCCCACAGTCCCTCTGCCTCGCCCCTCCCTTGCCTCTTTCAAGACCTGTCTCAAGACCCTCCTCTTCGACCCTGCCTTTGGACACCCTGCTTCCCCCTCCACCCTCCCCGACCCTCAGCTCAGGTCCGAAACCCTGATTGTCCAGCCCCTTGGGACGTCATCCCGACGTGAAAGGTGCTAAAAAAAAAAATAATTTTGATGTTGTTATTGTTTGAGTGGTGCTGCATACAGATCCAAACTGCTGCATAGAAGCATTTCAGTGGTTAACCTATATCATAGTATTGGAGCTCGGCATAGAAAGATGTGCTGGCGTATCACCTTTATATCGTGACAGGTTTGATGACTTGTAATAACAAAGTATCAATGAGTGCAAGATGCTTATTTTTTAATTCTGTATAGATGATGATGTTTTGCATGAAGAGGAGTTGGACAAAGAGCTGCTTTGGAATCTTCAACTATTATCAGAGGTAAAATTGAGAATAAAGTATAAAAATGAGTTTTGTTCCAACTCAATTTTATTTGATATTAGATAGCCAGAATAATATATTCTAGCTCTACTTGCCCGTATATTGCACGTAACACAAGTTCTACTTGAAGAAATTGCACCAAGAGAAATTCCTATAGGCCAGCGTGATCTTCTTCTGGATACTGGAGGAGTTACCATTTACGAGACTGATGGCTTATTAAGGAATCCCTTAAGAAATATCGCACATTATATTCTGTTGCATAAAATAATGCAACTGCTTATTCTCTTTTACAAACGTCTTGTTTTAAAAACTAGAAACATAATCATAGGACATGTTTCCAAGAATAACATGACCTAATGTTAAACCTTTACCGTTATTTTTCACTCTCAGATAACCCGAGTAGATGGTGATAAGATGCTGGTATATAAGGAACAACTAGTCCAGATTCTACAACGAACACTGCACTTGAAATCCAAGCAGGGTTATTCTCTGGCTGGAAATTTGCTGCATCATCTACTCCGTTCAACTACACTAATTTATCCAACAGAGTATTGCAGTGTGGCAGGTGGCTTTAACAAATCTCTCTCAGAATACTTTCCTATTAAGGTATTGATGCTGTTGTGTTATTTTAGCAATTAGTTTAAATATTTATTTTCTTGTAACTATAGGCTCAAGGTATTTTCTTTTCTTTCCCTACCCGTCTCCAAAACATATTTACAGGATTGGGGAAAACCAGGAGATCTGTGGAACTTGCAAATCAAGTGGCATGTCGGCTCTCCAGAGGAGATCAGTTTTGCTTACTATGTGCTAGAAAAGTTTCTTCAGCCTGAACTGTCCAGACTTCAACGCTGTGCTGAAGGAGAATTAGAAATGTCAAGGTTTGCCACCACATTCACAGGGGGAGGCAGTTATAATGAAATTGTGGAAAAGTTGATCATAATTTGCATAGTGTTTTTTTCCTAGAGATAATTCTTCTGCAATTTGTTAACCCACTGCATTATACAGAACGTGTTGTTTATTATGCAAATTATTTCCATCTGTATCTATTATCTGTATGATAAGGGTTAAAAATGTTGACTAGCTGGATTTCTAATCTGTATCATGCAATAGAATGTGTTTATTCAATGTAAGTCACGATTCAGTTGTGGGAAGGAGCCACTTAATAGTAAGTGAATGATCCCAGTATCTTGAATCCTACCTCATTTAGACTAAAAGCGATGCATTATGTGTTAGAGCGATGGTTTGGGTGCCAGGCTAGTTAATCACAGGTAACATTTAACTATTTGAACGCTGGAAGTCAAGGAAAATTCTAACCTCCATATTAGGGGCTGTTTGAAGTATCGTTGTACATTATAACACAGACTAATATTACAGTAGTGAAGGTACTGAAGTTACAGGAGTAATTTTATTATTGTATCAAGTGACAGGTACCCAGAGACTTGGTGAAAGGAAAGAAAACTAGAGTAGCTAAGCCAGTTATCCCAGGAGACATCAAAGAAAACTACCCTGGGTGTAACTACTGGGATCAGGGCAGAGTATCATGAAGTTTTTCATAAAATGTCATCAGTACTATGCTACATTAAAGAATTTGTGAGGAGCTCTGTTTGAAAATGTTGCTAAAAGAACAATGGCAACAGTTGTGACTGCATAATTATAGTTTACATTTCCTTTCTGATGATTGTAATAAACATTTTTAAACATTTGTGGACAAAACAAATGCTGTAAGCACGGGACAAAATGCTGGCAGGTTAGCAAAAAGTGCCACGGCATCCAGTTGCTTTAAATGTAGATTGCAGCCTTGTGAGGTGGTTCTAAAAATAGAAATTTCAGCTGTTTCTACTGCCTAACCATTTGAGTCACAAAGATTTATAAACCAGAGGAAAGTTACCATTTTTTTTTTTAAAAAGTACATTTTCTTGTTTCAAGATAAATTTATAAAATGCTTAAGCTCATTAAACAAAACTTATCTACTCTTTAATGTTCTGTTCCCTGCAGAGATGACATGCAACAGAGTCTGTCAATTGTTCAGAACTGTTTGATTGGCTCAGGAAGTCTGCTGCCTTCCCTCGGAGGAGAACCGATACATGACCTGTAAGGAATAGTTAAATAAGATGCCGGTATCTAATAAGAACAACAACAGGAACTTGCATTTATATAGCCCCTTTCACGCAGGGTAGTGTTTCAGAGAGAATTGATTGGTACTGAAATGTTTGTATCCTTTAAGTTGCCCTGCGATTTACTGATTCCCTCCCCTTATCATGAAGCTTATCCCAAAGTTATAGAAAAATAAACAGTTAACGTGACCTAACTCTAGGATAACTCTCTGGTAACTCACTTAATTTTCATTCTATAAATATGACGTCCTAACAATGAACATCAGCTGCTTATTTGATCATCATTGAGAACATTAAAGTGGGACGTATGATTGTCTGGATTGCTGGTGGTTGAGATGCTCTCAAATTTTGATGTGCTTCAGTTGCAATGTCAGACGTGGGTCTTGTGTACATGTAAACCTACTGGCAGCACCCAGTATAATAGGAATGAAGTCTTGGGGTGTCCTCCTGACATGAAAGGCGCTATATAAATGTAAATTTGTTGTTTTTGTTATTATTGTCAGTCAACACTCACTAATTTCTGAGAAAAATGAACATTCATGTCACTCAGTGATGCTTTTACATCTTAACATCTGATACATCTGTATTGTATGATTATTTTTGCTCTATTGTAAACCTCTGAACTATTTTATATTTGTAAGGTTATATAATTGGTTTTCTTTGATGCAGGGCTCCAAGCATGGTGGTTTTGGAAGAGACCAAACTCTGTGTTGGTGTTAATTCTGGTAAGTAATGAAAAAAATGAGGTCTGTTTTCATTTACATCTCATAAACCCTGACTATTCCAGGTACGATCTCTGCCTGAATAATTATAAAATTAATTCTGTATTGTACTCAGAAGCTATCCCCGTTGAACCTCTAAAAAGTATGTGTATGACTGGAGCATTATATGTTTTACCTTGCGTTGGTATTAATGAAATTCAGATGAGGAAAAACTCACCTGAATGTCCCTGTGTTAAACCTCAAGATGTAAGAATTTCTTCCATAATGTCATTGGTGAAATGTGAATTCTTGGTGCTGTTGGTTTCAAATCCTGGCTTTGTGTGAGATTTCTTCTTTAATTCTGTTTGTTAGATTACACTGGAGAAAACTATAGGGTAGCGATTGCCCAAGTCCTGAAGAAACTTCTTTGTAAGTAGTAGGAAATATATTTTCACTATAAAATGTTAAATATTGCTTTGATGAACACATTATTCAGGTAGACTTTAAAGACACCGTGGCCTTATTCAAAAAGTGAAGTGAATTTTTTCATGGACAACAACAGATTGTCGCTTGTTACTGAGCGTTGTTTAATTTATTGTGACTTGATGAAGAATTCAGCTGAGCTACATTGATGACAAAAAAAGCATTTTTCTGTAAACTAATTAATTTTAAGATCTAGCACCAATAAGATAAATTACTGGATTTTAAACCCTATTGTACAAAGTTCTGGAGGTCAGTGCATATAAATGAAAGCAAATAAGGCTCAAGCAAAAACAATGTGAATTATATTTTGTCTTTCTCTCAGTCAAGTTTTAACCTAACCTAATGTAAACAGGTAGCATTTAATTATGATTGATTAGACCTTGAATACTGTGTATTTTACTTAGTAAGACAACAAAAAGCACACCGCCGAGAACAAGTTTTAAGCCTAATTCCTTTTCATCTAACCTTTCAGATCACTTGCTGGATAATTCTGAAGATGACACAAAGTCTTTGTTTTTGATGATTAAGGTGAGAACAGTAGCTAGTTCCCTGATTGTTCAGCACCTTGGGATGTCCCCCCAACGTGAAAGGCGCTTTACAAATGTAATTTTGTTGTTGTTGTAGTTAAAGGGCATTTTACTAGTGTTGAAATTTTTTAATGGTATTTATTCATTTTCAGATTATCGGAGATCTATTGCAGTTCCGTGGGTCCCATAAGCATGAGTTTGACTCCAGATGGAAAAGCTTTAATCTTGTGAAAAAATCCATGGAGAATAGGGTAAGGATATATATTGATAATTCCCTTTTCTCTGGTAAAAGTAGTATATTGTTGTTCTGTTTACTGTCTAAGCTTTGTAGCTTCAAAGACCAAAGTACTCTGTAGTCAAGTTACCACAACTTCCACAGTATAGTGCTATATTATATGTATAGTGCAGCCTTTGAGTGGTATTAAGAGTTATATATACAAAGCTGCTATTTCCTCACTCCTCTAATGCTATTACTGCATTCCAAGGGATTTGGAATGGTGTATTGCTGTTAAATATACAGTATATATGTTATATGAATGGTAAATGCAAGCTACATTATTTATTTGACTATTTCTTTAAGCACCCTTTAGATCTTGTGATTGATCTGTTTTTTGTTGGTTGAGTTAGAATATTTTTAGGTCTGCCTCAAAACTAAAGTTTGAGGTGTAAAACAGTGACAAGATGACACTGAGGAGTGTGCATATACTTTTGTGACATCCTAGGATTACTTAGCAATTAATTTAAATTCCCTTTCTTTTTGAGAAAGTAGTAAGTTGCTTTTCAATGTGGTATTTTTTGACGATAAACACTTTTTAAAGCCAGATAATCAATTGTTTTTCTGTCGTATTAATGTCCAGCTGCATGGGAAGAAACGGCACATTCGAGCACTACTGATTGATCGTGTTATGCTCCAGCACGAGGTACCCTCAAAATGAACATCCTTTCTGTCTAACTCTATACTGTATAAAACATAAATGCACGATGAACATTTCAAGTTGCTGGTTCTCAGTCTCATTGTGAGGCTAAATCACAAATTTTCTGCAGGTCCAAATCTTCTGCAGTTGCATGCAACTCATTTTTTTGTGCGTGGCTTTGCGTTTTTGCATGAGAACCCAATGTGGCTGAACCAATATGTTACGGGTAGTCAGTGTGATAGATCTGCAGTGTGTACAAGAATGCAAGTATGCTTGAGAAATCTTTGGAGTTTCATTATGATATCAAAATCCTAAAATGTTATAACTTGTTTGGTGTTCTGTATATATAACATCGCCCGGATCCGCCACTGTCTCACACTGCAGGCCGCCAAATCCCTCATACACGCATTCATAACAGCGAAGCTTGACTATGCAAACTCCTTGCCTGTTGGCCTTCCCATCTCCTCCCTCCATAGGCTGTAGATCACCCAGAACTCTGCAGCCTGAGTCCTCTCTCGAGCCAGGTTCGGTGACCCTATCACCCCCATCCTCGCCCGACTCCACTGGCTTCCCATCACACAGAAGATACAGTTCAAGATCCTGGTCCTCGCCTTCAAAGCCCTCCATGGCCTTGCCCTCCATGGAACTCCATCCCGCAGTCCCTCTGCCTCACCCCCTCCCTTGCCCCCTTCAAGACCCATCTCAAGACCCTCGTCTTCGACCGTGCTTTCGATCGCCTTGCTTCCCCCCCAGGCCCTCCACCTTCCCCGACCCCCAGCTTGGGTATGAAACACTAACTGTTCAGTGCCTTGGGACGTCCTCCTGATGTGAAAGGTGCTTTACAAATGTAATTTTGTTGTTGTTGCTCTTGTCCAGCTACGCACTTTGACTGTTGAAGGCTGTGAATACAGAACAATCCACCGTGATCTGATGCGAGACCTCCTGCTTTTGTCTACAAGTACATATAGTCAGGTGAATGGCTTTTGTTTACATCACTTTCCAGTTGTCTCTTATGGTATCACCCTATCTGCTCCCTCTGTTCAGCAGGCTCTGGGCTGCTCTATGTCTCCCACTCGCTCCATCCCACGGTTGGGCTTTCAGCCTCTCTGCCCCCACCCTCTGGAACTTCATCCCACAGTCCCTTCGCCTCGCTCCCTTCCTTCAAGGCACGTCTCAAGACCCTCCTCTTCGACTGTGGCTTAGGTTACCTTCCTACTCCTGCCCTCCCAACTCCCTGCTTGGGTCCAAATCCCGGACTGTCCAGCACCTTGGGACGTCCTCCTGACATGAAAGATGCTTTACAAATGTAATTTGTTATTGTTGTTTAAACCATCCTGGGTATATATTGTTTTTTCCAAACCCCTGCTAATCAAGCTGGGAGAAGATCAAGGTGCCCTTAGATATCAGTGGTGTCTGAAGCAGAGCTGGAGGTGTGTTGAGTGGCTGGTGATGATGTTCTTCGGTTTTATCCTTTCCTGCAGAAAACATTGCCCTTGTTCAACACCTCCCTCTAGTGGTGTTGAACAAGGTCTCTCACACTATCATCCCATTTTCAACCTGTCCTTCCTTGCCAAAGTCCTGGAAGGCATTGTTGCAGGTCAACTTTGGGTACACCTTTCCGTCCTCGAGCCCTTGCAATCTGGTTTTTGACCTGACAGCCCACAGCACAGAAACAGCGCTTGTCAAAGTCACAAACAACATTCTCTCTATCTGACCAGGGCTCCCTCTGCCTCCTCGTCTTTCTGGGCTCTCTCTCAGTCTCACCGAACCAGTGTGCAACCTAGGCGTGCGGTTCGACCCCCAGCTGTCCTTCTTCCCCCACATCCGGTCCCTGACCAGGACCGCCTTCTTCCACCTCCACCATATTGCCCGCCTCCGACGGTAACTTACCCCAAATGCAGCCGAAACCCTCGTGTGTGTGTTTGGCACCTCCCGCTTGGATTATTCCTCGCAGGTCTTCCCAGCTGCACCATTCACAAAATCCAGCTCAGACAAAACTCAGCTGCCCACATACTGACATGGTCCAATCTCCGCACCCACATCTCACCAGTTCTGGCCAGGTTCCCCTGGATCGCCATCACCGAACGGATTGACTTCAAGATCCTCACACTTGTGTTCAATTCCATTCAATCCCTGGCACCTCTCTACCTCTCCGACCTCCTCACTCCCCAATCCACCACCCAGCGCCTCTGCTCAACTGGCACTGGGCCCCTGCTTGTCCCTCGCACCCTCCGCTCCACCATTGGAGGTCGTGCTTTCAGCCACTACGCCCCAAAACTCTGGAACACTCTCCCTCAGTCTTGGCCCTCTCACCCCTCTTTCAAGTCTCACCTGAAAACTTTCCTCTTTGACCATGCTTACCTCCCCCGGCTCGGTGTAAGGCACAGCCACTGTTAAGCGCTCTGAGACGCTACCCTGCGTGGACGGTGCTATATAAGTGCAAGTTGTTGTTGCAGTGGGGCTGCTGTAGATTACAACTGTGTGTATTTGGATTCCAGACATGAACTTATTTCCATACTCTGTGGCCCAGCAATCAGTAATCCAGCATTCTACACTGCTGCAATATTTTTCATACGAAAATGTTCTTTCCTTTAAAAACACTTCCTTCTATATTTTGCCAAGTGAAGATTATCAACAGCTGGTGCAGGCTAACAGGAAGGGTGATTGAGGTCAGGATGCTGGATTCATTTATGAAACTGCTTGATGCTGCAATGGGAAGAAAGTAGGGTGGGTGAGAAGATTGAGATCAAATGGATCAGAAGGGTATTCTTTATTAGTGCCTCGCTTGCTCAGATTCTGCATTCAAGAAGATGCTGTTTTTCAGATGGCCATTGGGAGGTACCAAATGGTATTCCAGCAATATCTTCACCCTTGATTTTTCTTTTCCAAAGCAAGGCAGAGGGCAGGGATTTCAGCTGACTGGAGGGAGGGGAAGTAGATCCACATCCCTTTACTGTACAGCATCAGATATTTTTCGTTCTAGTATGTTTTGGCCATTCTCTAGCTTGGCCACATATTAAAAATGCATCTTTACAAACCCCTTCTCAGACTCTGCTGAGGATCTAGGGTTATTTGCAATAACTTTTTAAATAATGTTCATTTTAATAGTTTCTGCTCATGTTTGAACTGTTCAGACTGCAAATCTGGTAAAGATTTGCTACCAATTAGAGAATCATTACAAGTGAAAATATAAAACATAGGCTGTATCCACAGTCTTGAGACTGAAAGTTGGAGGTTATCCAAAAGACAACCCAGTGAAGGCCATTGCAAGAATTTATTTACAAATTAAATTTGCATTAGGTCGCTTCACAGAGCAAAATAAAAACAATAAATTACGCGATAGTATAAGAAAAAGTGCGTTCACAAAATTTATTTCATTATATCAGAAAATGTTTTGTATATTTTAAGCTTGTTTTGCTGGTCAACTGAATTTATATTTTGACTATTTCCCTTGAAAATTAATTGAGCCGTTGTGGTTTCATATCTAATTGGAAGCTTTATTTTTAGACTTTTATGTATAGTTTGACAGTTTCTGATACTGTTGGATGTGTTTGCAGGTGCGAAGTAAAGCCCAGCAAGTTTTCTTCAAGGCATTAGGAACATACAACTTTTGCTGCAGAGATCTGATTCCCCTAGTGCTGGAGTACTTGTGTCCTGACAAGCAGAAAATAACCCAGCAACAGTTCAAAGTAAGTTTTTTTTTTCTCTCTAATAGTTGAAAAATGAAACGTACTATACATATAGTAACTCTGCTGTAAAGCATCCAAGGTCCACCTCTATCCTAAGGGTCTTTTACTAATGGGAATCCCATTCAAAATAACGACTATTTATAACATACACTTATCTTTTACCTAAAGGCAGTTTTACATGAAGGTCTGTTTTTTATATGACCTTACAAGAACTCATGTTTTTAACTTGCTTGCACCCTTTAGCATCTTGCCTTGTTGTATAAACAATTACATATAATAATAATAATCCTTGCATTTGATATAGAGCCTGATCAATTCTTCGAGCCGTCTCAAAGTGCTTCACAGGATACACTGTAAAGTGTAGGGACTGTATATTTTGTGGGCGGATGTGGCAGCCAATTGCGCACAGCAGTAAAATATATGACTAAGATTTATTTGATTTGATATTTTATGGGATTGCAAAGTGTTCTTATTTTTTTTTATGTTTAATGCCAGGGTGCCTTGTATTGCCTACTTGGGAACCATAATGGAGTCTGCTTGGCCAACCTCCATGACTGGGACTGCATTGTTGCCACGTGGCCAGCTATAGTATGGTCGGGGCTCAGCAAAGCAATGTCTTTAGAGAAACCTTCCATTGTCCGTTTATTTGATGATCTTGCAGAGAAGATACATCGACAATATGAAACCATTGGCCTAGATTTCAGTGTAAGTAAATATTAACAATAATAAAAAATCCTTGCATTTGATGTAGCACCTTATCACGCTTAATCCTACAATTGGATATACAAAAATATTTACTTAAGGTAATCAGATACTTGATCTATTTTGATTGATTGTACTGTACATAGTTTGCAATTTTTTTGATAGAGTAAATATACAAAAGAAGGAATAAACCTGTCTTAAGAATTTTCTGGGAATTTGTTGAAATCTACAAATTTTTATGTTAAAGTGCAATTTAAAGTTCTCTCCTATTACTTTTGTCAACAGTTTCACTGGGAGGTTTTAAAATGTATTTAGCTGTGTCTACTCTATTCAGATTTCAGATTGCTGTGTGGAGTTTGGTGTGCTCTTAACAAAGTCAAAAAACCCAGATCCTGTTTCACTGCTTCTCACAGATGAAGAGATTGAAATTGGAATCCAGCGTCAGCAAGCAAAAAATACTGAGTCATTACAGTAAGTATGAGATAATCTGGTAGGACAAATTGCACGGTTTTGTCAAGGTTCTATTGTGATGGATACAATCTTTTAGAATCATTCCTTGTACGTGAGGTGCCATAGCCCAGTTATCAACATAAACAAAGTGTAGGACTGGTCAGATAGAAATAGAAACTACTGTAAGTCTGCATGTACAAAGAAAGTCCAATTCCACAATAACTATCAGAAGCAAAACAGTCAATTTCCTAAATAAGAATACCATGGTATCAGGCAGACTAGTTTAATTGAATTTATCCCAAACGTCAATTTTCAGGACAACAATAACATTTGTTCTGTATGTATATAACAAGATAACAATCATGTTTCCAGCATTTACTAACATGGATGATAGTATAAAGGATATGCAAACTGTTGTTCACTTGGCAGATTAACAAGTATCAAAACCATTCTATTGCCGAGCAGATTATGCAAGCTTAAAAGCTTGCCTTATCACAGCAAAACTTTATCATCCTAGGTGATCTGACCAAGTTAATGTTTCTTCGTCAAAACTGGGATTCTAGTTTGAACCACACAAATGTACTTCAACTGGACGTGCCTGACCTGCCGAGTTTTCCCAGCTTTCTCTGTTTTTGTTTCAATTGGAGGTGTCCAATTAACTTTGCTCTGAAAGATGCCACAAACTGTCCCTTAAAAGTTAGCAAGTTGCATGTAATTACTAATAGAGCGTTGGTGATTCAGGGAATGGTCCACAACTAACTGATGTAGAAAGCGAGTTTAGTTTTCATGACTTCCCTTTTCAATATAATAATACTTACATTTGATGTAGTGCCAGGGTTGCTATATAAATACAAGTTATCGTACTGGTAGTGACTGTGTAATTTGTAGGTGAAATTCGCAGCCAGTTTGTGCCCAGCAATGTCCCACAAATCCCATGAAATGAATAATCAATTTTATTTGGGGAATTGTGGAGAGGACATTGGAAGAAACTCCCCTTTCTTTTCAATTAATGCCAATGGGTTTTTTAACCTGACGAAACAGGCAGGCACTGTGTCTGGGCTGCTGACATCTCCTACCTATATGGTGCCAACATGAAACACTTTTAATGGCAAATTCAAATTCAGGGTTAGATTCTTTTTGTCTTTGTAATTCAAATCTTTTCTTTTATTTAGGAGCTATGAAAAACTAATCAGTACTATGTTGGACCTTGTGGATAATCGAAACTTGTAAGTTTACATAATCTTTGTCAAGTTTCAAATAGCACTGTTGCTTGATAATTGTCGTTCAGCTCTTTAAGACATTGAAACTAGATATTGTGTTTACTTTTGATAATTTGACTGATAGATAATTAGTAGCAGAGCTGAGTTCAGGCCTGTAATTTCCTAACATGCCTAGTTTCTACCCAATCTGATTGAGACATTTAGGGAACTTCACCACAGATAATTCTTAAATTATTTCTTTGTCAGAAGTCGTAATGTGACGTTGGTAGTAGGATGGGAACAGATTACTTACTACCATTTTGAGGGAGGGTATGAGGAGTGAGGGTAACCTAAGAGAAGAGAATAATAAGTGACTGATTAGAGGAGTAGAAGCATTGGAACTTTTGGATTTTTAAATTTATTAGTTAATATTTGGATATTTTGAAATCTAATCTGGTTCAAAATTGCATTTTCAGTAGAGTTAACTGGGAAATTTTTTTATTTTCAGACCGTGGAAATTTGAACACATAGCCATTGGTTTCCTCTCCCTATTGCTGAGAGATGATGTACCATTACCTACTCGAGGAATCAGATTCTTTGTGAAGTGTCTCAATCATGATGCTTTAATAGTTCGGAAGGTAAGTGGCTTCACAGTTTTGCACTGAATTTCCAAATCAATCGGATGCCACACAAGATTGTTTGGCATCTGATTGATTTGGAAGGCGAGGAATGCGTGTCGCTGAATAACTCTAATGTTGTGTTGTAGCTGATATATTTGTGGAGTCCTGTAGCGTATTGGTTAGAGCACTCGCCTCACAAGCGAGAGGACCTAGGTTCCATTCCCGGGAGTCCGAAACCTGAGGCAAGTTTCCTTACTCCATACGCTTTTTATCTAGCAGTAAGTAGGAATCCAGTTGTTAGTTGATTGGCAGATCGCTTTCCTGGGAGTAATCCTCCCAAAATTAAAAAAAAGGTCACTCAATAGTTGGCTGTTTGTGGGACACTGCTGTGCACAATTGGCTCCTGCATTTCACCCACAAAATATACAGTCAATTCACTTTACAGTATATTCTGTGAAAGGGTTTGAGACATCTCGAAGATGTGATAAGACGCTATTTCAAATTGAAAGGATTATATCAGCTGAAATGATAGGTCTCCAAGTAAGCTTCAGCATTGACTTTACAAATCAAATTTCTGCAAAGCAGGATAAGTTCTTCAAGCACAGACAGCTGTACACTCCTAACAGTTCAACAAACTGATTGTGTAGTTAATATCAATTATTACAAGAGAATTTTACCAGACACCAATAATTACAGAGGCAAGTCAGAAACATGGATGTAAATACAGCTGTGTGATAGGATTAGGTACAGGAAGAAAGTAGATTGTGAATCGTTTCATGATGAATTCCATGAAGATAAGATTTCTGTTTGAAAGTTAAAACCTTAATTTTAAAAAAATAATTTTTCAAAAAAATCAGAATACAAATCCTTTCAGAAAACCATGCGTTTCCTTTAGAAATTTGTACTTTGAAGGTCTTGATGCAGATTTGGGGACCAATATATAGATGATATCCATATCATCATGCTAGTTTTGATGAGCTAAGTTGTATCTAGGGAGGTAGGAATCTCCAGGTTATGTGTTGGCCTTTCCAAAGACAGCTGTAAAGCCCACTCAACTCCCAGACCAAGCTGCTAACCTGGCTCTTGGCTACATAACAGCCCTAACTAACGTGCTGTTACTGGCTGTGTCCCAACCAGCTGCCCTGAGATCTTGGTATTGTTACAGCTTAGTGTAAGCTGCTGCTCTTGGCTTCATCCCACTCTAACCCATCTCACAGCTAATTGAAACAAAAACAGAGAGCTGGGAAAACTCAGTAGGTCAGGCAGCATCTATGGAGAAAGGAAAGTGAGTCAGCGTTTTGGGTCCATGACCCTTCGTCAGACCCTTCCAGTTCTGACGAATTGTTGTAAATCCGAAACATTGACTCACTTTCCTTTCTCCATAGATGCTGCCTGACCTGCTGAGCTTTCCCAGCTCCCTCTGTTTTTGTTTCAGATTTACAGCATCTGCAGCATTTTGTGCTTTGTTCACTGCTAATTGATCTTGACTTTGCTCCCTGGGTATATTTCTAAGAGCTCCAAGACTCTACCCTCCATGAAGGGCGCTATGTAAAATGCAAGTTGTTGCATATTTAGTTTTGTGCCAAATTTGAATTTGTGGATAGACTCTTTGAATATGTGTAAATGCTCTATGATTATAGTGAATTTAAATTTAGGGTAGAATTCTGTTTACATTATGCTGTATTCCATATCATTTCCTTATCCTTTTGATAGTTTGTATTGTGGTGTTGATTCCCAGTAATAAATGAACCTGAAGTGGTTTCATCACTAAGTAATTTGATGAATAAGTTATTGTGTATTAATTACATGGAATGTGTCCTATCCATTGATTTTCACTGGGACCCACTATCAGCAAGAAACGTGCGATAGAAATTGAGCAAATCTACCATCACGAGCAGATATTTTACATTATATACTGGGAAATCCATTGAAGTTGCTGTCGTAGTGTGTAATGTTGCTTGAACCTTTTGTTGAGTTAATTAACTTGCAGTTAACACTAGATATCATTGTCCTCAGTAGAAAGAAAAAGTACACATGCATATAACATTATTAACACCTTAAAGATTAGAGATTTTGTGAGGTACTCGCAAAGCATATAGAAATGTGGCCAATGAGCTCATTAATTTTTTTTCTATAGATGGCTATATCTGCTATAGCTGGTGTCATGAAGCAGTTGAAGAGACCTCACAAAAAAATCGAGATTGATCCATATGTTGTCAGTAAGTAGAATTAATCCTTCAGTTATTAGTTCCCTGAAGATAAAATTTTATTTTAAGATTGTCTAGAAGAATATTCTTTATTTTAATAAATGCAAACAGCCTATTAGATTTTCTTGGAATATTCATAGAATACAACACAAATGCTATCATTCTTACATTTTAATTTTGTTTTAGGGATTCTCTGCACATATTTGCCACTGACCTTGATTAAAAATTGCAACTGCTAACTAGAGTTTTTTTGGGGTTTCAAAGTCCTTTATTAAAAAGGATGTGGTGATCTTAAAACAATGTACAGCTGAATTGAATTTACTCTGCCTGAAATGTGAGGATTCCCCCTTTGTGACGTCCTTCAGCACAGATTCAAATCCTTTGCAGAAGTAATATTCATTGTGTAATCATTGCCTTGTATTTTATTATTTCCTCTCCACAGAATTCACCACTAATTACCCTTTTTGCAGGACTTAATAATTTGCAAACTGGAGAGGAGTGTGTAGGAGTTATTGTACATTTTTGCAAGTGATCTTTGGACACCCAAGGAACACAAAATCTTTAATCTTATTATGGTGCATGATTGGAATTGTCAAACATATCTGAGCTTTTCTATCTATATATCTTTTAGTTTTTGGATAAAGTTCTCTCGTTTCTGCCTACTTGACAAGTAATTTGTGTGTTTGCAGGATACCTAGGTAGTTTTGCCATGTGTCATTTTTGTATTATGTGCACCTTGAAACTAGGTGGATGTCGTCCTTCAGAAATCCAGCCAGGAGATAGACCTGACAATGTTTGGCTCCATTATAATAGTTCCAGTTTGCCAAAGACTAAGGATGAATGGGAAGCTTGCTTCTTCGTAGAAAAGACACACTGGGGATACTACACATGGCCCCGGTAAGTACAGAACAAAAGACTGCAACAATTTGTATTCCTGAAAGCGTCAGTCATAGGAATCTTTCATAGATTGTTTCATGCCCTAATTAGTCTGTATCCTTAACACAGACAATGTGAGTAGGGTTTTGTTGGTTTGTATTACACGCTGGTAATTGATTACATTGATTTGTGGAGTCCTGTAGCTCAGTGGTTAGAGCACTCGCTTTGCAAGTGAGAGACCTGAGTTCATTTCCAGGCAGAGGGTGAAACCTTGGGCAAGTTTCCTTACTCCACACAGAGCCTAATAATAATCCCTCCAAAACCAAAAACAATAATAAATTGGTCATATTCAATCTACGACTGTTTGTGGGACATTGCTGTGCGCAATTGGCTGCCGCGTTCGCCCACAAATATACAGTCAATTCACTTTACAGTGTGTTCTGTGAAGCGCTTTGGGACTTCCTCCCGACGTGAAAAGCGCTATATCAAATGCAAGGATTATTATTATTATTATTACAGTATTTTATCAATAAATTAAAACTATCTTAAAGTGGACGTCAGCTGTTTTGGTATTTTCTTAAGTTGCTGTAGTGTTAAAATGAAGATCTGTAAAATATTTTGAACGGCTTCCCATTCATCCTTACTCTCACATAGGAAGTTGCTTGTTTATGCCCCAGTGGACCAACAACCTAAACTAGGAAGGGGCAGAGAAGAAATGTCAGAGGTAAGAATTGGTGGTAAAACTTTATATTAAACAAAGTACATGTTTCCTAGTGATCAACTTATTGATACAATAAAGATATATTGTTATTCTTAAAACATGCAAGCTATAAATCATCAATGGAAAAAAAGTCATTTAAATGGGGTGGTTGCTTTTTGTTGATTTTCCACAATTCAGCTCATTCTGTTGCATACAAAATAATTATTTTCTGCGTCCTTTCATTTTGTAGGCTGAGCAAGTCATTTATGACAATTTCTCTGACCCACAATTCGTGGATCAGATGATTAAATTCCTATCCTTGGAAGACCGAAAGGGAAAGGACAAATTCAATCCACGCAGGTTTTGCCTCTTCAAGGTAAATGGATTTACTTGTTTCAAACTTACACTTTCAAACAGATAAGGTATTTGTTTTGTTATAGTTGTGCAAGTCTGTATTCTGTTATAAAGGAAAATGGACCTGTATTCTGTTATAAAGGAAAAAAACCTCTAAGGCACACTCTCAATGATGAATTAGTTCTGCTGTATTATTCTGCTCCTCTGTTGCCTGGTTTATTTTTTATTTTTATCGTTATTATTAATAATAATATTAGTAATCTTAGATTTGATACATTTCACATTGAGAGGATTTCTCAAAGCGCTTCACAGGATTTACTGTTAAAGTATAGTCACCGTATTTTGTAGGGAAACGCTGCAGCCGGTTTTGCCTGCTCCAAAGTCCCACAAGCAGCCATGAAGTGAATGACCAATTTTATCTGGCGGATTGTTGGCCAATTCACTGGAAGAAACTCTTTGTTGAATAGTACCACAGTATTTTGAACGCCCACCTGAGCAGGATCTCGGTTTAATGACGCATCCAGAGAACGGCAACTCTTGATAATGGGCTACATCCCCAGCAGTGTATTCAGGGATGAGAGTGCGACCGACTGAGCCAGGCTGACACACATTCCAGACATAGGAAAATTTCCATGTTTAGGTGGTTTACACATGCAGACCTCTGAATCTTGTTAAGATCTTGTTAAGCATGGTCCTGGTTCTTCCACTTGTGTCAGACACCCGGCTGAACAAAAAATATACATGCCTAGTGCCTACCTAATGCATGGAATGGGTAGTTTGCATTTGTAAAGGCTTTTCTGAATGTATGCTTGCATTTCAAAACCAAATGTCCAAAACAATTCTTTCAATGTTCTTATTTAATATTTCTGTTGATATTCTGAATATTTCATTTGAATAAAAATTCCTGGTTATTAAAGCGCTTAGGTCTGCGAAACTGCTCATTCAATATTTATAATCTTTTCATAATCTCTTTTGATGGAATTTTGGACAGATGAGGTCAGTAGTGCACCACCTTAATAAATATCTCCACCTCATGCTAATTAAGGCTCCTCACTGGGATCTCTCTTACACTGGTGGCAATAAAAATAGCAATACTTACTACTTCATAACAGGAAGCAAACAAAATCAGGGATCAGTAAAAAAACAGGGCCCCATTGTTTTGCTCCTGACAACCAATTGGTTTAATGTCACATACTCCATATTTGCACAAAATATTAAGATTAGCAAGTAGAAGAATAAATAATTGTGGTTCGATATAGAAGCACATAGCTTGTGAGTGTTTGTGTACATATAAATTACTGAATTTTATGTCATTTAAAATTTAAGATATAAACGTGTGTGTGTATATATATATATGTAGTGTATATCTTGAATTTTATAATATAATAATAATAATAATCCTTGCATTTGATATAGCGCTTTTCACGTCGGGAGGACGTCCCAAAGCGCTTCACAGAACACACTGTAAAGTGAATTGACTGTATATTTGTGGGCGAACGCGGCAGCCAATTGCGCACAGCAATGTCCCACAAACAGTCGTAGATTGAAAATGACCAATTTAATTATTGTTTTTGGTTTTTTGGAGGGATTATTATGATTTTGAATGATATGTTGATAAAATTCAGGACTCATCCGTGGAACTGCAGGTTGTTAACAGATCAACTGGTAAAATCACTTTTCCAGTTGATGGGAACATAGAGGACAATTGTCATTTAGCTATGTTGTTCAGGTCCCCTGCGTTTTCACATTCCTCAGCACGGCACAGATCTTGTTTCAGTTCTACTCCCTGCTGAATCAGCAATCTGTTCATTATTTTTTCTGAATGCTAGGTGGCAGTCTCTTCCATAAATTACCAATTGTGAAATGTGCTCCTTAAATTAGATTCAACTCACAAGCAACTTTTAGGATTTTTTAAAATTTAATACAGCCTTCTTCAAAGGTTAAGTGATGTTGCTAAAAACAAAAGTTTTTTTTGTCTCCGACAATACGGAAATTATGCCCTTTTTGTCATTTGCTTTAGTGGAGTTCGATTCCACAAGGGAGTTAACCGTGACCTCAAAGTGGATTTACTGTACTTTGGGACTGTGCCATTTTAGATATTTTAAATAGCAATAATTACCATGGTTTAAATATTGAAGTAATTAATATCTTTACTTATTGTATAATTCACCTACAAGTGAAGTGCTTTGAGATGTTTCAACAAAGTTATAAGGTGCTATATCAAATACAAAACTTGCACTTGTATAGTGCTCTCCACTCAGGGTAGAGTCTCAGAGAGCTTAACAATGGTGGAGCCTGATTCCAAGCCGGGGTGGGGGGGTTGGAAGGTAACCGTAAGCACAGTCGAAAAAGTTTTCAGGCGGGACGTGAAAAAGGGGAGGGGGTCAAGACCGGGTGATTGATGGGAGTGTTCCAGAGCTTTAGGGCTTAGTGGCTGAAAGTGCGACCTCCAATGGTAGAGCGGAACAAGCAGGGAGCCAGTGCCAGTCGAGCGGAGGTGCCGGGTGGTGGATTGGGGAGTGAGGAGGTTGGAGAGGTAGGGAGATGCCGTGGAGTGAATAGATTTTAACACAAGTGTGAGGATCTTGAAGTCGATCTGTTCGGTGATGGGGAGCCAGTGGAGCCTGGCCAGAACTGGTGAGATGGGGCTACGGAGTTTGGTCCGGGTCAGTATGTGGGCAGCACTAAATGAGCTGGATTTTTTGAATAGTGGAGCTGGGAAGACCGGCGAGGAGTGAGTTTGAGTAATCCAGGCGGGAGGTGACAAACACATGCACAGGGGTTTCGGCTGCATTTGGTGATGTAAAGTACAATCAGAGGTGGGCAATGTGGCAGAGGTGGAGGAAGGCAGCCCTGGTCAGCGACCGGATGTGGGGGAGGAAGGACAATTGGGGGTTGAACCGCACGCCTAGTTTTCTCACTGGTTCAATGAGTCTGAGGGAGTGCCCAGGGAGTTTGAGGAGTTCAGATCCGCAGGAGTGAAGACGATGGCGGGAGCCAAGGAGTGTGGCTTCCGTTTTGTCCACATTCAGCTGCAGGAAGTATGCACACATCCAGGCCCTGATGTCTGCTAGACAAGCTGATAGAACATTGGCGGACCTGGAGTCGAAGTTGGAGGAGGCAAAGTAGATTTGTGTGTCATCCGCATACATGTGGAAGTTTACCCTGTGTCTGCAAATGACATCGCACAGAGGGAGCATATAGATAACGAAAAGAAGGGGGCCACGAATGGAGCCGTGGGGTACCCTGCTGGTGACCAGGCAGAGGCAGGAGGAGAAACCATTTGCTGCCTGTCTGTCCAGTTGCAGTCTGCTACTATCCTCCTCACTGTTTACTACTTTTCCTAGCTTAGTATCATCTGCAAACGTGGAAATTGTACTCCCTATACCCAAGTCCAGGTCATTTATATAGATCAAAAACAGCAGTGGTCCCAATACTGATCCCTGGGGGACACCACTGCACACTTCTCTCCGGTTAGAAAAACAACATGGTTTACGCAACTCGCAAATTTGTTTCCCAATGCTACCATTTGGTGTCCTATAGCTCAGTGGTAAGAGCACTCATCTCGCAAGCGAAAGACCTGGGTTCGATTCCTGGCTGGGCGAAATGTTGGGCAAGTTTCCTTACTCCACACCCCTCTGTTTAGTTAGCAGTAAGTAGGAATCTGTTTGTTAGTCGATTGGTGGATCGCTTTTCTGGGGTTAATAATTCCTTCAAAAGAAAATTGGTCACTTCAATCCACGACTGTTTGTGGGACACTGCTGTGCGCAATTGGCTGTCGCGTTTCGCTCACAAATATACGGTCAATTCACTTTACAGCATATTCTGTGAAGCGCTTTAAGATGTCTAGAAGACGTGAAAAGCGCTATATCAAATGCAAGGATTATTATTATATTACCATGTTAAAAACAAATCTGGAATTTCTGCTGTGGAATGACATTGATTCTGTGGCTGAAAGACAATTTTATAACATTTATGGAATAAGAATATAAGAAGGCATGAGTCAGAAAAAAGCCATTCAGTGCATTAAACACATTATAAATTCCTTCCATGGACCATGTGCAATCTGCTCCACCATGGAGTCTATCCAACCCTTATAATGTTCTAAAAATATTGGTCCAAGATTCCTTACCCTTTTCTCCCAAATGTGCAGTAGCTAAATCAAGTAAATTTGTAGAATATTTGTCCAAATTATAGGATCTAGTTTGGAGCACTGAAGGAATCCAAATTGTGCAAAAGGTAAACCAAAAGTATGCAACAGTAACTCCATTCAGATGTAATCTATTTCTGGGGTAGATGTGACATTGGTGAATGGGAATTCTGACAGGGTTCCGATGTTGAGAAATCCCATTGAGAAACACTGACAATTTAGATCACTAAAATTGCCTGGCCACTTGCATAACATTTCCCATGATACACTTTTGGTTAGGATCATGAAATCTAACCAGTGTGTAAATATCCAGTACTTCCTGTACCGTATATGCCAATTCTTACAAAATGATTTCCCTCAAAGAGAGAGTTCCAATTCTGTTAGACTTACTTTCATGAACAGGTAATTCGGTCAGAAGCAATGTTAATATTTACCCTAAACTACTACCAGTTGGCCATTGGAAAAAAAGGACATTGTGAAACCATGACCTTTTAAACTGTCCTGAAAAAAAATACCTGTGTATCCTTCCAAAAAACACACACACGTCAGCATCAGCATTGTCATAATGCTTCCTTCATCTTTAGAGCAACTCTACGAGAATCCACTGGGAATGACTAAAATGAACTTGTTTGCTAGGTGTATATTGTTGAAAGGTGTGAGTTGTCGATTGCTTAATCTTTGGGGGGAAAAAAGACATCAAATACTGAGTATTATTGATTTATGCTGTTGCAGATTATGATGGTTTTGCTTTTTTAAAAAAAAATGTTTACTCTTTCATTTCAATATAACTTAGTGGTTTCTGAATGGTCCAATAGCGTTCAATGACTGGTGAATGTTAGTTTCTATTGTAATTTGGATTTCATTGGCCTGTCTTTATTAACCGTTTCTCTTGTGGTAGGGTTTGTTCAGGAACTTTGATGAAGCCTTTCTATCCGTGTTAAAGCCACACATGGAGCGCTTGGCAGCAGATTGTCATGAGAGCACTCAGCGCTGCGTCGCTGAAATCATTGCTGGATTAATCCGAGGTTCCAAGCACTGGACATATGAAAAGGTATTTTTGTGGCCTACACAATAATTTGGTTGTGGTGGGGTAATTTTAATGTCTTTGGAGTAGTTGAGGGTGGGGACATAGCCAACTGGGAGGAAGCCAGGTTTAAGGGCTATGCAGTGGCGCAGAACTGCTGCTGATATGAGTGTCAACTTGTCTGTTAGAATAGAGCAGCAAACAGCTATGAGGTTGTGGAATCCTTCAACTCTGGTTGCCTGTAACTGTTCGGTCTAGTTGAAACTGGCCATTGGGTGCATCTCGGAAGTTTTGACCTCAGAATTTCTGTAGCAATAGTATGAACACTCATTACCTATGTGACTCGGGTTTGACTCTTCTTTCGGGGGAAGCTGTACTCTTTGTACACGTTAAGTAAAAGGAAATCTTGCTTATCTGGAGGATAACATTTCTGTTCATGTTGTATTGTATCTTGATAGTGCCTGCTGTCTTTTATCAGACATGTTCGTCACCCTTGTCTCCAGTTGTCAATTCAAAATTGCCCTTTTAGTTTAATACTCCAGCACAAGAAGGACACAATTATTCAGGATATATAATCCAAAAAACTATTTTAGAGGGCAACACTGCTCCGACTGAATTCTTTTGTTGTCCTGTGTTTTTTAAACCAAGGATGGAGAAAAGTATTTAATACTGGTTTGCTTGACATGAGTAGAATGATTCCAGGAATTAGTAATGCCAAGGGCAATGTTTTGGTGATCCTAGGTGGAGAAGCTCTGGGAAGTCCTCTATCCCCTTCTAAAAACAGCCCTCTCCAACATCACGGTGGAAACCTACAGTGATTGGGGGACCTGCATTGCCACAGCTTGCGTAAGTAAAAGGCACTTTAAAATCAAAATTGAATTGCTTTCTAGAGTGAAAATTTGGAAAGGTGCAAGGATTACATTTAAACATAAAGCACAGTTATTTTATTCGGGTAGTCATGTTGTTAGCATTTTTTTAAAAAAAAGCTGAATATCAAAGCAGTTTGAAATTATTCTTACAATGTTTTCTTGTCCAAACATAAAAGGAGTTTATTCTGTTTTGTTTCTCTCTGCTCATATCCACACATTCATTATCTTTGCCCTCTTCAATCTATGTTGGTATCTACATACATTTTTACTCCCTAATCCTTGCTTAACATACGTCAAATACTCCAGTGAACCTCTTAATTTTAATAATGTTTTTTGTGACTCGTATATTTCAACATTACAAATTGATGGTATATTTTAGTCGCACGCATCAATTAAAACGAGAGGGCAACAAATAATCGGATTTCATCAGGCAAAAACACCCTATTTTGTTTCATTTGCACAGGAGAGTAGAGATCCTCGGAAACTTCATTGGCTTTTTGAGTTGTTAATGGAATGCCCATTGAGCGGAGAAGGGGGATCATTTGCTGATGCCTGGTATGTGTTTGGGAGGAACAAGGGGATTTGCAAACTACAGGATGAAATCGTGTGTGTATATGTATATTTCTCGCATTTGATGCAACAACTTTCATGGCGTAGCAATGTCTGAGCACTTCACATGATTCATAGTAAAGTATAGTGAACGTGGCAAACCATTTGCACATGGTAATGTCCCACAAGCAGCCATGAAATACTGTAGTTCTGTCTGAAAGACGGGATGGTTAGAAATGTGAGCTTTTCTCACAGTGCGATTGATTCTTTTATGGATTTTTAATCCCTTGTGCTTTTCATTTTTAACCTTATTTGCCATTCTGATTGGTATTCCATGTCAGTACGATATGCACTCATAAAAAATACAGTTTGTCTATATTGATCTCGTACAAAATTGGTGATATGCTAAATATTTCCCCAAGCTCCTAAATAAAACAGCATTTAAGCATTTGTGTTTGGGAATAAAGCTTGATACTAAAACTTGACAGTGAACACACAGGTATTGTATTGTTTTCATATTTAATAGCATTGGATGGAAGACATCTCTGTGCATACCATTTGAGCAATTTTGTTTATTGCAATCTTGATAATCACTAATGCCTGATAGTATTAACTTCTGAACCTCAAATATTGTACCAATACTGCAGGGTTGCTGTGTGATAACAATCTCATGGAGATAATATGAGTTATGTAATTTACAGGACATCCCTGTTGTTTGGGGCCAGTAAGGCCAGTAACTAAGGCCACATTTATAACCAAGCATGAAGAAATGTTTGACTTCCACATTGTTAGGTCCACTATGCACAGGAGGCCACTGATGGTGCTTCCTTTGAGAAGTGACATCAGTGACACAGGCTAATCAGCATAGAAAGTGGGTATACAACACTGCCAGCAAACCTTGGGCCCACAGTGGACCCACTCACTCTAAGAAAACTCACACCCAACTGGAGTGTGTGAGTTGTATGAGGGCCAACATGTACTTTCCTTGACTTCCATAATGTAACAGAACCGTTTTAATATTTTACAGTATACATTGTTTTGTGTTTTCTTTTGCTAGTCGACTGTACGTATTGCAGGGTGGTTTGGCACAGCAAGAATGGAGAGTCCCAGAACTCATGCAAAGGCTCCTTCAGTACCTTGAGCCGAAACTCACCCAGGTCTACAAAAACGTTAGAGAAAGGATTGGAAGGTGAGTGCTTAGACAACAGAGATTGGTAAATTGCAATATCTTAATTTTATACTGTGTACTCTAGACATTGGTAGTCAAATTATGTTATTAATATGAACAACAAAATACTGTTATAACTTATTGCTTATGGCTCCTTCATTAAAATACAGTGTACTTTTTTTTAAAAAAGAAATATTTTAAAATTTTCTTTCACTTTAACAAGCTCTCTGTTGATTCTTCAAGTTTCCCAGTCAAAAGGGCAGGCCAGCAAGCCAAGGCCTTTGGAGAAATGTTCCTTGTTCCCCCCCCCCCCCCCCCCATATTAGAAACAGCTTTCACTGTAAAAGTTGGAATTCAAACTCTTCAGAAGTAATCCCAAAATCCTTTTTTGTGTGCATTTGGAATTCTTAAATGATGGAAGTTCCTCAGGAGTTAGTTATTCGTTAGCAAAAAAATTATAACTGAGATAATGTAATAACCTATTTTCCTTTGTTTATTTTCGTTGCTCACAAATACTCTCTGCAGTGTTCTAACATACATATTCATGATAGACATCGTATTGCCCAATTCACTTCCCACTCTGTCCCCACGCATCTCCGAATTCACAACCCGCATCATTGTTCAACTAAAGCCCCTTATGGAAAATGATGAAGAGATACAGAATCATGTTGTTGAAGAGAATGGAATTGGGGAACAAGATGAAAGGACCCAGGCTATTAAGCTCCTAAAAACAGGTAGGAGTCCAATTTTTTGAACAAAATATTATAAATATTCCCACTGGGTTACTGAGAACAATATGATTGATATTTGTAAAATACTTGACCAATTTTGAGTTATAGAAAAGAGGATGATTCCTAGTGGGATAATGAGATTGTTCACCTTCAAAAGGCAAATTTTGAATACAACTCACACTGTACTTGTAATTTCATTCTCTTCCATAGAAATTGTTTATTTTAAAAAAGTGCCTTTGATATAGCACCTTTCACTTCAAGAGAATGCCTCTCAAAGCATTTCACAGGATTTTACTGTAAAGTGTAGTAACTGTATGTTGTAGGTAAATGTGGAAGACAATTACCACATAGCTATGATCCACAAACAACCATTAAGTGAATGAACATTTTTATCTGGGGAATTGTTGGCCTGGACATTGGGAGAAACTCCCTTCTCTTTATGAATCCATCTAAACAGGCAGGAGGGGCCTCGGTTTAATGTCTCAGCTGAAGAACGCACTTCCAACACTCACTCCATTGGAATGTCATGCTACTTAGACATTATGAGTTCAATGTTCTCTGGCATGGTCTGAAAAAGACTGTTATAATAATAATAATCCTTGCATTTGATATTGCGCTTTATCATGTCTTCGAGACTATATTTTGTGGGTGAAACAATATGTTGTTGTACATAATGGAATTTCAGCAATTAGTTTCATATTTAATTTCAATGTATTTTTTCGTGTATTATTTTAGAGGAATTGGTTCCAGAAAAATGAATCCTTTAGTTAGAAGAATTTGTTCTAAAACAATAAGTACAGAGTGCTTGTACTTTTGAAAAAATGGTTCAGATACTTTGTATTTTCTTTTGGGTAAAATCAAAATGAATGTGAAACTAATGAAGTTATTGCGTTAACCAATGCATGTTTTGTCTTGCTGCACAGTGCTGAAATGGTTAATGGCAAGTGCAGGGAGATCTTTCTCTACATCAGTTACAGAGCAGATCCAACTCATGCCACTTTTATTCAAGGTATGTCCCATATTACTGTAACTATTTACATATTAATGATGTACAGCATTTGAAACTAAGTGGTGTATATTCTATTTTGTTTTGTAGTTTTGACCTCAGTTCTATTTAGACTCCTGTTTGCTGTCAAGTGGGCAGATGGTCTGCTTATAAATTCTGAATTTGAAATTTGGGCAAAATAACAACATTCTGTTAAGGCATGATGTTAAAATCCCCTCTTTTGACTATTTGTGTTTTGTCTCTTGGGACCACTATTGAAGCTTTGAAAATTAAAATGAAATCTACCTTTAAAGTCTTATAGCTATAATGATTAACACTGTCAGTCCCAATAATACATTAGGAGTATAATTTGAATCTATTATGCCACCTGAAATCTGTTTCAAAGATTGTGGTTACAAACCAGATTAACTGGAATAAAATCCTTTACATATATGTAACCTGCAACACAAAAAAACATGAAACCTGGAATGGGACAAAGAGGGAACTATGCTTTTGAAATCCGCTACAATACTTGAAATGAGGCAAATTCTTGGAACATAGCCAATTGGAATATTTTACCTTGTGCCTTGAACTGTTGATTTCCTTTTGGGATTCAACTGGAACACACTGCTATAGTTTTAGCGCACTGAGGCGAAAACTACTCTACTTCATGTAATGCCAGCTTTACTTGTAAGACTATTCAGAGCAGGACTTAAATGTCTTTCTTTGCCACAATTTATTTTTAAATTCCAGATCGCTCCAGTGGAAAATGATGACAGCTATGACGAACTTAAAAGAGATGCAAAGATGTGTTTGTCACTCATGTCTCAGGGACTCCTGTATCCTCACCAAGCGTCTTTGGTACTCGATGTTTTAAAACTGGTAATACTTTGCGTTTTGTCACTAAATGTTGACCCTTTTCAATTTGTTGCATTTGAAATTTCAAAGTGCCATAAGTTACTGTTACGACTTTTTTTCCCTGTGAGCCTAATGGCGCAGAGTTTATTTGAAACAAAATTTAAAAATTGTAAGACAAAACTTCAAACAAAAGGTTTTGAATAAATAAACACTAACTACATTAGCAGTCCAGATATACGTAATCTAGTAGAATACATCCTTTTAAATCGCTTTTAGAATGGAATTTTAAGATTTCCCAGTTCTGCATTGTGTACGTGCTTCCCCAGGTAGGGGAGGCGTTTACACAAACTCCTTTATTTCTTTCTCAGTTGATATTGATCGCACTAGTCTCTTTCTCATGTGAGAAGCCTTTTTTTTATAGAAAGCCTTTTATAAGTATGGTCACACAGCATTCACTCAAACATACATTTTACAACCATGCCAATACATTTTGTACAAAGATGGTCAAAGGAGTAAATGAGTTTGACGAGCTGAGTAACCTCCTCTCTCATTCCATACTTGTGTTCTTACCGAGCCAATACTGTACACTGTATTTTTGGACTTTGAGCTCAATTTTATATTCTCGTACTTCCAGTATTGAACATTCCAGGCTTTCAATCCTGAATAAAGTGCAGAAAATGACATCCACCACTGACTACTGCACCCATTATCCTGGTGCCTTCCAGTGGATCCCCGTCATCCTGCGTGAGTTGTGTTAAAACTTCTAGAGAAGTGTGAAATAGCAAATGTTAAGTCTGGTTGGAAATCTTTGAAATCCAACGGTGCACATACTCCCTGAATGCCTTCTTCTGAAAATCTTCCACTTCCCTGTTCAAACCAAAGTAGCATTTGATTCAGTCGGGATGCCTGCAAGGAACTTTCAGTTTTATGAATTAGTTTTGTCGAAAAACAAATGACGTGCTAAGTGTAGCCTTGAGAAAACCCCAGTGTGAGCTCATATGTTAGATTTTTTTTTTGCTTTTGAGCAATTTTGTTTTGTACAGTTATCAAATTCTTACTTTGTTCAGCTCTCACAAACAAGTCCTTCTTCAGCCAATGGGGAAAAACATTTAAGAATATGGCTCTTTTTAGGTGGTGTGTAGAAGGAAAGCAGCTATCAGTCCAGATATTTTTTGCTTATGTGACTTTCTCGAAGGATTTTCCCTAAAATATGTGTACCAATGTTTAATTTTTTTTCCTCCCAATATTGACCCAGTTTCTGACTATTGTCTATGATTTTATTCACTGCCATTTATGCAGTGTTTCTATGCTTTTGCAAATGGTATACTATACAGAATCTCTGTAAACAGATTTTTGCTTGTTTTTCAATCGTTTCCATTTACTTATAAAAAGCATTTATGCTGCAACTTCTGCCAAAGTACATTTTTGTTAATTTTGCATTTTAATATCAAACAGGAGAAGCCTTTTTGCTTTTACCTGATATCTTCAGTAGATTTATGGTTCTTTTGGTTAAAACATATTTTGCACTATTCAGTGCTAACCATTTTTCATAAAAAGCATTTGTATTGACATTGGAATTTAATATCTATATTGAATAACATGCATGTTTTTGAGGAACATGCCACCTCCCCCTTTGACCCTTGCACTATCTGGTACGCTTGTACAGTTATGAAACTAAGTGGCCCTGTCTTGATCTGGGGTAAATTCTAATACGCAGGGGAAAGAATCCTCCAGAAAAGAATCATCTGCTTAGAAATCTCATGTTACATTATCTCCATTTAGGCAAGGTAGCTGAATGCAGATAGGATTTTTTTTTTCAGCTGGTTTTCTGTCACATGTAGAAACCCATCACAATACTTAAGAGTATCCAAACCAAGCTGAGATTTGTGTGCATCCCACCTACACATGGAAATCCCAGAGATAGATTGTTGGAATGAAATGCACACTCTCTCCCTGGAGTAATGCATCCTGCTTACTTAATTCCAGAAAGTATTAAGCACAGGTTGGCAAGAGCCAAGGCTTGGGGATCCCAGAGTGTGCGCTGAGGTACACCTGAAATTTAACCACCTATAAAATTGCATAGCTTGCCATTGATATAAGCTTTCCTGCTGCTTGTCCAGCTACGTCCACTTTAATCATTAGGGCTTTGACTTGCAGGGTTAACAGGACCTGAGTGGGATGTCTCCCTACCCCATTGACTGGTCTGACCTTCCAGGTCCTGCTGATGAACCAGGCTGGCTGTACTGTCATCAGCAGTGCCCTGGAATATTGTGGACCCACCTGGCTCAGGAACCTGACTACCGAGCCTGCCACAGAGGGCTGGCTCGATTCCGACATTCTGTTGCCAGGCATGTCACCTTGGAGCCAGTTCCGGTCCAAGGAGATCCACTTACCTTTCCCACCCCTTCCCACCCCCCCAAGGAGGGCAGTCACTAGTTGGTCATTTGTTATTGAGGGTTTGATCCCTCACTAGGTGGATGGTGGGTAAAAGGAACTCCCTGCAAATAATGCATCACAGCACGTTGTTAAGACAATGGTTCTTGAAACTGGCATGGATTCTGGCATGACTTTACCTTGACATTTTAAGGAACCACTGGACTATGCTTACTTGGTGAGTTGGCTCAATGCAGTGGCATTTATTCAGATATTGCAGGCTTCTCTGTGGAAGACTACACTTTAGGGGAAGCAGGGCACTAGGTCAAGGCCCAATTCACATCTGCTTTTGATGGCTTGAATTGTATCACCTCTCACTTGGGTCTGGAAGTACCCTAATTCTTTCAAGGACTTACTTTAGATTTATTAGACACAAATCACATATCTTGAGATTCATTGCCCCATTCACATGGACCTGCACAGAATGTTCTGGGAAACATTTTCAGTTTGTTGAACACAGGCCTGACAAATTATACAGTCTGTCTACATTCTTGGGAGCCTGCTGGAAGCCTCAATGTACTTATCCAGCTGCAAATTATTTGTTGAGATATATATATATATTTATATGTTATACATTTATAGAACTACTTTTCTCCAATCCTTTTTAGGGCAAAAATATCCTATGACCTGGAGTAAACAGTAACATGCATGGATTACCGTCAAATTGGACTGGCATCTTATCAACCACTCTGGGCCCAAATCATTCATAAATAACTCATATTACCACTGCTGTTGTTCAAATCTGTAAATCAGTCTGAGGGAATTGGGGCTCATTTGGATAAGTAATAAATCAGATAATTAAACTGTAGTAAAAAGTCCAGCACTGGCATTTTATGGTTGTGAGGCAGGTGAGCTGTCTAGAGTATGCCACTTGGTAGCCTTCTCTTTGTTTTACAGGTTAATCCATTCATATATTATACTGTATTAAAAAAATGACTAAATGGAAATCTCTATGAAAAGCTTCAGACAGTTATAAAAATAAAGCTTGGAAACAAATTTAGGCGTTGATTCTGAAATAGTAAAACCCAGTCAACACAAGATGTAGCATATGCCTAGGTCGACAGAATATTTGTGAATATCAATAGGATTTCAACCATGGAAGAGCTGGGATACTGGGAGTTGTAACTGCTGCCATTCCATCGGTGGTACTGTCATTAAAAAAAAAGGCTTATTTTAATCTTGACAGGTCATGGGGATACCCATGTTTGGAATGCTTTGGGCTGTTATGAGAGTTTGGACTTGAAAAATAGATTAAAACATCGGAGAATCTTCAGAGAAGAGGAAGTTTGATTCCTGGATTTGGAGCTCACATAGCTGAACTTGTTCACATTGAGAAACAGCTGAGTGTGATCTAAGTCTTTATAATGTTGAAAGGCATAGATAAGATAAGCAGATAATTTAACTAATGATATAATAGAACTAGAAGGCTTGAAAAGCAAAAGGCCTGATGTAGGACTAATTATCTTCCGCGTAAAGCAGTGAACATGTGTGGTGGATTCCCCAAAAAGCTGAGTTGATTGACTCCTTCAAAGGATTGGATACGTATCTTCTTGCTAACAGTATTGGAGACTTTAGGGATAGGTGAAGACTGAAAATGAACAAGCACTCCATGAGGCACAATCACTTGTAGGGATGGATGAATATTCTTTAGTTTTTGCTTGGTTACCTTTGAAGTTCAGGGAGTATCTGTGCAAGATTGTTCCTCAGAGATGCGTGGGTGGGGAGAGATGACGTCCATGCTAGGGAAGGTTTTGTGCAACTGCAGATCTGATATGATGGGAGTTTCATGCTTTCTTGTGTTTTTATGGGATGTCTTGGGAGGATTTAAGGGAATGCTGCACACTTCACGCAATCTCCCCAAGACTCAAAGCAGTGTTCTCAGATACTCAAGACAATTCTATTCTTACCACTTTGCAGAACTAAAGGGCAGTAGAATTCTAACCTCTTATGAACTTAGTAGGAAGAAGGGCCTTCAGATCTTTCATTTTGAAGAAGATGAACATTTTGTAATTAATTTAAGCAGAACATGTCCACACTGCCTCGGTCCTGTGGACTTGAGGATAAAACTTGAGATTTGAAAGCCTTACAGAAAGATTTTGAGGTTCAATGTAGAAAAGTCCACAGCCATTATACTAACACCATGGGGTCTCCAAAACAGACAACATGTCCATAATGGATGGTCTTTCTCAGACTACATGTTTTAGCGTTAATTATGTTCATGGGTCAAAAGAGCTCATTCAAGATATTTAGCAATCCTTGAGGTTTGTTGGGTGCTCTTGTGAGTTGAACGAAGCAAGAGTTAATTTTAGGATCTGCCCTCCATTTCAAGGTATAGAAAAGGCTGCATCTTTGGGAGGTAAAGTGACATTTTGCATTCTATAAATCGGATGCAGTTTTAGCATATATTGGATTAATTATATATTTGTTTTTATTTTTTTAGGGGAAAAAAACAATTCAGTAACAGAACCTTTTGAGCAGAATTTTATAGGAGGTGCAATCTAATACTTTTAAAAAAAAACAAAAATGAAAGCCAATGTATCAAATTAATATTCACTTGATGTTAAAAGTGGTATATTCATAAATTGTATCCTTTTAGGCTTCTTTCTGTGCTTACATTTGCTGCCCTGAATTCTCCAGTCAGAAGTGTGCACCATCCTCTTTTCTGTGGACCATCTCCATAGCTGCCATTGGTTGGTTATCTGGCTCATAAATTAGGGGCAAATTCTTGTATTGTATTTCTTCTGAGATGACACTTGACCTTTCTAAGACTGGGTGGAAACAAGTGAAGCTCACCCACTGATAGAATCTGTTGAAGCCACCAGGAGTCCTGAGACTCAAACGTATGCCTCTGAGAGACAGATTCTCTCACTTGTACTGTTAGATTGCTTAACTTACTTTTTTTTAAACATTTCTGTTCAAGATTATAATCATTTACTCATTTGCTTTTTCTTCCAGATAGCAGAGAGCAGTTCATGGCATGCAAAGTACACCGTACTAACCTACCTCCAAACCATGGTGTTCTACAATCTGTTTGTTTTTCTACACAATAAAGTAGCCATACAAGACATAAGTTGGCTGATTATAAAACTGTTAGAAGATGAACAGTTAGAGGTATGAAAATTCACACTGCAAAAGAGAATTATTGCATGGTTTGGATGTGCAAACTTGAGAAATGTCGCTTACTCCTGCCATTTTTTCTTCTTTCGGCATACAATAAAAGCGCTCTAAGACGCCGTCCAGCGTGGAGGGCGCTATATAAATCCAGTTGTTGTTGTAATGAGGGTGCAAATAAACTCCTTTGTACAATAAGTACAAAGGAGTTTATCAGTTCCAATGATGCTCGTTCAACCCAAAAATACAGTCACTACATTCTACAGTAACATCAAATAAGGCGCAACATCAAATGCAAGAATTATTTTATCATTAAAAATGACCTGTGGTGACTGATTAAAAACCCCTGCTCTCTAGTACAGCCTGAAAAGATACTTGTTTATTTTATCCAATTGTTTATCCAATATTTTTCAATTTGTTCAATTCAACATTGCAGAGAAACTATCTTTCAGCATTATAACCAGAAAGTAAATAAATGGTAAATTGGAGGTAATCTTGCAGTGTAGTTTTTTAAAAAATCCTCAGTATAACAAGGAAAGCTTGAAATCTAAAGCTCAGAGCACAAACTTTAACTCTTAGTGGCAATGTACAAGTTGATTTACATTAAAGTGTGTGCTCTGAGTGTGGGTTGCACCATTGTAATTGGGTTTAGAAATGACCAGGACTGTCAGTAATGAAAACTGGAACTGTAGTGCCCTCATTTCAGATATGGCCTGGAATTCCAGAGGTGGCTTCTCGAGAACTTCCAGTGTCAAAACTAAAAAATATTGAAACGTGTTTGCAGCACCAACTTATTGCAGTTCATGAGTTGATCCATAATGAATATCGTTCTTTCTTAGCTATGTCTCAAAACAATTTTGCCCACAAATATACAGTCAATTCACTTTACAGCATATTCTGTGAAGCGCTTTGGGACGTCTAGAAGACGTGAAAAGCGTTATATCAAATGCAAGGATTATTATTATTAGTTGTTTCACTTTTTCCAGAGCTCTATATTGGACATTGCAAGTGATGGGATGGGGTGGAGAATGTGCAAACCAAATTTTCTATACTGAGTGCTCTAATCACTAAGCTACAGGACTCCACAAGTCCTAAACTGTTGCCCGCACCATGCGAATCGTCACTCAATAGCGACTAAAAACAAGGCACTGATTTGGAATTGACTCACTTGGACTGGTGTGATTGTTCGGCAGGCCACTTCTTGAAGGGCCACTTCCGACCCGCAAGCCATGGGTTGGGCACCGCTGACTTAGACATTACACTTACCAGTGGGTAGGTCAGAAACTAGTGCACTGACTGAAGAAATGATGCTTTCCTCACAGAATCGGAATTGCACTTGGTTTTGTGTTCCTGAAAACTCAAAATCAAGGGAAGTCATGAAGAGGAGATACCAATAAAGACATTTCTCTCCAACAGAACACTGATATGACAAATGCCAGCTATCTTTAGAAATCCAGAATCTTAATTTAGTTGCAAGGCAAATTCAGTTCTACATTTTCATTTTCACATGAATTCACAATTAAGAGCTCACCAGAGGCGAATTTTGTTTAATGTCTCCTTTCTGTTATGACTTAAAAGTCATTTGAACACTGACTACTGTTCCTGCTGTTGTAAACTGATAAAATTTGAATACTACTCAGCCTTGCTCTGGTATTGAATACAGGGATGTGGTCATGTTTGTTAAAGGGCATGGATGACGTGTTGGAGACATTATTGAGCAGTGCATACTGACTGCATATCTTTTTTCACAGGTAAGAGAAATGGCTGCTACCACCCTGAGTGGTCTGCTTCAGTGCAATTTCCTGATAATGGATAGCCCCATGCAGACTCACTTTCAAAAGCTCTGCAAGACTAGGCTTCCAAAGAAGAGGAAGAGAGACCCAGGAATGGTGGTGGATACCATTCCACCAGCAGGTAAGATAAAATTATATTGTGATCATATCAGAAATACCTTTTCTAGAACATAATAATCACATCAAATTATTTTTATTTCATTGTGCTGTTCCAGAAAGCCAATTTGCAAACTATTATGAAACGCTGGAATGCATTGCAAAAGAAATTGATTAATGAAGTCTGATGAAAAATGTACAATATTTTTCTTGCTATAGATTTGGTTCGACGCCATGCTGGAGTGCTAGGACTAAGTGCCTGCATTTTATCCAGTCCTTATGAAGTACCCACTTGGATGCCACAGCTTTTGATGGATCTCAGTGCACATCTAAATGATCCACAACCTATAGAGGTAAAAAGAGTTGCTGTTTAAGGGAGCTATACTTCTTAGGGCTCTGTGGTGTACATTAAACAATCTTACTCATTAAGGTGTGCTTTGTTAGCGAGCCTCCAATAGAATCAGAAATTTCAAGGTAGATCTTTCAATCTCACTTTCTCTTCATTTCCCTTATTAATATTCTTCCCTTCGCAGAACATAAGAAATGCTAGGCGAAAAAAAGACCAAGGTCCATCTGGTTCGCCTTCCACCTTCCTGGCGGGCGCTTGCACATATGTCCCAACGACCTCAGTACTATATCCCATAATGTTATTTCCTAAAAGAAATCTTATCTAAACTATCAAAGCTGGAGAATTGCACATAAGTCAAAGAGCTTGACAGTATTTGGATGCCACTTCTGGCTCCTGTATTTATTTTGAATGCAGATGTGCAAATGAATCTGGCATGTAGGGTAGTGATCACTGGAAGAACAGTGTCCCATAATCGTCATCTTCTGTTGTACTGCTCCTCTGGTGCAGAAGGTACTAGCTAAACACACCATCTCATATGACACTTCCAGATAACTCTTGTCTCTCACTACCTCTAAAGCACTCCAGGTCCATACAGCATGAATCTTCTAGCCTCCAATTAGAGAGTAACATCAAGGTTCAATGCTACACATTGTCCTGAAGCTGGTGACATCAACCATATCCATGGTACTAGCCACAAAACTCCTTGTAGACTTTTTCCACATTGGTTTGCAGAGTGTTTTGTTGTCTCAAAATATTGGCTCAAGGAGATAATGTCTCCAGATCTATTTGTGAAAATGGGGATACAGATTCTGCAGTAGTCTTCTCTAACCCTGCTAATGAGAATAGACCATAAGACGTAGGAGCAGGAGTAGGCCATTCGGCCCCTCGAGCCTGTCCCGCCATTTAATAAGATCATGGCTGATCTTCTAACCTAATTCCATTTACCCGCCCTATCCCCATATCCCTTAATCCCTCTATCCTTTAGAAATCTATCAACCTCAGTCTTAAATATGTTCAAGGACTGAGCATCCACAGCCTTCTGGGATAGAGAATTCCACAAATTCACTACCCTTTGAGTGAGGAAATGTTTCCTCAACTCAGTTCGAAAAGGCCGACCCATAATTTTGAGACCATGCCCCCCAGCTTAAGATTCTCCAACCAGGGGAAACAGTCTCACGGCATCTACCCTAGCAAGATCCTTAAGAATCTTATAGATTTCTATAAGATCACCTATAATTCTTCTATATTATAGAGAATATAGGCCTAGTTTACTCAACCTATCCTCATAGGCTTAACTTTTCTTTGTGACCAGGTGGTTTGATATCTGCAACTACCTTGCTGTGCTACTTTGAATTCTTTCTGCAGTTCTGCCTCTCTTCTACACTCCAGTTCCAAAGGCATATTGCAGATAAAACTGAGACTGCTTATCCTTCAGATAAACATAAGAAAAAAAAATCAGAATTGGAAGGATGAAACCTTAATATCAGCATTGTATTGGTCGAGAGGTTTCCAAATTAATTTTTGTTTTACTATGTTCTTAAAAGCTAAAACTTATTCTGCAAAGACTGAGATCTTTCTAATTCTGCATTGCCCACAGATGACTGTGAAGAAAACATTATCAAATTTTCGAAGAACTCACCATGATAACTGGCAGGAACATAAACAGCAGTTCACAGATGATCAATTAGTAGTTCTTACAGACCTCCTTGTGTCACCATGTTATTATGCCTGAGAAGGTAGGATATTGGTTGAAATCCAACTTTTACTGAGTCTTACTCCTTTGATTCCTTTAATTCCCAACTTCAAAGAGCATATCCCCACGTCTCATATTTCAGAGATCATCCATATTTTCTTGCCTTTTCACCAACAATTTGCTGAATTATGGGTAATTTGCTCTCAGAATCATTGCACTCACGAGGGAGTGGTTTGAGAATTGAACCCTCAGTTCCTTAATATATTTATTAATATAATATATTAATGATATTCCTTAATATCAGTATGGTCACAATTTAAGCCTTTGCTCCATGTACTGATCTGAACCCATCTGGGGTGTTCGGCCCCTCATTAGTATAAGATCTTTTGAAATCTCCAATATTAGTATCACGTCCGCAATCAGTAATGTAGAGGTATAAGGATGAAAGTTTTTAACCATTTTTAATTATGGGGTGATCAGTGGCAATAAGCTAAAAATGCATATAGTCAGGGTATATTGCAATATTAGATATTTTACTGGCGGTGTTACATACTTCATATTAAATAAAACTACAATATTGGTGGAGGAGAGGAAAATAAAATTATTGTGTTCCAAATGTAACCTGACCGAGAGAGATATCCTTTCATGTTAGTAATCACACGATACATCTCACCACAATTTTTTTCTTTCAGATACTAGGTTTGCTGCCACTAATGAAAAGAAGAAATAGTTATATCACAATTGAACGGAGGACATTTATTTTGTACATACACCTGAAAATGTCGTTAAGTGCATGTCTTCTTAAGACCCAAGAAAATGCGAATACTATAATTTTTTTTGTTCCCTTAAAAGATATGCAGACCTTTTTCACTCAAAATACATAGAAATTTAGCAGAAATTGTGTACGTATGTAAATGTGTTTAGTAGAATTTTCACTTTGTTTTTAATATACAGAAAGTAGTTTTGCTTATCTATAGAAATACTGTAATTAAACAAAAATCACACTGCTGAATTTGTAAAATCTTGTACAGTTTTTGCTCAGAACACCCATAATTTCTTGACTGCTCTTATGACAGCTCCTCTGCCTATTTAATTTACATATTTCATATCCATGTTATATGTAGAGCTGTAAAAGAATATGTAAAAACTGTAGACTTAAGATTAGCTAATTCATTTGTACAAAATGTAATCTTTACGGAGATGTAGCATTGTGATATTTGTTGTAAAGCTTCACTTGTAGAGGCATTGGTGTGGACTTAATAGTGGTTCTGTCTTCTTCAGATCATGCGCTGGACTCATGGTGGTTTTTAGAGTTAACTTTGAGGGGAAAAATGGATTTGACACCTGTTTTGCTAAACTTTGCAGGGTTTATCATGCTCATGGTATTGGTGTGTTTACAGTAATTTAATTTTAATGAGTGTTTCAACATCTTCAATCTTTTTATCCAATTTTTTTTAAATTTGTTTTTGTAATGATTAAACATTTAGTTCTGGTATGTGATGTGGTGCCACCAAATGTACCATCCTTTGTTGAATAAACAACAGGTACAATGATAAACCGTGGATAAAAGTTCAGGTCATATTGCTGTTTGATTGCTCATGATAGCATGTCAAGGACATAACCACTATATAGTGTATTGCCAAAACGGAGTGATTTAGATGTATTGTTTGGTTATTTTAAAAACCAATAAATGGATTGTTTGTAACAAATTTGCATTTTTCTTTGTTGTTCTGTATAGAATTCTAATTTTCAAGACAGTTAACTGAATTGATATGAGTTAAATGTGTTTCACTAAGATAATATGAACCTGAGAATCTTTAGGAACAAGAAATTATTAAACCGAATAATAACTTGCATAGTAATAACTCTTTAAGTAGTTCCTCAATCCAGAAATACATCTAGTTGCCTCTTCAAGCAAGTAAATAAGAAACTGAGCAATAAAAATATTAAAGAATATGGGGAAGAACTGGAAATGGAGATTAATAATAAAGGGTGAAATATAGACATAAAACGTAGCAATGGTAGACACAAATGTCCTGCTCTGTGCTGAAAGTGTTTAACCCAATTTGTACTGTCCAGTTCATTCACCTGGCCTAAAAATGTATTTCTCATACTTATTTTTCTTTGCCACAATGAACAGTTTTGTGGATCAATGTTTATAATATTATAATCAATTGATATACATATTAATCTGGTTATTTCAGCCAATACAATATTTGCAATTTGCGCACTTATATATCAGTCTGGCAGTTAGCAGCAATCTTGACTTTTGAGTCAGAAGGTCCCCACATTGGCCTTGAATTTACATAATCTAAAATAATAATAATCCTTGCATTTGACACTCCATTGCAGTGCAAGGGGATGTTGCCTGGTCAGAGGTGCTGTCCTTTGGATGATACGTTAAACCGTGGTCCCAACTGCCTGTGCAGATGAATGTTAAAGATCGCATAGTACGATTCGAAAAGAAAGAGTGTCTTCCCGTGTCCTGGTCAACAAATCCCAAAATAAAATTGGTAATTTTATGCTGATTGTGGGACATTATTGTGCGAAATTGGCTGCCGCATTTCCCTAAAAATAGTCACTACTTTACAGTAAGTCCTGTGAAGAGCTTTGGGACTTCTTCCTAACACGAAAGGGGCTATACCAAATGCAAGGATTATTATTTTCAAAAGAATACTGAGTAAATCTGAGAGAAGAACGAGGATCATTTCAGGAATTCTACTCTAAATTCTTCAGACTCATTTGAGAAATGAAGATTGAAAGACAGCCCAGATGCTTAAAATAAAAGGCATGGACAATGCGGGAGTTTGCAGTTGTTTAAACTTGAACAGTGATTACAAGCTTCAAGACAAGTATACAATTAACAAACCAAGCCTTGGCTATTGCAAACCTGCACTGAGTATTCTCTGGAATTTAGGTAAGCAGGATGCAATCCTACAGGGAGCGCGTGCATTCCAATAAATATCTCCGAAATTTCCATGTGTAGGTGGGATTGGTTTAAACTTTAGATACTCTTTAGCATGGATGATAGATTTCCGCATGTGTCAGACACTAGGCTGACCCAAAAAACACGCGGACACAAGTAATCAAAATATACAGTCAATTCACTTTACAGTATATCCTGTGAAGCATTGAGATGACTCGAAGATGTGATAAGGTGCTATATCAAATGCAAAGAATATTATTATAATTATCCTTTTCATTCTTGATCGACTACTTGATTCCCCCTTGTGTTCCGACAGCTCTTTGAAGCGGGCAGAAAGAAAGAGATTGCCGCGTCCGCTCCGGTTCCCAAGACGATGTCTCTGCTCTCTCATTTCGCATTCTCAATACAAGATGTGAATTTTCAATAGCATTCTCCCCCCCACCTTTATCACACAACTTTGCATTCTGCAAAGTAACTGTAAAGCGGGAGAGAAAATAGACCACCTTCAAAAATTCCCTGTGCCTTTGATCTGTAACTCCCCCCTCCCCCCCCGAAACGATCACAATACATAAAAAGCGATGATATCAGCTGTAGATGTTTGGTGCAATGCGCATTTGCATTGGTTAAATCGCTTGCTTCGTGGACATCTTTTCCTGCTAACCTGCTCAGTGTGTCACTGGGAGACTTGCTCAGGTTTATAACTGACTGCCGTTTGTACCTTCACGTTGTGCTGAAGGAGGGGAATCCGAAACTAGAAATTTACGGGTCGCATAATTGTTCTATCGCCTCCGTTTCCTGAAGGTGCGTAAGAATGTACTACACACAGTATTGAGCACTGCAGTGTAGAGTAGTCGACTCTTATTTGGAAATTTACGCGCGAGCACTTAGATTTTAGATCAATTTGACAAGACTCATTGAAGCCATTTCACTCTACAGATCCAATGTGTGGTTCCAGCGCCAAAGAACTGCTGTTTTAATTTTTTTTTAAAAAAAGAAAAGTTTTAGAAATGCATTTTGACATTTCATGAAAAAGGAGCAACAAAATCCTACTTACAAAACCACTTGCAGGTGTTTTCCCCGATACAACACTTACAATTGTTTTCCAATTGCATTAAAATGTTTTTTTTTTAAAAAACAAATCCTGGTCCGGGAAGTATTGTCATTTTAATTGGGAGTTGCATTAAAAATTTTTTTTTTCCCCCAAAAAAATAAGTCATCGCGTTGCCCTTTTACTTCGGAGCAAATAATGATTCGTTTATCTTTTTTTTAAAAAAATGTGTTTTATTTTTTTAAAACAAACTTTGGAGTAAAATTGGACATTGCAAACCAAATGGGTCGATTTCAGGCGAGAACGAGTGGGATCGGTGAAAGGGAAAGGGGGAGAGTGGGGGGACAGGAGATGCTTTCTGGCTCTCAACAGGGGGTAGAGGGTGGAGGGGGAGGGGAGAGGGGGGGGGAGGGGGGGGGGAGAGGGGGAGGGGAGGGTAGGGGGTGGAGAGGGGGGGAGTGGAGGGAGAGGGGGTGGAGGGGAGAGGGGGTGGGGTGGAGGGGAGGGGGGAGAGGGGGTGGAGGGGAGAGGAGGAGAGGGAGGGGGGGTGGGGAGGGGAGGAGAGGGGGTGGAGCGGGGAGGGGAGGAGAGGGGTGGAGCGGGGTGGGGTGGAGAGGGGAGAGGGGATGGAGGGGAGAGGAGGGGAGGGGGGAGAGGGGAGGGAGGGGGAGGGGGAGAGGAGGGGTGGAGGGGGGAGTAGATAAAGATCGATTAAGGGTTTTAGCTCAACCCATTATGGCTTCTTTTTTTAAAAAAAATTGACACTCAGTTGGGGATGTGCTGGAAAATGTCACAGGTTTTATTTTATATGGGGCGATCCGATTGACTTAAAAGATTCAGGGTTGGGAGCATATTTTGGTGTGTTTGCGGGTAAATCACTGTGTGTGGGGGGTGAGGGGGTGAGTGAGGGGGGGTTCGAAATAAAGAGAAAAAATGATATGTTTGTAAACAATTTCCATTTCTACAGAATAGTATCAAAACACCAACCTCGTCGGTTGGGGCGAGTTGAGAAGGTGAGGGGGTGAGGGGTGGGGGTGGGGGGTGGTGGTGAGGGTGGGAGGGGGTGAGGGGTGGGGTGGGGGGTGAGGGGGTGGGTGGGGTGGGGGGGGTGAGGTGGGTGGGGGTGAGGTGAGGGGGGTGGGGTGAGGGGGGGGGGTGGGGGTGAGGGGGGAGGGTGAGGGGTGGGTGGGGGGGGTGAGGGGTGGGGGGGGAGGGGTGAGGGTGAGGGGGGGGGGGGGGGGGGGTGGAGGGGTGAGGGGGTGGGGGGGGGGTGAGGGGGGTGGGTGGGGGGGGGGGAGAGGGTGAGGGGGTGAGGGGGGGTGGGGTGGGGTGGGGGGTGGGGGGGGTGTGGTGGTGGGGGGAGGGGGGTGAGGGGTGGGGTGAGGGGTGGGTGGGGGGGGAGAGGGTGAGGGTGGGGGGTGAGGGTGGGGGGGGGGGTGGGGGAGGGGGTGAGGGGCTGAGGGAGGGGGTGAGGGGCGTGAGGGGGGGTGAGGGGGTGAGGGGGTGGGGATCAAAACACTTAAAGGTTTTTTTTTAAAAAAGAATCGGGAGCTGGAAAGCCATATCGTTTTGAGAGCGAAAATAGTTGTATTTCTTATTGTTGTTGTGTTATCGGCACTACGGAGCTCTGATGCGTTTAAAACACAAAGAGAGCAAAACACCTGATGATTGCTGCTGTTGTTGTTGTGTATTATTGGGGGGAGTACTGAACCAAAGAATTGCCTTTGGAGATCATTATTATATGAACATATAAATCTATATCTCTGTGTGACGGTGCTGCTTGTGGTCTGTGCAGGCGCTGCCCGACACGGAGGAGCGGTTCGATGGCTCTCGCGGTGAACCGGGAGGATCGTGTCACCGGCTTTGGAGGGAGGGGATGAGATGAACCTCACAGGGAGCGGCTCAGCCTCGCCCTCTCCCCCGGCCCCAGGAGGGGGGGCAGCGGGGCAGAGCCCGGACAGCGGCGCCGACAGCTCGGCCCCCGGGAGCCCGGCGGCGGCGGCGCTCGCCCCGGGGCTACTGCTCCTGATGCTGGTCTTCTGTGTGGGCACCTACGGTAACATGGCGGCCCTGGGGTCCTCCTGCCGCCGCCCGGCCCTCAGGAGGCTCGGGGCCGACTCGGCGGTGGTGGTGGAGCTGCTGCTGCTCAACCTCAGCTTCTGTGACCTCTTCATCTGCTGCGTGACGGCGCCCATGTTCGCCTTCGTGTGGCTGCGGGACGGCGGGGAGGCGGGAGGCGACGGCGTGTCCGAGGCTTTCTGTCTGGCCTTCCACCTGAGCAGCGCCGGCTTCACCCTCGTCTCGCTCGAGTCGGCGGCTTGTATCGCGCTGCACCGCCTGCGCTCGGTGCTGCTCGGGCGGCCCGGAGGCGGCGGCGACAGCGCGGTCTCACTGGGCCTCACCCTCAGCCTGACGGCCGCGCTGTGGGTGACCAGCTTCGCCCTGGCCCTGGCCGCCCTGAGCGGGAGGGGGGGAGGAGGGGGCCTCGGGCCGTGCAGCGCGACCCTCCCCGAGGCCGGGGTGAGGGGAGCTGGAGGCGGGGATCAGCCGCTCACCCTCACCGCCCTCCGGCTGTACGCGGCCGCCTTCGCCTTGTGCGGCGGCACCGTGTCCGCCTCGTACACGCTGATCGCGCGGGCGCTCCGCGGGGGACGGGCGAGGAGGACGGGAGCCGAGGGCGAGGAGGCCGGGGCCGGGGTCGGGGCCGAGGCCGAGGCCTGGCGGCAGCTCCACAGCGGGAGCCGGAACCGCGACCGACTCCAGCGGCCGCGGCCTCTCTCCGCCGAGCAGCGGGCGGGGGCGGGGGCGGGACCGGGCTGTGCGGTGACCCTGTCGGGGGCCAAGGACTCCCAGGCGGTGGCCTCCTGCGCGGTGATGTCGCTCTCGGCGCTGCTGTGTTACCTGCCGCTGGGGGTGTGCCTGGTGCAGGAGGCCCTGTCTCCCCGCGGCGCGGGCTCCCCCCCGGGGCCCGGGCAGCTCAGGCTGTGCGGCCTCGCGCTGGTCATCCTCCAGTCGGGGCTGAACCCGTTCATCTGCTCGCGGGGCAGCGCCGCGCTTCGCCAGCGGGTGTCCGGCTCCGTGCGGTGCCTGGGCCGCCGCTGCTGTCGGCGCAGCGCGAGGCCGAGCAGAGGCAGCGCCCGTCTGGAGACCGACAGCAGCGACGGGTCGCCCGGTCACCGAACCCTCTGGGCGGCGGGCGGACTGTGCCCTGAGGCGCGGGGCGGTGCGGGGGTGGGAGTCGCTCCTCCGCCCCCGGTGTGCGCGGACACGGGCACCGGGCGCTCGTGAGCGCACCCACCGCACCCGCTGTGCGGGCAGTCAGCCGCTCCGGGCCGCCCGGCAGCGGCCCTCCCGCTGGGGACCGACACTCGACTCCTCCATCACCTTTTGGTTGTGCCAAACCACCTGTTGCTCTGCATTGCCCACAGCGCAGGTAAATACCAGGCCGTGCCCCCCCACCCCCCCCGAGCCGTGCCCCCCGAGCCGTGCCCCCCGAGCCGTGCCCCCCCCCCCCGAGCCGTGCCACCCCGAGCCGTGCCACCCGAGCCGGGGACCCCGAGCCGTGCCACCCCGAGCTGTGCCCCCCCCCCCCCCCCGAGCCGGGCCCGACCCCGAGCCGTGCCACCCCGAGCTGTGCCCCCCCCGAGCCGGGGACCCCGAGCCTTGCCACCCCGAGCCGTGCCCCCCCGAGCCGTGCCACCCCGAGCCACACCCGGGACCCCGAGCCATGCCACCCGAGCCGTGCCACCCGAGCCGTGCCTCCCGAGCCGTGCCTCCCGAGCCGTGCCACCCCGAGCCGTGCCACCCCGAGCCGGGGACCCCGAGCCTTGCCACCCTGAGCCGTGCCCCCCCCGAGCCGTGCCACCCCGAGCCACACCCGGGACCCCGAGCCATGCCACCCGAGCCGTGCCACCCGAGCCGTGCCACCCGAGCCGGGGACCCCGAGCCGTGCCACCCCGAGCCGTGCCACCCCGAGCCGGGGACCCCGAGCCGTGCCACCCCGAGCCGTGCCACCCCGAGCCGTGCCACCCGAGCCGTGCCACCCGAGCCGTGCCACCCGAGCCGTGCCCCCCGAGCCGTGCCCCCCGAGCCGGGGACCCCGAGCCGTGCCCCCCGAGCCGTGCCACCCGAGCCGTGCCACCCGAGCCGTGCCCCCCGAGCCGGGGACCCCGAGCCGTGCCCCCCGAGCCGTGCCACCCGAGCCGTGCCACCCGAGCCGTGCCTCCCGAGCCGGGGACCCCGAGCCGGGGACCCCGAGCCGTGCCTCCCAAGCCGGGGACCCCGAGCCACACCCGGGACCCCGAGCCACACCCGGGACCCCGAGCCTTGGCTCCTGCCAACCCGCGCCCAGTCCTTTCAGGAATTCGGCGGACGGGACAATAATAAGAATAATAACAATCCTTGCATTTGATATAGCGCTTTTTACGTCTTCTCGACGGCCCAAAGCGCTTCACAGAATCAACTGTAAAGTGGGATTGACCACTTTATTGACCACGTAGACCTGTGGGCGAACGCGGCAGCCAATTGCGCACCAGTGGTGTCCCACGAACGGTCGTGGATTGAAAATGACCAATTTATTATTGTTTTTGGTTTTGGAGGGATTATTATTAGGCTCTGTGTGGAGTAAGGAAACTTGCCCAAGGTTTCGCCCTCTGCCTGGAATTGAACTCAGGTCTCTCGCTTGCAAAGCGAGTGCTCTAACCACTGAGCTACAGGACTCCACATGTGTCCCTCCGGGGAGAGCGCGCGCGCGTTCTGTTCCAGCAGTCTTCTCTGGGGTTTTCAGGTGTAGGTGGGGTGCACCTGAGCGGGGTTTGGATACTCCTTATAATGGTTTCCGCACCTGTCGACAGTTCAATCGGCATCGTTTTTAAGTAGCTAATTTACGATATTAAGACTTCCCATCCAGTCATTCTGCCCATCCTGTACTTAACACTGACTCGCCAAGGATCAACTCAGATCGAGGGCGAAAAGCAGTGGAAGTGTGCCGGAGAGTTAAGTTGTATGCAATTAAATGAGAGGATGACAGTGAAGTTGTTGAGACTGTTTAGCATTCCTGTTGTGACGCATTTGTGTCCCAGAAAATCACTGAGATAAACTGTACCTATTTGATTGCCGATGGATAGTGATACTCAACACTTATTACATTTCCCCTCTTTTTATTTTAAAAGCATTTTCGTAACAAAACACACCCAAGAGTACCTGAATGTCAAGTCCAGAAATATATACATTTTAAAAAGAAAACAATGATCGGATCATATTAAACACATAAACAAATATGCAAATAACCTAAGCAGTCAGCTAGAATGCAGTAATCTATACAATAAGAAGCCCTGAGCTGGTGCCAGTTCTGCTCAACGTTACAGTATTATCTGAAGGAAGTGCCAATGAATCAAACCTAACCTCTCATTTCAGTGCAAGCACTCCAATACAACATCAAATATCCATTTTCTTTTCTCCAGTACAAACAGGAGAGACGCATAGCACATAAGGTGAGGGTGGGGGGCGGGAGAGAATACAAAAATAGAGACAGAAATAAGTAATTTATGCTAATAAGAGAATTGTAGTTATGGACATTTTTTGGTGCACACATCAGGTGTAGGTTGCATCTGCGTGGTATTTTTGACAACAGGTTTATTGTGAATGTTTCAGAGCGATAGTGAGTCAATTGCTAAATCAAATCAGCTGTATTAGGAATAAGTCTTCCTGTTTTAAGAGCTGTTGCAATTTGCTCAGCTTTTGAGGAATTGGTTGGAAGGTGGGATTTCCTCCAGCTTGTATCAGAATTGATTCTTTGCTTCTACCCAGTGTTCTGCAATTGACAAAATATAAGCAAATTCAACAGGTAATGTGGAAGCTGTATAAATGAGAGAAACAGTTGTACTTTGTAAAAAAAAATCTTTTTCAGAGCAAGTTGGACTGCATTTAGTCTTCTCAGGTTGTGTGGATTAGAGCTGGATGAGAGAACAGTAATTACTTTATAGCTGTTCTCATTGGAGTACTATAAAAGATGCACTCCATCTATATATAGAATACAGTAAGCATTTTATTAAAAATGTGTATATGTAATATCTTCGAGATAAAGGTATTCATACCTTTATTGGATTTTCACACTGAATCCACATTATTTAGGATCTGAATGAAAAAGGGTTTATGTAACCCTCTTTGTTGGTTGGGAGTGAGGGAAGAGGCAGAAACCATTCACAATTAGAAGAGACACATTATTGTTAATGAGTATTTATGTAGTGTATTATGTAGGGGGGAGAAGGTAACCATAGGTGCGATCAAAGAGATGGGTTTTAAAGTGGGATTTGAAGATAGATAGGGAAGGTGTGAGGTGGAGGGATAGAGCCAGAGGTTGGGGGGCAATTCACACACAGTTCTTTAAACAATAGGTTTGTTTGTAGTTTTCAAAACGGTAGTGAGCTGGTGCCAGAATATTGTCTGTTTGTGCTCTTCTGGGCTCCATTTTAAGTATGTCTTCCTGTTTAAGAGCTTCCGCAGTTTGCTAAATTTCAGAGGCACTGTGTGAGGAGGGAGTTCCTCCAACACAACCATAATTAGTGAGTCTTCATTCGCATTCAGTATTCGATGTTCAGCAAAGTACAGCTCATATTGACACCAGCAACTAGTAACAAAACTAGTTGAGAGAACAAAAATGACTTTATGGCTATTCTCAATACAGTTAAAGATGTTCCCCAGTATTGGGTGACCTGGCTTGAAGTCTCGCTCATGATAGCATATTTGAAATCCTTCCGATTCAAGTTGTCGAACCATACATGCTTTCACCCAGTCAGCATCCTCTTCACTGTATGACACAAAAGCATCATACTGTTTATTCTCTGGCCGCTTCTCATAGACCCTCCTTTTCGCCATGCACCAGTACCAGCCCATTTTAACATACCATGGGCCATCGTAATGCCAGCACAGACCTGTGATCAGTAATGTCAAAATGACTGCACCAGCCATTGCAATTGCCACTTGGAGTACAGGTGTGCAATGCAACAGTGAAAGGCCATGGTCCTTAACTTGCTGTCCTCTTTTCTGTTGTGGGAAAGAACATAGGATCTTGTCCCAGCCTTTTACTTCTAACAGCGGGCGATTAACAAAATTGTTTGCAAACCAGAATAAGTCACAGTTACAAAAGAAGGAGTTTCCTTCAATGTTCAGAAATTCTAAATGAATTAAATGGCTGAATGTTTCTTCGGTTATTGTTGTGATAGCATTGTGGCTGATGTCCAGAGTCAATAATGAAGGGGGCAGGCATCCCGGCTGCAAGTAGGAGATCTTATTAAATGACAGAAACAGAGATTCCAGTTCTGAAAGCTGTTCAAAGTCTTCGGAAAGAACGGAGATCATATTGTAGCTGGCATCTAGTTCCACAATTCTGCGTGGTAAATTCTTATGATCCAATTTAATTATTAGATTTCTTGAAATGTTCAGGGATATCAGCTCTGTCATGTTTTCTCCAAAATCAGAAGGCAGTTTTGCTATTTTGTTCCCACTTAAATCAATCTGCTCTAATGTTAAAGGAAGGCTTTTAACATCAATATAGTCCATATTGTTGTTCTGAATTCTTAACACTGTTAAATTGAACAGGTTCTTCAAACATGTTGGAAGGCTTTGTAGCTGATTGTTATTTATATCTAGATAAGATAAAGGAGATGAAAAACAAGGCAAACTGGGAATGTCATTGTCACTTAGCTTCATGTTTTGAAGGTGTGGAAGGTCATGAACAAAGAATTTAGGAAGATCTACAATTGAAGAGTTTCTCATATCTAAATGCTTAATTTTCTTTGGCAGGCTTATTATTGGATTTTTTGTTGTATTAACATATGACCTCATAGTAATTGAAATTGTGGAGTCAACTGTTACTTGAGAACAAGAAGGGAATGCACAATAAATGTCAGAAAACCCAACACATTCTTTTAATTGAAATATGAAATGGTTTCCTCGCAAATATAGTGTTTCTAAATTGGGTAGGAATTTAAATACTTCTTTGAAAATTTTTGAAATATTTGTGAATGACAGATCAAGCACCTCCAATGAAGACGGAACACATAACTTATCCAAGGTGTTAAATGGATTGTTACTAATGTTTAAAAACAAAAGCTTGTTTGATTTAAATCCGCATATAATATTGTGATTCCCTTCACTTAAATATATGCGATTATGGCTGGCATCCATTCTGCTTATGTTTTCCATTACATTTACAATAGACATAAGAGAGAGTAAATCAATTTTCAGGTTATTATTAAAGATTTTAAAATCAGTTACAGCATCCAGTGATCGGCATTTGGGCAGGGGTAGTTCCTGATTCCATGAGCTGTAATTACTTATTTTACCACTGGATAAATCAAGTACTGAATTTTCAACAGAAGAGCACATATCAATAAATTTTGTACCCCAGCTTAATCTGATTAGGTCATGATTATACTTTGTAAGCACAGTACTAAGATGTAGCAAGAATAAAGAGTTCATTATATTGCCTTCATCAGGATACGCATCCTCTGGCTGTTCTCTAAGTCGAATACTTATAGCCTGGTTTGAAACATTCTTGTGTCCGTCTGAAACATTCGAACAGAGTTTATAGTCAAGTTTGCATCCATCACAATTACAGTTTGGAAACCATCTAAAAACTCCAGAAAGAGTAATATTTGAAAATGAAGAACAGGGAATTTCCCTCAAAAGTCTTATAATGTCCATCCAGTGATATACACCTTCCAGATGCAAATTATCCACTGGCAATAGAATAAGTCTACTTAAAGTAGACAAAACCTTGGGAGAAAATAGCTTATCAGATGTATACTCTTGAGAAATTTTAAGACTATTTAAATGTCCAGGATGTATTAAATTCCTAGCTGATTTGGATGTATAAAGGCCTCTTCCATTAAATTTGGGTTTATCCTGACTGTCTATGTGTATGTGAAGATGCTTAAGTTTCTCTGTACCTCCAATGTTTACTAAAGCTGTATCTGTAAGGGACAAGCCAGTCAGATCCTTCAACATTTGACCCTGAATAGATGTTATTGAAGTCCCGTGGATCTTCAGTACCTTTAAAGCAGGTGGCAACTCAGGAAAGGTTTGTAATTTTCTGTTGAAAGAGAGGTCTAAAAATGTAAGATTGAGAAGATCCTGGAAAGCACCACGTTCAATATTATTGATCAAGTTGTAAGAAAGGTCCAGAATTTCAAGAGAGCAACATCTCCTAAAGTTCAACTTTGTTATAGCCTTCAAGTAATTGTGTGAAAAATTAAGCCGTTTGACATACTCAGAAATGCGAAATTGTGCGACAGATGTGAGATTTAAAAATGAATAATTGGAAAATACTTCAGAGATATTAACTCTTGAATTTGTTTCCTCATCAGAGGCTAAAATCCCAGCAATGCACGTCTGGAATGTCTGGATTTTTTTCTTCTTTTGTCGGATGTTGGAATTTCCTTCAATAGGTATAAGCTCACGAGTTTCTTGCCGCAGTTCCTCAACTGATAGGTTGGCATGCTCGCATTCCTTAACTTGTCTCTCTTGTTCCGGAGATGTTCGAATTGCGTGCTCACATTCCTGGATTTGTCTTGTTTGTTCAGCAGATGGTGGAATCCGTAGAATATATTCCTGGATCAGTCTATCTTGTTCCTCAGAATTTGGAATCCCACGAATGCATTCCTGGATATCTTTCTCTCGCTTTTCAAATGTTGGAATTGAATCATTGCATTGCTGTTTTTTTCTCTCTTGTTTCTTTGATCCTGGAATCTCAGGAATGTATTCCTTGATTTTTATATAGTTTTCTTTGGAAGTAAGAATCTTATCCATGCCTTCTTGGATTTTGACCTCTTTCTCCTCAGTTGCTAGAATTCCATGTATGCATTCCAGGATTTTTATAGAGTTTTTTTTAGGAACTGGAATCTTATCGATACATACCTTGATTTTTTGGTCTAATGGTTTTAGTGGAATTCCATTCAATTCATTTTCAATTGATGATCTTCTCGCTTCCACAGATGTTGTAAATCCAGCAACACAAAAAACGATAATCAGGCTGGAAATTCTCATCCTAAAACAAAGATTTTAGAAAAACACATTGTTGCAAGTAACATGTTATTTAATGTGTTATTGCTATTTCATGTCTGTATTTATGTTGCCTTATAGAATCCAGCATTCAACTCATTCTCAGAAAATATAAATATATGTAAAAAACCAATGACCTGAAAAATTAGTAGCTATATATGATTGTTTCTGTCAATCTTATGCACCCATCAAGTAAACAGATACTTTTCTAATTTCTCCAATGGTTGAATCACAAATCCTAGACTACAAAAGTTCTAGAAACCTATATTTGATGTTTGTTACCAATATACTGCCTATTTATGTAGTAGATATCCTCCAGTGGAACATGTATGTGGTTGAGGCTCTTGGCTTGAGTTCCATCACTGTATCACTGACCATGGCTGTTGGTGGTCTATATAGGAAATAGGAACAGTAGTCCATTCAGCCCGTCAAGCCTATTCTGCCATTCTATTAGATCATGGCTGATCTGTACCTCAACTCCAACTATTTTTTTAAATAATTGATTTACTCAACTTAGATCTATCTAAGGATATGTCACTGAACAACCACAATGGAGGTTGGAATTGCATTCCTTAGAAAATTAGTATTATTTTGACTGCTTTGTGACATAAATTATCTTTTAAACAGGGAATCTTATGTCGATCAGGCCAACGTCTGAGAAATTCGTTCCAAGGCATTGTCAGGACAACATCTTGCAACATCTTCCTTCTGAAAACAGTTTACATTTGGCTAGGTGTTTTTTTTATTGGCCAGGCATCAGTAACTCTTTCCTCTCAGTCACTGGATCACTCTTTCCTTTCAATCACTCTCCTCAGGATTTATTTTCAACCCCAGTATCCCATAAACTTGACATGTTGATACATTTTATCTTGGGCAATTGTTGGCAAATACACAGAGGAGAAACTCCCTTCTCTTTTTCAAATAGCATTATGGGGTCTTTAGTATCCACCTGAAGGGTCCTTGGTTTAACCATCTCATCTAAACTGCAACAACTCTGATAATACATTTCCCCCCCCTAGCATTTTATTGGAGAGTCAGGATATTTTGTGAATTCAACACTTAAAACCTTCTGACGAGGCGAGAGTACTACTACCCGAGGCTGGCTGATACCCAGGCTAATCTCTCCCAAACGATCCACCCTGACTAAAGTGCTTCAAGAGTAGTACACCCAATGTGAGAGACACAGCCACAGTCCTTGTTTAGAAGTGATGTCCCAATGTTGCTGTGTTCCTGGGTGCTGGAGGCTTCAGGTGTTGCTCAATGTTCTATTCTAAATCTGAAATTTTGACTTGCAGTCAGCGAATTTAGCTCTGGATTCCTGGAACTCTCCACTAAAATTTCAACCTTCCCAAATGACATCATCCTAATGGAAATAGTTGGGTGGGTATACTCAAGGCAGTGCCTAGAGTGGGGAAGGATTATTGCGATTACAAGGATTCATGTTTCAATAATAGCTTTCTCGTCCTTTTAATTATTGGTAACAAATAATTATATCATCTGTTTTTATCTAGCTGTTGTAAGATATGTCAAAGGGAAAAGACTAAACTTGCAGAATTACTGCTACATAATTTCATTAATGTATCTTTGATTTTGTTGTGGTTACCTGGATGCCTGACACATGTAGAAACCCAACACCATGCTTAACTATATCCAAACCAAACTACTGAGAGTTCCACATATGTAATTGGAGATTTCTATTTATTTGATAACAGAAGGCACCCACTCATCCTATTCATCCTGTTTGCTACAAGCGCTCCAGGATGCTACCCCGTGTGAAGAGCGCTATATAAATGCAAGTTGTTGTTGTTGCTAACCTAATCACAAGACCCAACGCTTGGGAAACCCAGTGTGTGCATTAGGGCATTGCTGGAGTTTAACCTCAGGGTTTTTTTGAAAAAAAACTAACAAGACATGGAATTATTCAAAACAAGCAACAATTTGGGAGTGTCGCACTGAAAATGGGTCAGAGCTTAGTGCTTGAAGGCTTGGCTGCCGATGGTGGGTGGAGAGAGCAAGGAACTGCGAGTAGCAAGCTTGAGATGGTTGAGCAGAGGGGCAGACAGGCAAGAGAAGGTCACAGGTATAAGCATTTGCAGGCAACCGTAAAGGCTGTGGACTAGGGAGCCAAGTTAGGATAGAAGTGGATAGACAAGTTTAGTGCAGTCAAGTATGTGAGTAATGAGGGAGCAGCACACACCGTCACTAGAGAAAATCACTTTAAAGTGTTACAATTGTAAAATGTTTAAACAAGGGTATTTCACTTTCAACAAGTTTAAAAGGTTTTCTCAGTGTAACAGGAACGAATACTTTATCTGATTATTGACAGGACAAGTCGCATAGATTCTACTGCTCATGTCAAACTTAATACAGATACTTTAAAATAGAAAGAATCATAGGAAGTTTAAGTAGAGAAGGAAGCCATTTGGCCCATTCTGTGTGACTGATACTTGGCCCTTCATTAATCCAATTAATAATAATACTTGCATTTGATATAGCGCCTTCTCACTTCATTGAGACGTCTCAAAGCATAGAATATATTGTAAAATGCAGGTCAGAGAGGTAGGAGGGGGTAAGGCCATGGATGGCCTTGAAAGTGAGGATGAGGACCTGTGTATTTGTGTGCGAAACGCGGTGGCCAATTGCGCACAGCAGTGTTCCACTGGTCACTGAATTGAGTGACCAAATTTTTTTTTGAGATATTATTACTCCTGGAAAGCGATCTGCCAATCAAATACTAACCGGGTTCCTACTTACTGAGAGGTAAACAGAGGCTTGTGGAGTAAGGAAACTTGTAAAGTTTTACCCCGGCCAGGAAATTCCAATTCCACTCCTGCTCTTTTCCTATACTCTTTGGTATTATTTTTCCTAAAAAGATTAGGAAATTCTCTTTCTCAAATTCCCTTTCATGTATTCAAATAAAAATGAAGCATGTTCTACTTACCTAAACTTTTTGTGATATTCCAGATATATGGATTGTTCTTAAAGTCGACACAAAGACCAGGACCCGAGATTGTACGAAGTTCTTTAGGAAATGTTTTTAAACTAACTTTGCTTACAATGGGCTTGTCAGTCTTGATCAGGTTGGAATTGAATTATTTAAGGATTGCATCAATTGCTTCGACTCATTGCTATTTAGCAGCGCATACAGTCACTGGAGCCAATCAATTTAAAGGGTGTTGACTTGCAAGATCAGGCTATGCATTGAAGTGGAATCTTATTCTGTATTAACACTTTCTGCAGACCTGAAACGCTTTCTTTGCAGGTTCAATTTAGGTGTGAGCCAAACTAATGCAAAAATCTGATAGCGTGGGGAGTAGTGTGCAATGGCTTCCATAAGTGAATCAAATCTAAGATAGTTTCTCTAGACGCGAAAAAAAGTTGAGAAATATGGCGTGAGAAAAAAACTGCCCACTTTACAAATATAAAGTGGTAAAGTGTTTCAAGAATAAAGGCATTTCTTACTCAGCAATGTTATCAAGTTTCTCAGAGTAACATGGACAGAGGTAAAATAAATGCTTTGTGTGTCATATTATAATCCTTGCATTTGATTTAGTGTCTCATCACACTGTTAGACGAGGGACAACTTTCTCCAGCTGAACGTCAGCAAGACCAAGGCCCTCCTGACTGGCCCGCATCAGCGCCTCCGCACCTCAGGCGCTGGCAGCATCAGCCTCCACGGCTGCACGCTCAACCTCACTAAGTCAGTCAGGAACCTGGGTATCTTGTTTGACCCTGAACTGTCCTCTCTCCCCTACTTCTGCACCATGACCGGCACTGCCTACCACCGCCTCTGTAACATTGTCAAACTCCGTCACTGCCTCACCCCTCAGGCTGCCGAAACCCTCACCCACACATTCGTCACATCAAGGCTCAATTATGGAAACTCCCTCCTCATCGGCCAGATCATCCAAAACTCTGCAGCTCAAGTACTCGTACGCACTAAGCTCCGTGACCCCATCACTCCCGCCCCCGCCCGACTCCACTGGCTCCCCATTCCCGAGGATCGAATTCAAGGTCCTCATCCTCACTTTCAAGGCCATCCATGGCCTTGCCCCCTCCTACCTTTCTGACCTGCTGACTCCCTACCAACCTGCCCGCTCCCTCCATTCAGTGGGCTCCGACCTGCCCTACCATCAGTGGCCGGGCTTTCAGCCACACTCTGGAATTCCATCCCAGTCCCTTAACCTCGCTTCCGCCCTTGCCTCCTTCAAGGCTGGTCTCCTCTTCGATCGTGCCTTCAGTCACCCTCCCACCTCTCTGCCTTCCCTCACCCCACCCCGATGCTCGGGACCTGACCCTGACTGTCCAGCGCCTTGGGACGTCCTCCCGACATGAAAGGCGCTCTATAAATGTAATTTTGTTAAGATATCTCAATGCGCTTCACAAAATAGATTGCAAAGTGTGCACAGCAGAATCCCACAAACAGTTGTGGATTTTTTTTTGAGGGATTATTACCCCCAGAAAGCGTACTGCCAATTGACAAACAACTGCGTTCCTACTTACTGCGAGGTAAACTGAGGCATGTGAGCAGGAAACTTGCCTAAGGTTTTGCCCTGCCTGGGAATTGAACTTGGGTCCTCTTCCTTGTAAGGCAATCATGATAACCACTATGCTATGGGACTCCATGGTCATGAGAATTATCAATCAAAAATAATGCACTAAAATATTCTCAGAATTATTCAGGCTTAAATTAGTATTACAAAAGAGGAAAAGAGAAAATGGAAACACACTAATGGTTCAATATGGAGGTTCAGAACATATTTTAGCATGTTTTGTTTACATCAATAATTGAATTAATATATACATGTAGATTAAAATATATTTTGACGAATGCTTACAGCAGTCAAACTAGGGATATTACTGCTAAGTAATGAATACTTTCTCCTCTGGGCACCCAATATCTGCATCCAATATAGAACAAATTCAACTAATGTTCATTGGCCAATTTCCACAGAATACAGATTGCACGGTTTCTTCATTCAAAATGCTGACAATAATATGGAATGTAGTGGAAAAGCGATACAATTTCCAGTCAACAGTGAAATTATCAGTCTCATACCTGTTGAGCAATGCATCATTGACAGGACAGCCAGTCACCAATCTTTAGATACTGCTGATACTAGAGGGAATGATCTGCATTGTGGTACTGAAGATTAAACATCTCCAAACAGCCGTGGGATAAAGTATACTCTATGTATCTCCGCATTGTCAAAGCAACTTTCAGAGTAGCATGGTTGATATCAGTAACACAGTATGGAGAGCCAGATATGAACCAAAATTCCAATGCCTCATGCACAACGCATTAGTGTTACAGTGTGGTCAACTAAAACCTTACCTTCTTCCAAGCAATTTCTTTAACAATCTAGGTATACAACAACAAGAAGATTTCATTTATAGAGCCCCTTTCACGTCGGGAGGACGTCCCAAGGCCCTGTACAGTTGGGTCGGGACCCGAGCAGGGGGGAAATGGTCAGGGTGAGGGGAGGGAAGGGAGGGAGCGAGGAGGGGGTAGAGAGTCGAAAGGGGAGCTGAAGGCACAGTCAAAGAGAAAGGTCTTGAGACCGGCCTTGCAGGAGGAAAGGGAGGAAGCAAAGCAAAGGTACTGGGGGATGGAGTTCCAGAGCCTAGGGGCTGAGTATACGTCTTTGGAACCATTCAACTGAAGGTATAACTTTATGCTGACACCAGTACTGTATTCATGTCACCACCAACCAAATATTGTTGGTGTGAGTATCAACTATTAAGCTTCAATCACTGGAGCAAAAACTATTCAGGCTTTATAGTGTGAGTCTCTTAGGTTTACAGCTGGCAAAACTGTGCTGTAGCCACTTTTGAGATTGTGCAGGTCATCTTAATAAATTTATCAATTACCAAGTCATGCAAGAGTTACATCAAGTAAAACACAATATCAAAATCATCAAACATGTTTTTAACACATGTTGGATGCTGTGGAAGTCATACTTTGAATTTACCATTCAAATCCAAGTCCCCAGGCAACTGAGAGCTGTGATCCAGCACCTGAACATTATATCTTGGTTTAGGTTTTGCCTTTTTAGTATTCATAGAATCATACAGCACAGAAAAAGGCCATTTGGCCCATCTCGTCTGTGCCGACTCCCAAAAGAGCAATCCAACTCAGTCCCACTGGCCCGCTTTCTTTCCATAGCCCTGCAATCCTGTCCTCCACAAATACCCATCTACTTCTCCCTTAAGTTACTTCAATGTTCTCTAAAACCATAGAACAAGTGCAGAAACACATCCTCGACTGTGCTCAAATCAAAAGGAAAAGCTATATCTATGTTTGTGACATTTATACACAGTATTCAGACAGACATTAATCCATTCTAGCCCTGTATTCTTAGAACACATTTTGAATCTCAAAACAATATCAAACTACAAATAGCTATATTCAATGATTCAGTATGTTTATGTTCTAATCACCTTTCTGTTTCCTATTCCAGAACAGAACCCGCAAGCTCTTTTATTATGACATTGTTCATTAAGGATAAGAATAAGATGGTGTGTCATGTTACAATGGTTTCAGGTCAGTCAGCTCTGCAACAATGGGTTGCAATGAATATTATGCAGTGCATATTTTCATCCTTACTGTTCTTTAGAGCCTACAGGCATTACAGTGTGGACCTTTTCTGGCAGCCAAGTACAGTATGTAGTCAACGTCTGCTACATTGATGGAAAATGCTGTGAGGAACTGATTGACTTGAATTACAAACAAGGGATGCAGGGACTGTAGTGAGTAATTATATATACCCAGCTCTGCACATTACCAAGTCAGTGAAACTATAAAATAGAATAAGGATATCTGAAAACTCAAATGAAACTATTAACAAAGTTTCTTTTAAAATGACAGATTCTCCCATCTAGATTATCCTATTGTCTGTATTTGAAGGCATAGAACTAAAACATTCATTATGAATAGTTTCAACCAGAATTTGAAGAGAACTTAAGTCAATCTTAGATTCATTAATTTATCAAAGACTGTTAGTGTACGACCTACTTAAAACATCTCTTCAATTTTAGGGGGTATTTGAAGTTGAGGTTGCTTTTGTGCGGGGAAAGAGAATGCTTGTAAAGGGTAAACCTTCTGGCCTAAATTTCAATGATTCTGTGATGTATGTGCAGAACTTTTCCCTTGTAGATTGAGAGGCAGGAAAATCTGATTGAAAAGACAGAATGGACACAAATGTATTGAGTGGTAGAGAGGTGAGATGGAAAAAAAAATAAGGAATACAGTACATAGAAGAGGAAGCTAAAAATTCACAGGATTTAAATTGGTTATGCAATTGTGGAAATTCGTGGCAATGTTACATATCTGTAGAAAAAATGGATATTAATCACAAACAGAGAGAGACATACACACATACATGTAAAGTGATCTGGAAATAGCAGTAACCATGCTACTGCATTCTGATAGTGTGAAAAATAGGCTGTGTATTTAAACAGTACAAGCACACAGAAGTTTTGCTATGGCTTTACAATGCACTCGACTTTGAATATTGGAGTTTAGTTTGCATCATCTCTTAACAAAAAAGGCCGTTTCCCATACCCGCCTTTTCTTCTGTTCACGTCCTAAAGAATCTGTAAGCATTGATATGATCTGATGTAGACTGAAATGTTAAGATCAGTAGTTTTAGGAGGTATATTTTTTGTTTTATTATATATAAACCTGAAATAAAAAACTACAAAAAACTCACTATTAAAAAAAAGTTTTTTTTTAAAGTTAACAATGAAGATGTGACAAATGTGCTTTTTGTTAATGTATCAAAAATGAGTAGATGTAAGGTTTTTTTCCACAAAAAGGCTTACAAAGATTTCAAAAAAAAGTTTAAAATTTACAACTTGTAGAATTACATAACACAGCATATGTACACATTTCAAGTATCATTCAAGCCTTATACAAATGCAAAGTTATTCAGATGCAGTCGAAAATATTAGTTTTCTTTACAGTGTATTTACAACCTTACATACCAAAGAATTTGGTTTACACCACCATTTCCTTTTACAATATAGATGTAAATGATCAAATACTTAAATTGGTTATTTTCCAGTGTTCATTTGCAAATTAAATGATATGTAACATTGCTGATAGTGGAGGTGGGGTATTATCATATTAAACCTGCATATTTATTCCCAGAGAATCATTTAGTATAACAAACTTTGCTTTAGCAATACAAAACTGGTCAGTAGTTTAACTGGGAACTGATAGCGCTCCATATTCATCGGCTGTATCCAGAATTTTACAAATAACAGGCGATTCCACCTAAAAAAAAGAAACAAATATCCTGGGTCTTGACAATTGAGGCATAGATTTCTATGACACTGGTTTGCACTGGCTTATACATACACTCGAGAGCTTCCAAATAAAATGGGAAATTTCCAAACTTACATTGATAGGAAGATGGAGTTACTAAATATTTTAAGCATTACATAGTTTTTGACGCATAGTAAATGAGGGAAAAAAAAGAGTTTGATATACATTCACTCCATTAAAATTAGTACAGAAGCACTGCATCAAAAAACTCTTCTAAGCAATGCACTATATCAAACCACAAACAAAGAAGAATGCCTGACAATGGACAATGCTTTATAATTGTCCTTTTCTGCTGATTTTTTGAACAGTGAAGGTTAATTGTATACCTACAAAATACACAGTGACCATACTTCATATGAAATCCTGTGATGTGAAAGGCGCTGCATCAAATGCTAGGATTATTATTAGTATTATTATACATGAGAGCAACTGGCCTGAAGAAGCACCTGAACTCAGCTTGAGAAAATTGAATGAAATTATTTTGTTCAGATCACGGAAGCATCTTGTGTTTAATGCCCTGATTTACTGAAATTATTTTTTAGTAATTTACTGAAAATTAATTAGTTTCTTGGTACTGATCCCATTAACTCTAACCAGACACAAAGTCATCACTACTTTTCACACTAAAAAGAAATGAACAACAAAAAGTAAATTGCATGAAATGTATTATAATTCTTTTAGCTACTTGGTTGTAACATTTCTGTACAGGGCACCATCTTCTTGACATGTTTAGATCCATAAATCACAACCGAAAGAGTGATTTTACATGAATCACATTTTTTTGGAAACGCATCACCATACTTAAGAGAATGAATCACCCTCTATGGCATTGTTGCGTAGTTCCTCCAAGCAAACAGTAAGTCTGCCAAACACTTAAGCTCTTATCTACAAAACAGTCATACTATTAATCAGTCATACAGTTTTAAATTTGGTGTATTGTGGTTCTGTTAAACGGGAAGTGGGCACCAATAAGGATATACTTCAAACTTAATTATTTTTGAAATTGAAGAAAGTAAACCACTCTGTACCACCTGTGCTTTTGGGTTTCTCTGATCAAGATTGGCAATTTAACCCAATTTGTAGACAATTTTGTGTTGTTGTCTACATACGTGAAACTGCTGATTCCTTTTGGCACGGAACTCTTATATCCAGCAGAGGAGGTGAGGTGGGGAGAGACTTTTATTGATCGTACCTTGTTTGAAGTCGTTCATACCTTGTTTGGAGCTGTTGTTGTTGGGACTTCAATTTGACACAATTGTTTAAAAGATTGATAAATTTACTGCCACCCCATCCCCTGCCAGTCATCCTTAATTTTTAAAGCAATCCACATCAAACCATTATGGTACATTCCACTTCACCGTGTTTTTAGCGGGGTGTAAGTGCAGAAACTGATTTCAACAAGTGCACGATCACAGTCGCGGTTTGTTGTGTGATATCATAAGAAACAAGAATTGCTTATTTTAACACAGAAATATATAGACACAAGAATCTAATTTTCTGAGAAAACAACAGAAAAATACAAATACAGTACAGGCAACCATAAACGTGTAAGAAGCATGCTACGTACCCCGAGGATGTACTGGCAAGTTTGTGGCTCAAGCATGTAGATTGTGACTGCATGAGGAGACTCTGATTCCTTGCACCTGTGACAAACATTTACTGCATTTATATGTGAACAAGCAGAAACACCAGAAATATAACTGATTTTGCAACATTGAAAATAATCGGATTTAAAAAAGCAACAGTATTTTAGAAGAACCAAACAGTATTAAAATCTATATTAACCAAATTAGGCAAATTACATTCTTTAGCATGGAATCAATAACAGCAAACGCTGACTTACTTTAATTTTACAACCACCTGCCTTGGCTTCCCTGTTAAATCACAAAGATCACCATTTCCATAGAAATGTGAAACAACCCTATAGAAAAAAAATCAAAATTATCCACATAGAAACAGAGCAACATTTGTAACTGCCGAAAAAAAAACAGGAATTTTCAGCATTCATTTTGTGGAACAAAAAAAAATGAAGCTTTTCAAAAAATGAAATCGGCTCACGGGCTGCCAGTTGGACCAGCCTGACATAGAGCCTCTACGTAAAAGGACCGTTCACTGCTACCACTGAACTACCATCTGAATATAAGCCATGACTAAAGCCATGACTACCACAAAGATTCCAAAACCAGGAAAAAAAAAGAGAAAATTGAAACTAAATTGAAATAAAGCAACATTAATGCTTTATTGTATAAAACCTCACAGTATACTCAATATTTAAAATCATAGAGGCATGAAATAGAAGAAAATACACAATTCACAATGGGGGTCTAATTTACAGAGATTCCTTAATAACAAGTACATCATGTTGCCCTTTTCCTATTCTGTTTATACATTATCTACTTTCAGGGCAGATCTCTGATGGGACATATTTCTGTTTACTGGAAGGAATCTACTTGGATTGCTTATTAAGGAATCCCACTAGAAATCATCACAAATTAGACTCCAACGTGACCCAAGCTGATAAAATAGAGGGATTCAAAGAGCATCAAACTAGAACAGTTTGTTAACATGTTTGCTCCCTAGGTGGGTTATTATCTCGGAATTATAACCAGGTGTTTTTTCTGTACAATTTATATACACATAAGATTTTGTTTTGCCAACAATGTGATGGACAGAGCTCCTGGAATCAAATCAAGCAAACTTAGAAGGAGGCTAGTTGATTTATTTTGTTAAACTTTACAGGGACCAATGATCTCTTGGATTTGTAATCAATCATTACTTTTGAAAATAATGTTACCTCACTTTCTGTTCTCCATCTTCCATCCATTGGTAAGATCTGGGTGAATTCTTTTTAGACCACATGTTGTGATCCTCTTTATTCCAGGTTCCTACCACTATGATGCTTTTGCCAGCCCCCTTATCCTTTATTACACAAATAAAATACTTAGTAATAATATCATTGTTAGAACTTTGAAAAATTAGGTTAAATATTATGCGTATTAAGATGCATTTATTAAATAATTCTGAACACTTTTTGAAAAACGTTAAATGTTTATCTCCAGATTTGCCACTTTCAGTCAGAAGCCACTTGGTGGGGTGGTCTTGAAGAGCTCTCTAAACTAACACCTTATGAGTGTCGAATAGCCCCATATGTACCACAAACTGTAAAGTGAACATCTTGTAACTAATGTTAAGCATTGGACATAGAAGCTTACAACAGCATTAAGACAGTGTCATAAATGAGTGATGTGGGTCATTCCCACAAGCTAAATTCCTGGACAAGTCTATTAATCAAAAATAAAACTACTCACGGAAACAAATACGGACATTGAAACCCTTCAAATGTACCAACTTTAAATGTAATATGTTGCCAAGAAACATAGGAACGTTCGAGAATACAGAACTCTTCACAACACTGCAAATTAATTCTAAAAATGTTTGTTTAGTGATAGGTTTGATTGTCAAATTTTATCTGCAATTTTCTTAGCATAGAACTGCCTCGTCTCAATCATAAAACTGGTAAATGATGAAAATGAGCTTATTATGCCACCCCCCGCCCACCATCTGTTACTTTCATTATTTCCTGCATCTATAGTAGGTGAAGATCAGAGAAGTCTCCCTAGAGATCAACTGGCTCCTAGGAGTCATGCCTGCCAATGCCAGGCAGATTCAAAGTAATCCAAGACATGGTTGGTGACTGACCAAGCAGTATTTACAATACAATTTACATTTATTTAGCACCTTTCACGTTGGGAAGAAATCTCAAAGGGCTCGAATGCCCTGATGATGTGTTACCGTTTTAAGTAAACACAACAACCAGTTGATGGTCCCAACCCAAATTACTGCTTAAATCTAGCCACTACCAATTATTACAAATCGGTACATGCAATTCTGAACTGCCAGGCGTCAATTTTAATATTCCCGTTTCACTGAGACACATTCTCAAAATAAATAGCTCCCCCGCCCCAATTAAAATAGAATAGAATCAAATACATTTCCTAAATATACATACCTCATGATACTGTTGCACATGTTTCCCGTAGCAGAATTCATATTTCCACCATCCTACACCCTGTTCATAAAACAATTATAGTTATTATATTTTTATTTTGTGGTACTTGAACGATGAACAAGGTCTTGAGAGCAAATCAAGATTGAACAGTAAATGATCAACAATGAAGGCCAGTACCTAAGCATCCTGCAGGATTTCCTACTAAACTTATTCCAACTGTAAATTCTTATAACGGTAAACTTTTTAAAGATTGTTTAATTTCTTTAAAAGAACACAGAGAGAGTAAGCAAGAGACAGAGGAGAGGGAGTGAGAGAAAGAAAAATAGAATTGTTTTGTGACATAAGAATAAAGCCTAAAATTATACTGGTGTCTATTTTGGACACATATTATACATAATGTGTATAAAGGGAAATTGTTGGTAGTTTCAATGATGTAATTAACAACCATTTCTTGACCCTATCCAAGTTTTCTATTAAAACAGTCATCAGCATCTTAATTAACTGAGGCACGAACATCCAATTAAAATTATTTTAGTTTTATTATTAATTTTAAGCCGAAAACATATTCTCATGATATTTCCTATGATATTTTTCTTTTAGCCTATACTGGAATAGTGAAAAAGGACTTGTATCTTACCCCATGGAAACAGTAAGAGCCACTTAGAAATTCCTGAATGAGCTGTTCATCACTCAGTTTAGAGATGTGAGTGGTTCCTACAGAAATCTGCTGCTGTCCTCCAACTTTGATCGTCTTGTGAGAAGAAAACTTTTCATCTTTTGTGGATGTTGTGGCCATTTCCTATTATTAACCCAATATGAAAATTCATCAAATCAAATGCAGGAATGCTAGCTTCAAATGAATAGGATTCACAACACATTCAATGCCAATAATTCCTGTTGATTTAAAGTTTACACAAAACCATTGTGAACCGTTTTCGTGAATACAAACAGACCTGGCAAATGATTTTGTTTTTTTAACCTGGGAGACTGGTGGCCAGGACACCAGGAGAAACTCTTATCAAATAGTGCCATGGGATCTCTAATGTCCCACCAGCCAGACGGAACCTCAATTTAACATCTTCCCCAGCACTGCATTGAAGTCAGCTGAGACTTGGAGCTCAAAATCCCGATGCAAGACTTGAACCTACAATCTTCCTAGTCTGAGCAATATAACCCCGTTTAATTTCAATCAGCAACTAATTAAAAAACTAACAGCAAGTAAGGCGGAAGCAAATTTTGAATGATTTCAACTAAGCCATTTTAAAAGCTTACCTTTAAATTTTGAGGTGATCTTAAAAAAAATTGTATTTTCCGTCAATTTCATTCAAATTAATCTGTTTGAGAAAGCGAGTAGTAAAGTCCAAAGTGATTTATATTTTTCAAACAGGATAAATTGCATGGAACAGAGCCAGGGACTGAACAGGGGAATTACTTACGTCCTGGTTTTCTAGGAAACAACTGTGATCAAATTAAACAATTGTTTTTCGTGCTGGTAGTTACCTCATTTGTTCTTGGGGCAGTGAGAGGCGGTTTCATCTCTTCCTCTTGTTTTTCTAATCGTTCAAGACTTTGAGGTCTTAATGGTGATCCGTGCATTGACTGGCAAAATATATCATTAACTGGGGAGGATCTAAACCTGTACAAAAATTAGGATAAACACACATTATTACAACTATTATTATTGCTATCCTAGCCAAAAAACAAGGGCACGGCATTTCACCCAAGGAGTTATCATGAAAAGAAAGTTCTGAAACGTTTCTGGGTTCAGTCAGTTCATAGTGCAGTTTTACCTGTATTTTGGATGGTTGCACAAGAGTGGTGTCAAGATTACCAATTCGTATTCACAGGTGGTGACTTCAGCAACTGAGAGGATCTCATGTTTAGCTTCAGGGTGGCAGACATACATTACAGTGGTAACTCTGGGCTTGTCCTGCTTTAGGCTGCATGGGGTACCATTCCCCATTATTACGGGGTAATAAGGAGTAATCTGCCCTTCTATATTTTTGGTATGAACCTAAATGAAACAAAATAGTTTGCACTTCAGTCTATTTCTCTTTTAATCAACTCTGGACTAGATTTATTTTCAATTTTGCATTAAACGATGTGATAAGACGCTATATCAATTGCAAGAATTATTAAATGACTCACGAAGAAACCATTCAGGAAGCATTAAAACACCAAAAATACAGGATTACATTACTTGCTTGTGACAATAAAGGCACTGTACTGGAAATTATACAAACCACAAATGTAGAATAAAAGCAATTTTTTTGTATCAAACTTTATTATACTTATATGAAATGTTCAGCTGTGGCAAACGCCGCACTGAGAAGCTTGAACTAAGAACCAGGTACTTAGCAAACTGACTGCTGACTGTTTATGAATGATGCAATGTTCTTGCTTAGTTTTACTTTAATTTACTTTCACTATTTTTCTAATATTTAATTAAATTTATAAATATACACTAAAACAGGTAACAATGCTTAGCTGCGGAGGCAAAGGCACCAACCTTTTTTTTTTACCCCCTTAAAATGTTCATTTTTTAATTAAAAAAATTACAAAACATTGCAGGTCAAAATGACTGAAGCTAAATAGCATTCATTATAAATACTAAAACAAAATTTTCGGTCCATCCCCACACATGCACATAATACAACATTTTCTGAAATGATCCTCAATCACCCAGTCCCTGTTTTTGCAATGGAGATTGTAACGGGCTGTTAAAAACTGGGCTCTTAAAACAAGGATCTTTCTGCTGCCGCTTTCCCCAGAGTCACCCAGGGCCCAGGAACCTGCAACCAATCAATATCTTGTAACTCCACATTGCAGGCTGGTGGGCATGTTTTTGAAATATTAATTGATGTTTCAGTCTACCTAAACTACACCCAAGTACATGCACAAAAATACTTCTATATTTCAGTGCTGTTTAAATCCCCGAAGACCTACAATCTTATTTATGTTGCCATCTTGTGGTGCAATGTGAGCACACTTAAGACTTAAGACTGCACACTTCCAGCACTTCTCCAAGGAACAAAGGTACATTGCAAGTGACAAGAATATGTCATTCAAATATTTGATGAAAGGTTCAAAAACTTTCTCCAAAATAAAGAGATTTAATTATTGAAAATGAATGACACAAATGTTCTAAGGGTAGACACTGCCCACATTTCTGGAATCTCGAATTACAAGCCTCCTTTATTATAAGGCAACCCAGTATAGTTAGGGAAAGAGGTGCTGTACACTTAAGTGCGATACACTTTTGGCCAACTTCCTGAGCATAATGTGCAGGCACGACCCCAGCAACTGCTGGAAATCCTCGCAATTGCCAGCATGTGCGGCAGTGGTGATCTGACCAGAAGTCGTTTTTATATTCTGCCCCTTTATAACACGGGGGCTGTGTTTGTGGATACAAACCACTGCGTTATTATGGAACCAACCTGTACTTTTGGAATCTTTTAATTTCGATCTCTCTTAATTTCGACTCTTATAACAGCGTCACCCTGTGTTCAACTAAAGAGCAAAATTAGCGGCACTAGACATATACACTTACTTTTAGTTTTTCTGCGTCAGTGTGTTTTTCTGAGGTGGAGTCTACACAGAGAAAATAAAGAACATAAGTATATTTGAACAAAGGCCACTGCTACCATAGGATTTTACCTAATTTAATGGATTAGGACTTTCTTAGACCTTCTCTTCTGTTGTAGGAAAGAGCCCAACAATGGAGAGAAAGTTCCATATTTATGGTACCAGTATCATCTTCAACACAATGCTGGTGTCAAAGATAGACATTCTTTCTCATCCTTTTTTTCTCTTCCTGTTCTGCCTCTAAATATGCTGATGTAATAGTTGAGTGACAACAGAGCCTTTGTTCTACTGTTAGCCATGTTTAAGTTGGTGCTGGTGAAAAACAGAATGCAAGTACAGAACAAAAAAAAGCACAATTGCATGAATTGTCTGTACCACCGTGCGTCTGGTACACATGGTTTAAATCTTTATCGGAAGCATTTTGCATGCTGTTCTAGATCAAAATGAGACATTCAGGCTCAGCACAGAAAGACAAACAAACAAACTCGTCAAAACATGGTCCATACAAATTTGCTTAACAATTCCCTTTTGCTGGGTTATTGAACACGTCAAACATTTAGAGAATGCATCAATTATTTGAGGTGGACAAAAGTTTTCTGAAAGGATGAGTGTTTAGCTCTGCTGTGGTTAAAGTGCAGTTTCTGCCCCTTTATAATGTGGGGTCTGTGTTTATGGATACAAACCTCTGCGTTATTATTTAGCAAACCTGTACTTAAGGAATCTCTTAATTTCGACAATCATTTAGAGAATGCATTAACGATTTGATGTGGACAAAAATTTGCTGAAAGGATAAGTGTTTAGCTGTGGCGAGGCTAAAGTGCAATTTGAGGTCATTCCTGAAAACAATTTTTTTAATATTCTGTTCCTCAAGAAACCACATCAGATTTCATGTTAATGTGGTCACACAATATCCACGTTTTAAATATTAATTTAAAGCAGATAGGGGTAACTGTTGTAAAATAAATGAAAAACCATTAAAATATGGCTGCTAGAATTTCTGAAATGTTCTTAGATCAAGGATGGTTTCTAATCCATTGATGTTGGTAGACTTTTATTACACTTTTTTGGCATGTTCCCTAGTAGTATTGGTTGAATGAGACTACTCTGTTACATAAATGTTAATGCTGCTTTCCAATAGACCTAGTTTCTTACCTTTGGTTTCAGATTCAGTGTTCGTGGCGCCAAGGTAATATTCTTGTATGTTAACTTTCTGTGGATCAGAAGATACACAGAAGTGAACAAAGGGGACAATCGATCAATTCAAGTTCATTAACACAGGCTGAGGAAATGTTCATTATACCTGACCCGTTTCCTTTTCTTCATGGTACTGACGAATATGTTTCCCATGGCACACTTCATATGTCCAGTAAGATTCAATCTACAGAGGTAGTGCTGTAATTAGTATGATTTCTATTATAAAAACATACAGCTCATACTATCTGCAGGTGTGTGTCATGAAGACAGACATTAAAGTTAATAGAAAGAAGTTGTACACAAATTAAACAGGTTAGCAAGAAAATTACATTTTGCTGAGAATTAAAAGGGCAATTTAATGTTTTAAGTAAAATATATTTTCAAAACGTATCTCTGACTACTTTTGGTTAGAACTCTTAAAACTCCGCCCCATCTTGGTTCTCTATTGTATTTCTGATTTATATTGAGACATTAACTTATGTGAAAAGTGTACGGCAAATATGACTGACATTGGTATTCTATTAGTCAGAAATTAGGTAAAACGTTTAAGTTATAATAAAAATGAGGAATAATAATAATAATAATAATAATAATCCTTGCATTTGATATAGCGCTTTTCACGTCGGGAGGACGTCCCAAAGCGCTTCACAGAATACACTGTAAAGTGAATTGACTGTATATTTGTGGGCGAACGCGGCAGCCAATTGCGCACAGCAATGTCCCACAAACAGTCGTAGATTGAAAATGACCAATTTATTATTGTTTTGGGTTTTGGAAGGATTATTATTAGGCTCTGTGTGGAGTAAGGAAACTTGCCCAAGGTTTCGCCCTGCCTGGAATTGAACTCAGGTCTCTCGCTTGCAAAGCGAGTGCTCTATAAAAACAGGAAAAAGAACAGGAACTGAGACAGGATGAGTAGAAGTGGTGCTCTTAAAGATATTAAATGCATAAGTTTATTTTGGAATTTTAGATTACTACAGTAGAAAACAGATACTCCTGACATTTGAGTAGCTTCATTAAAGTAATTTTAATTTAAAATTGTATAAGCTGTAAACCTGATAGGGCGGCTGAAGAAGCTTGGAATTTACCTAAACCACTATTACTTGTGTTAGGGTGTGGCGGGTTATAAAACAATAGCAGATGAAATGCATGTTTACTGAGAAAGGGAAGAGAATAGAAGAGATCAATTGAAATATGAGGTACTTAAGCCAACGATCACCATTTCTGAATCACATTGCTAGCACCAACAAAATATGTGTAAATATGACCAAAGAAGCCGACAATTCCAAGCACAACTTAAAATGGATGCTGCAATTAAAAAAACGTATTCCAGATAGTCATTTACCCTGTAGGAGCAGCTGCTCTGTTTGAAGAGTGGCTCCAATAGCTCAGCAGGCCCCAGGCCTTTGTATTCTTGGTCTTCACCCTAAATTAAAAAGAAAACAAGCTAACTGCATGATTCACTTTCATCATTACATTAAGAAAATGTACTACTGTGGAAGTTGTCAATCATAAAAAGACAATGAACACATACCCAAAGCCAAATGTGGCACCAGCTCAGTCTATATTAATATACATTTGTTTATAAGATCAGGCATGCCATCGACGACAGAAACTATGAAATATACCAAATGGATTATTGCCCAATGCTTGTGTGGGACAAAATGTTTAAAATGAAGTAGCTTTGGAGAGATTATCAATGCCATGGAATAGCTTCTTAAAAATTCTATAAATGTTCATAACCATTACATGGAGTCATGGCACCATTAGACACTTCAATAACCCATTCAGTTGAATGCTTTCTCCGTCCTGCAAATTAAACTGTCCAGAAGTATAAATTGGCAAGTACAACACAAAAAAGCCCTTCACCATATAAAGCTGATTATATGTTAGCTTTGCATTAAGCAAGGTGATCCTATCAGAGGCAGGCAATCATTGTAAGAGAGAAAGAAAAGATAAGTTTAAAATCTACGGGGACATAATAATGGCTTGAAATAAATACATTTCTTCAAGTTAAATATTACAATATAATGTGCTGGAAAGTTAGTCCAGGGCGATAGTAAAAGTGCTCAATACAACATTTTACCTCATCTCCATTTCCAACTGAAGGCAGCATACATTTGTATCTCTCATTATCTACTGTTGTGACAATTACATAGTCATCAGGTTTGTACAGACCTCCTGTTGTTGGCTAAAAGCAAACCAAACACAAAATTAATAATGAAAGAGAGATTTTGTGCATTCTTTACACCCAAAAAAACAGTATTACACAAGTCTACAATTTAACTTTTCATCACCATCTGCAAACAGAATTTAAATTTAATAGGCAGGGATTAGGAACCACTCTTTCTTTACGAGTGATGAATTAAAGCTCAAGAGAATCTTTAGGTCACGATCAAGTCTATAAAGTAATGAATGAATTTGGTGAGGTTAATTTTGCAATTCAGCAAAACAATCTAATTACGTAAAATGCCAATCAAATGATCATCGATAACTGGTCTCAAGCTGTAAGCCTCTTATCAATAAAAACCTCACAAGCAGCTGGTGTCTCATTATTCACGTGGTTATGACAGAAACCAATTGTTTCAACCGTTGCTTCCATTTAAAAGGCTGAGGATGAGACTGGAGTTGACACTCCAAATATTTGTAAAAGCACATGCATGAGTGTACCAGTAACAGAGTTAATAAACCAGTACAACGATTGATTTATAGAATATAGAAGTATTTGTCTCAGGATTTTCTTGCTTGTGAGCACACATTCCCTGAATCTGAATCTACTACAATCTGCACAATGCTTGTTCAACTGTTACTTAAAAATGACCTTATGAAATTGGCTGCAAAGTAAAATCCCATGAATCACTTAGAGTCTGATTTTATGATAGGGGACTACATCAAAAGACAGAATGATTATATTATTTTAATGGGAAATACATGGCAAAAGGGAGGAAAAATACTACAATGTGACATTTCAGTAGTAATCTAAAGGTTCAGTGAAGTTCTGAACTGCGAAAATACAACAACATTACATTTGTGTAGCACCTTTCACGTCGGGAGGACGTCCCAAGGCGCTGGACAGAGTACAGCATTTCAGACCTGAGCTGGCGTCGGGGGAGGGGGGAAGTAGGGAGGGGAGGGGAAGGGGGGCTTGCCGATGGCATAGTCAGAGGAGGGTCTAGAGGCGGGATTTGAAGGAGGCTAAGGAGGGGGCGAGGTATACAATTGTATACCAACTCTCGTACAAACTACTAGTAACTTGGACATCAATGTTCTTTTCATTTTTCTAGTTAAGGACTTATTTGGTTTTATGTGATATCTCTTTCTGCCTTTGAACAGACTCCTGAAGATTCTCTCTAGTTTTTAAAAACGTTATGAAATCCCTGATGACTCCAAATTCCTAACATTATAGGATTAAATGTTTCTCGTCATCTGAACTGTATGACTAGCCTCTCAATCCAACTTTGCATTTGGCCATCATGTCGGGGCAGTGAGAATAATAACCCAAATATATATAGTGCCTTATCAAGTTTTCCAGACATCTCAAAACGCTTCACAGAATATACTATAAAGTGAATTGACTATGTTTTATAGGCGAAACACGGCAGCCAATTGTGCACAGCAAGGTCCCACAAACCAAAATTGAGTGACAATTTTTTTTAAAAATGTGTTCTTTTGAACGGATTATTACCCCCGGAAAAGCAATCTGCCATGTGACTACTTGCTGCTTGGTAAACAGAGGCGTATGGAGTAAAGAAACTTGCCCAATATTTCATCCTGACTGGGAATTGAACCCAGGTCCTTTGGCTTGCAAGGCGAGAGCTCTAACCAATATGCTATAGGACTTCAGGGCTCCACGAATGTAAATAATAATCCTTACATTTGATATAGCGTTTCTCACGTCTTCTCGACATCTCAAAACACTTTAGGGAATAGACTGTAAAGTGAATTGACCATATATTTGTGGGCAAAATGCGGCAGTTAATTGCGCACAGCAGTGTCCCACAAACAGTCATGGATTGAAAATGACCAATTTATTATTGTTTTGTTTTGGAGGGATTATTATTAGGCGTGTGGAGTAAGGAAACTTGCCCAAGGTTTCGCCCTGCCTGGAATTGAACCCAGGTGAATGAATGAGTGAATGAATAATATAATAATAATAATCCTTGCATTTGATATAGCGCTTTTCACGTCGGGAGGACGTCCCAAAGCGCTTCACAGAATAGACTGTAAAGTGAATTGACTGTATATTTGTGGGCGAACGCGGCAGCCAATTGCGCACAGCAATGTCCCACAAACAGTCGTAGATTGAAAATGACCAATTTAATTATTGTTTTTGTTTTTTTGGAGGGATTATTATTAGGCGTGTGGAGTAAGGAAACTTGCCCAAGGTTTCGCCCTGACTGGAATTGAACTCAGGTCTCTCACTTGCAAAGCGAGTGCTCTAACCACTGAGCTACAGGACTCCACGAATGAATGAACTGCTTGCTCCTGGAGCCGTGTAGATTCGATGGGCCAAATTGCTTCCTTCTACATTGTAAATCTCTATGATTCTATCACACCCCAGACAAACAAATTTCCCTTTATGACAGTCAAAGCAAATTAAAACCAACAGAGCGAATGGTGCTGCTCAAGTTATTTTCACACAAGCATAATACGACGGGGGAAGGGCTGACGGTCTCGTGTCACTTGTTTCCTGTGAGCTGATGATCTTGGGCTGTTTAACACCATGTACTAACGGTAAAAAGCTGCGAATCGATGGACAGGAACGGGCAAAGTGACAAGTTAGCCCAGGTTCGTGGGGTTTCACTCTCGCTTGGACTTGGGGAAGTCACTCGGTCATCCGGTGGGTGTCTGACACAAACCGAGACCCACCGCCAGCGGGTCTGAGAGTATCCAAACCAGACTGAGCCCCGAAACCTGGACTGAGCCCCGAAACCTGGACTGAGAGCTCCACGTGTAACAGGAAGGAAACAAGAGACCCAGAAGCCGGAGCCCGGGATGTGAAAGGTTACTGACGAGCGAGAACTCTGCTCCGGGCCACGTTATCCTGAAGGGGATGTCGTCGCTGAGGGAAGGGAAGCTCCTGCTGCCGGTGCCCGGGGACAACTGCAAAACACCGCACAGGAGCAGGCGGAGGAGCGGCAGCGACACGGGCCCGTCCAGCAGCTTATACACCATCGTCAGTCACTCCGGCAGCCCTGCAACACGAGAGAGAGAGGGGGAGAGACAGACAGAGAGAGAGAGAGAGAGAGAGGGGGAGAGACAGACAGATAGACAGAGAGAGAGAGGGGGAGAGACAGACAGAGAGAGGGGAGAGACGGACAGACAGACAGAGAGAGAGAGGGGGAGAGACAGACAGACAGAGAGGGGGAGAGAGAGACAGAGAGAGGGGAGAGACAGACAGACAGACAGACAGAGAGAGGGGGAGAGACAGACAGAGAGAGGGGGGAGACAGATAGGGAGAGGGGAGAGAGGGAGAGACAGACAGAGAGAGGGGAGAGAGGGAGAGACAGACAGAGGGCGGTGAGTGCAGCTGTTACCGCGGCCGAGGGAACAACTCCGGCATCTCACCTCCAGCTGCCACGTGCACTTCCGGCATCCGGGAGCCACTGCTTCCGGGTCACCGCCAGTCCCTGCACAGGTGACCACTGGTCTCACTGGGAGGTCAGAGCAGGACAGGGCAGGTCAGGCTGAGCCGAGCCGAGCCCGGTCCAAGGTGACATGATTGGCAATGGAAGGTCAGGCTGGAGCGGATGCTCTGTGGGGGTCTCGGCCCCCGGTTCCTGACCCAGGCGGCTCCCGCAGTGGTCCGGCCCCACTGCTGTTAGCAATAATCGTTGTGTTTGGTACAGCAGCTCATCACCTCTTCGGGACGTCTCAAAGCGCTTCACAGAATACGCTCTGAAGTGGATTGACTTACATGTTGTGGGCGAAGTGCAGCAGCCGATTGCGCACATCGGTGTTCCGCAAACAGTCGTGGATTGAGTGACCGCATGATGATGATCATTTGATGACAGCATAGACAGCCTGGCGCTCTCAAATGGCAAGCTTTCTTTGGTCAGTTGGGTGTCTTGACCTATACAGAAACCCATCACCATACTTAAGAGATAGTAAGCTCTGTAGTATTAGCGGGTTAAACTCCAGCAGTTACCCTAATGCAGATTCTGGGGGTTCCCCAAACCTTCAGTTCTTGCCAACCTGCACCTTATACTCCAGAATTAAGTAACGTGATGTGCCCCTCCAGGGAGAGTGCATGTTTCATTCCAATAAATTTCCAAGCATAGGTGGGATGAATGGAATTCTGATTAGTTTGTATACTCGTGCACATGGTGATGCATTTCTGTATGTATTTAGATAGCCAGCTAACCAAAAGCAATTTCTTTGCTGAATAACATGTATGTAATTTATATCTTCAAAAACAGCTAAGTGGATTTAGTTCAGCTTCACTATAGATTTGCATGGATTATGAGAGTTGTCAGCTTCTGGCAAAATAAATTTAAACAGCAACTAAGGCAGGATATTGGATGAGGACCAAGTTCTTTCCTAACTCCAAGCTAAAAAAGGTGCGACAGACAATTGTTTGGCAGCTCAAATTTTCTTGCTGAGAATTAGGAGAGAAATTTCTACGTGGCCCCATAAATAAAAAAAAATACATTATTCGCTATTGATCAAAAACAGATTCAGATCTAAATCTACAGATTTGTTTCAAGCTTCTTCCAACTTTAGAGACATGGTGAGCATTTTGATTGATGCATACAAAGTTGAAATAACTGAATTAGTGAAACCGTTTGAAAGGAATGTGAGGAAATGCTTTATTGGCTGTGTTTGAGCAGCTGGTTTATCTGATGTCTTGATGACATCAAAATAACTTAAAACAGTAATAAGACAGACACAATTGCTGCACATTTCATTTTGTGTGTGGTTAGGGTACAGATTAAATATTACACAAAATATGATTGGATAAAATGAACTACTGACTTAAGCCAGAATTGATCCTGGCAAGGATCAAAATTATTTTATGGACATTAACAGAAATCCAAGTGTGCTGCAGCATTAGACACTAAATGTAAAATATAAAGCTTTGAAATGCTGTTTTACAAAATTATGCATCCACAAAATAAAGTTATCTAGTAGATACAATGAAAGTAAACAAAAGGTTGTGTTGATTTGGTCAAAATTATAAATTTTTGCAATTAAGGAAATAGTAAAATTTTCAAAATCGTTTGAACTTTTAACATAGGGTTATGTATAGCTGATATTAAAACAGAAATAAGCTGATAGATATTAAAGTCGGCTATTTAGATCAATATCAAGAGAGTCTGTATAAACTTTTAATTATAGTTACAAGCCCACCGTGATACAAACCTTCCTTCAAATTTAATGTCAAAGTTATAATTTTTAATTTTTTTTTGGCATAACCAATAAACATTTTAGAAGTACATCAGGAATGAATACTCCCCTTAAACATCCCAATCAACAGATGTGTACTGCAGTTTAGAGAACAAGAGGGTGTCATTCCAATTTCTGAGATTCACTAAAAGAATTCCAACAAAGGTCTGTCTGGTCACAGCCATAACAGCACAAGAAGGTGTTATTGTGTATTACATATATTGAAGCAGACTCAGAACTGCTCAAAGAGGTATTGATGACCCACAGTACTGTTTGTAAATAATTTTCCATTTGAAGGTCATTTTCAATGTTAATCAAAAGTCATATGACCAGTTTAAGGGGGAAATTTACAACATTTCTTCAGATTTGACGTGATCTGAAACAGAAGGATTTCAGTCAATAATTAACATCTGCTTTTAGATCTGAACAGCCCCACAGCTTTGACACATTGCAATAGCTTCCCCTGTAGTAGTGTGAACATTTTTTGGCTGCCATCTTTATTCAAAAACATAATTATCTGAGAAATCTGAATGCTGCTTTGCAAGATATTGGCTGTGTTAAACTGGGATTTTTTTGTAATCCACTGTTTCAATAATTCAGGGACTGCAGAATTTAATCAGGGAAAACTACACCACTTATCCTTTCCTGCCGATTGTCCGGCAGGGACCATCCTACCTTTTGGGGCATTGACTTGAGGTTTAACAGGAATCAAGAATTCCAGCAACAAATTTATCCTCCTTGGGGGTGGTGGGGAGGTAAGCAAGAACTCTTTGAGGCCACAGTGACTGACTGGGCTGCTGCTCTGACAAATCAAGCTGGCTGGCCTGTCATCAACTGTGCCTGGAGAACTGCAGACCCTCCTGGCTTAGGCATTGATATCTTAAGTTGATAAGTTCTTGCTTACCTCCCCACCACCCCCAAGGAGGATAAATGTGTTGGTCATTAACTATCACATAAGCACAGTTTGAGAAATATACCTAAAGATTGAATACTGTCTCAACTCAGACATTCATTCAGATGCTACTTGTGAGCTGACAAAAATGTAGTCTTTTTCCTGGTCTGTCTCAAACAAAGGTGCAACAAAATCTTTTCCAAACTAGTTATAGAACAAACACTGTGCCAAAGTTGTGAGGGAGTTTAGATATGAAATAATTATCCACTATAATTCTGCTGCATCATAACACATAACTACCACATAGAAATGGCCATTAATTGTTGTAAATTTACCCCCAAATAACAGAATAGAAACACATGATTTCAAGACATTACTTTAAAGTATATATAAACCTTTACATTCTGTATATTGTAACCATGGCTTTCTGAGAAAATCTAGGTATCTGTTCCAGAGGCCTACATCAATTAAGTTGTAAATAATCCTCAATTCAGGGGAACATTATGTAATGTTTGTGTAAACCGCACATTTAATGTTATTTTTTACTAATATCCTAGAATCCTAAACGTCATGTACTGAAGGGTCTGCTGAAATGGACTAGAGCAGTTGATTTGGACTCAACAGAACAGCTCAAATCACTGGACATTGCACATATGCCCATTACCTTCTCACAGATATTGCATTGTGATATACATTAACTTCAATCCCTGAACTCTGTTGCCACGCAACAGCAAAGGCTGGTGGTCTATGTGTTATGGCACTGTATTAAAATAATCATTTAGATTTGCCAAAATAAGGAGTTCTGATAGCAGTTTAGAACCAGAATACCATGACGATTTATACTGAAAACTATTCTGGGCTAATTGATTACATCTGTAGTGTGAGCATGGATTCCGATTAGCTGCAGACAGTTGCCAGATAACCAGAGGACTCAATTAGTTGTGGCACAAGAGGAAGTAAGCGCTTTGAGACGTCCTTCTCAAGTGAAAGGCGCTACACAAATGTAAATTGTGTAGCACACAGATAACATGCAGTATTTTACATATTGCACCAAGAGCATCAGCATTGTATTTGATACCTTCTTATTCTAGGTTATGGTTGTCAAGTTTACTTAAATAGTAAAGACTCAGCATTAAATAAGTCAAATAAGAAAAAAAGGTTTGAAAATTGTCTGTCCTAGTTCTTTTTTGTTGCAAAAATCCTTTATATACAGTTTATTTTGACATTTTTCTCCAGAAGTTCCTTGACCATTTTCTCCAATTCAAAGAGGTGGTCATCTGTATCTTCTGGAACAAGCTTTCGCAAAGAGTTTGCAAGTTCAAATAAGTATTCTGTGTTCCTTCCACTGGGCCCAGAAGCATTTAAAATCTGTAGTGCTATGTCTTCCAAGGGTGCCGGACCCAAATAATCAGGATTATCACATGTTCCGATGTATTGCATTACAGGGAATGGATCTATTGAAGAATCCTTAGGATAAAATGTAATACTAGCAGTTCTGTAACCACTCTTTTCTCGAAAATCAAGGTATCCCTTCACCTCTTCTTCCTTTCCATGCGGTAGTTTGTATGCGATACCCCATACACAACCCTGAAGGTAAGGAAAAATAAAAGCTGGTGAGCAACATGGTAAGGTTATAAATGTGAACAAATCTGTGAAATTATGAATCTTATAATTGGTAAGTGGCGGGTTGGAAAAAGTTTTACCGAAAAACGCCCAAGTACTCATTATATGCACATGAGTAACACTGTTGCATCAATTATCCCCAACACACGACATTCTGCATTATAGATGCTGCACTGCTGCAAGTACAGTTTTACTGCATAAAAAGGGTCCCATCAATCTGTGCATTTCAGATACTACTTATTTTATATATTTAAAGTCCCACAAAGCTCCTCACATCAATTTTACACAAGCCCAGTGTGTACAAACAAAAAATATACAATTAAAATAAGAAAAGGGAAATAAATGTGAAGCTTTTGGTTTTTTTTTTAATTTGAGAAGCAGCTGTAATATCAGGGTATCTCACAGGCTCCTTCCAGCTCCAGTGCTTCCACTGTTAGCGTTGCGGTTTGGGATTGGAGTCCTTCAGCTTAGTGTTTAGAGAACTCCCCTCGCAAGCGAGAGGACTAGGGTTTGATTCCTGGGTAGTGTCAAACATTGGGCAAGTTTCCTTACTCCACACGCCTCTTTTTACCTAGCAGAAAGAGGAACCCGGTTGTTAGTCGATTGGCAGATCTCTTTTCCAGGGTAATAATCTCTTTAAAAAAATTTTAAAAAAACTAATTTGGTCACTCATTCGAAGACTGTTTGTGGGACACTGATGTGTGCAATTGGCTGCCACATTTTGTCCACAAAATATATAGTCAATTTATTTTACAGTAGTCTGTGAAGTGCTTTGAGATGTCTCAAAGGCGTGATAAGGCACTATACCAAATGCAAGGATTATTATTATTAATACTTTCAATGATCATTTTATCAATTGAAATGAGCCACCCGAAGGTAGGGATAGTTTTTGGCTTACTGCGTGTAATAATTGAATTAAAAGATGCATTGCTCTACAAAATGTACAAAAAGGGAAAAATTATGTGAAACGGCACAAGCAAGCTTGTATGTTAAGGTTCTGCTTTTCACAAGAACTATTGCTGACTCAGAGGGATGTCCTGCTTCCCTTGCCTAAATTCTGCCAACCAAGTGTCATAGCACCCTTCTACTTAATAAATGAATTACTTTTAGATCTAGATATAATGCCTTAAATTAAATTAGCCAAACAATTCAACTATCTGAGCTATCAATAGTGCGTATCGCTTTCGATGTCATAAAACAAAATGCAAGGTAACAGTGTTCTTATTTGGCACACAAATGATTTTAATTGGGGGGACTGTTGGCTTGGACATCAGGAGAAACTCCCTTCTCTTTTAGAATATAGTCTAAACTGACCGGCTCACACCAACGATACTGGAGTATGCTTGTGGAAATGTACCCCAGTAGAATAAAAAATCTTCACAACAGAAAAGGAAAAATAGTTGGAACTGTCTCAGACATGGTCTTCTCCCAAACCCATCATCAAGGAAGCCTACATATTCACCACAATGTCAACAACTTGCATTTATACAAAACCCTTCATGTCTCAGAGTACTTCAGAATGATGGGGACAGACTCTGAGCAAGGGGGAACATGGCAAAACATGTGACTTTCCCTTTGGTAAGCTTCATAATATATCTTCTATTTTCCTTAGTAACAAAATCCCTTACAGGACCATTATGTAAAATAATAATTTATGTACTCAATCTATTATTTGAGTATTTGAGATAACATATTTAACTTGGTTCAAAGGTTAAAATCCTGAAATGTTGTGCTTTCTTCCAATACAATGTGAATAATGTTCTTACAAACAAATTGAGGCAGGCAATTTTTAAAAAAGACATTTAAATGGCAAATGCAAAGTGAGCATTACAAGCAAACAATTATGTAATTTATAAATCTTGTATTGTAAAGAACCTATAGTTACTTTACAGTACCATTCAATATCACAAAGATTTAACATCACTGCATTCTTGCTTAAAGAACGCACAAATCAGAGCCTTGGGACGTCCTCCCAACGTGAAAGGCGCTTTACAAACGTAATTTTGTATTGTAAAGAACATTAAACAATGCTACATGCTTCAACTGAGTAAATTGAAAATTTGCCAAAATGTATGAATAAGTTTGTGCTATTGACTAATTTACTGTAGCATAATTATAGTTTATGTACTGCTATTCATGGAGGAAATTTTATTTTGTATTTTACTTAACAGTAGTTCCAAGATATCAATTCTTCTGACTCAAAATACATGTTGTTTTGCAGTATAGCATTTATAGGGAAATGTTTCATTAATAAAAAGTCAAATCCAAAAACAGGAAAGAAACAAAGGAAAAAACTGTTGGAGGGTGTTGAGCTACACGCTGCAGTAACAAAAACAAATGGACAAATGTGATTTTGTAGGTTAGGGATTTGTCCTTGGTTGTTTCAATCCAGTTCCGAGTATAAAACTGTCCTCGATTTGGTACTAGATTTGGTATTCAGAAGGGCCAGAGAGTATTTGGGAAGAGGAAAATGTCACCTGAATGCATTTTTGAAATTGGGCTGATGAACAAGTTTGGGTACAATTGGCAAAAGTTCCTCTACATCTAACGTTGCTATATATCTGACCTGGGAATGTTAAGCAGCTGAAATGGAAAGCTCTTCATTCTGAGATCCAGGTGAAGGACAAATATATAATTCGCCAAAAAAATTACATTTTGTCAATCTGTTGACATGAAAATTGAGTTTTGTGTAACAATTCAACATTTTCCAGTTTGCTATACAGTACTTTTGATATATGCAAACAATGTTATCTAAAACAAGCTTTTAACAATGAAGTACATAATTGTATTTAAAAGCAACTCCACAGGCATTATATACATAGTTTATCCAAGTACAAAATAACATGCTTTTGTTCCCACCCAGAAATCAGTATTTAATATTTTCAAATACATATGACAGTGAATCACAGGTGAGGACTAGTTAACAATTAGGTATTATTCTATTACCTCAGGATCTTCAACAAGCGTGACAACTCTTCCAGGCTACAGGGATGGAATGAGAAACACAATAAATGTTAAAAATCACATGATTTAATTTCACCATGCTTTTAAGGAAAATCTTAGCTAGATATTAGGAGGCCTGAATTATTATCTTGCGGGGGGTGGGGGAGAGCTGATACCCAAGGCCCTACAGCACAGAGCAAATACAAAGCGTGACAGAAAGCAAACATTTTATATGAATTGGAAAATCAATCCTTGATTGAGTGGATAAAAGCTAAAATAAATTAGAGATAAATTACAGCCATTTAAGATGATGGAAACAAAATCTTGTAAGAAGCATGCACATAGAATCTGACCCTTTTTCAAACCTTAATTTAGAAATGTTGAATGGTCGAGTCAAGACAAACATACTGCACATGAAAGTTAGTGAATGTGACTTCTGAATACTGTATGTGCGACTAAAATAACCACATCCTTTTAACCATTAAAATATTCAGAGTTCTTTCTTAGTTCTGCAGCATTTGCTGGAAGACAGTTACTTAAATTTATTGCAAATACAATCCTGATCCAAATTCCAAACAACCAGTGATCTTTCACCGCAAATATCTCTACGATAGCAACTGCCAATATCAAATAAAAAGTCAGCAGAATGATGAATTGTTTGCTACATCATTTATCTGAATGTTCTCGAGAGTATTTTGCATCAGGACTGCCGTCCAAATAAAAGATACAGTAGACCAGACAACACACATCTTATGTTTTCCACACGTTGAATTGCCAAACGTTGAATGTTGAATTCACCATGAAGAACAAAAATAAAGATTCTCTGGATTGTCAATAGGAGCCTCAAAATCAATATATGCAAATAGATGTCTGGTCAAGTCATGTTGATGATAATACTTGCATTTGATATAGAGCCTTATCAAGTTTTCTAGACTTCTCAAAGCACTTCACAGAATAGACTATGTTTTGTGGGCGAAATGCAGCAGACAATTGCACATAGCAAACAGTCCCACAAACAGTTGTGGATTAAGTGACAAAATTTTTTTTGAGAAGGGATTATTATTCCCGGAAAAGCAACTTGCCAATTGACTAACAACCAGATTCCTACTTACTGCTAGGTAAACAGGCATGTGGAGTAAGGAAACTAGCCCAATGTTTCGCCCTACCAGGAATCAAACCCAGGTCCTCTCACTCGCGAGCTGAGTGATGAAGAAAGGATGCACACCGAGCAGCTAAGAATGAATGAGTTCTGTCACAAACATGTGTAAAATACGACTCTCGTATTACAACGACAAAAACCCTAAACCTAGATTGGAGCAGCTTGAGATACTATAGACAGTGGTGCTTTGGCCTATAAACATCTGCAAACATGTGGAAAAAGTGTGCCACATCTTCTGAGGCCTGAAAAATGGCTGCATCAGCATGAAACGCCTCCCTTTGCTGTATATTTGTTACAAACAATATTATGTTGAAGACCGCAATGTTCTGCCTGCCTGTCTAGCTCATTTTCTCAGTATCAAAAATATCAAATTCTTTCTAATTGTCGTGGGAATTTGTGAATTTAAATATCCCTATTGACAGTTGATTGGCAAACATTCCAAAAATCTCTGATCAGTCTTTATAGGTTTCAGGCAAAATCATTACGATAGGTCAGAAGCAGCAACAGCTAGAATATAATTATATTGTTCATTACAAATATATAGGAAAGGGAGAGATTCATGCTAATGCAGCCATTTTGTGCTAAAGATTTCAGTAACTGGGTAGGTAGTTCTACATATATGCCACTGAGTCAGTTATTGTATGCTTAACAAATCTTTTGATTTGATTTTACAGCCTAGGGAAATAATCTGATTATTTGACATTCTCCCACAAAATATACAGTCAATTTACTCTACAGTATATTCTGTGAATTGCTTTGAGACGTCTCAAAGACGTGATAAGGTGCTATATCAAATGCAAGGATTATTATTATTGATGCACACCTATAACATCAGTAGGCGGAAAGAAACAAGAATCTTAAATGCAGCCAACGCCTTCATGATTATCAATCAGAATGAACTAACCATTCACTCATGTGCTCACTAAATCCATTTTAATTTAGGTAAAACAAATGCTGACTACAAGACAAACCTGTGAAATTAGATCGGTCCTAAAAAACAAGAAATAGGTATTTCCTCTTCTGAGCATCTGGCAACAGCGCTTGGTAACCAGCACTTCCATTTGTAATTAACGGGGGAGGTGGCTGCAGGGAGTCCTACACGGACTTGTTATTGAGCGCCAATGAGGCTGAGTCAGCTTCACGGCTGGTATGTCCATTTGCCAAAGCTCCTCATGTGCGGACCTGGATTAAGCAGCCGTTGCCAAGTAAGCCTGGTATGCAGTATTGGACTTGCACCTCTAGAATTTCCAGGTGGTTGGCAGATCACGCGCTGTCCTGTAAAGGTCCTGTCACTACCCTGAAGGCAGATGTCTGTCAAGTAGCCAGTGAAGAAACTCTGAGGCTTATGACGGTAGCTACTGCAAGGCGTTATCTGCTGTCCGGGTTTGCAAATACACATTCAGGGCTTGGAATCCTTCCTGATTAGTAAGTAGAAAAACAAACAGCTGCTGTTCAAGTGGAACCATCGATCACTGGGTACTGACACACAAACAAATATTGTTGTGTGTTCACTCTGAGAAGGAAGATCCTGGCAATGCTCACACATTTCATACTGAGCTGTGCTGCTCACCACGAAGCTTGCACAGAGTTACTGGTACATGCCAGCCACCTAGTGAAGGCCGTAACTAGCTTATTTTAATGTCAAATGTGTGGCTAGTGGCTATCCCTGGGGGAGGGGTGAGAAGATGAGCACTATTCTGGCTCTAATGTGATGTGCTTAGTAACAGAATATCATTCCTCTGTGGTGTTCGCTGCAGTCCACTTCCTCATTTAGGTGGGTCCGCAGTACTCCAAGGCACTGCTGATGTCAGCCCAGTCCATCTCTCTTTCTCATTGGTAGAACTTGGAGGGGCAAATCAATTACTGGGTAGGGATTCTTCCCACTCAGCTCCTGTTATCACTCAAGCCAAAGCCTCAATGGGATGGTCCTAGCTGGACAAGCAGTGGGAAGCTTGCCAAGAGTGCGTTCAACGGCAAGTTGAATGCAGTTTTAGCTGGTTAGACTCCAGCAGTACCCCACTGCACACACTGGCGTCCGCAAGCCTTGGCTCTTGCCAACCTGCACCTAATAGTCTCTGGAATTCCCTCTCAGGAAAGAGCACATAGGTGGTATGGATGGAACTCGATCTGGTTTGGATACTTTTACTGTGATAGGTTTCTACATGTGTCAGATACATGAACAAAAAAAATCTTCAACACCTTTTTTGATCCTTTCCATTTAATTGAGTTAATACTGTACTCCATTTAATAATCCTCTAAATATACAGTTTGCAAATGAGAGCGTTAAAAGCAACAAATACAAAGCACCCTACTGCATTGGAAGTCACTTCACCCCGAAAACAGAAGCCACACAAAGCAAATTCCAAAGTAGAGAAACCAGATCAAATTATCAGTCAATAAAACTAGAAAATTATACTGTAGCATGGTGAACAATAGTGCTTGACCTTCAATATGGTACTCTTGCATGATTAATGAATGCATCTTGGGTCTTGTAACGTACAAATATTTTAAGAAGCTTGTGAATTCAATGTTACGTTACTTTTAACGTCATTTCATAAGTTGCGTTGAAATCTTTTCCAAGAATAAGGTACAAACGCAAAATGTTTATTCTATGGAATCACATTATGATACATAATTACTTGTACATGCAATTGAGCACTTATAGTTTCAACCACTGAGAACCAAAATGGGACACAAGCTGTGAATCTATGCTACTGGAGGAAAATACAACCTCCCTCACCCCCACATTATCTGCAAAACTGGCTACTGGATCATTTTGGAGGGTTCAGGAAGGTAACCTTTCTTTTCTTCCATTGTTATGCTCATTCGCAAAAGGCAAAAAAAAGAATGTTACTGCCCTGAACTCATTTGAAACAGATTTTATAAACAGCTTCCCAGTTTTAGTTCGTTTTTAAACCCAATGTAAGAGTACTTCCGTTGTTGGTTTACAAAAATAAATCTGTTTGAGGCTGTACTGTTAGTTTTCAGTTTCCAAAATGCTCATTTTGAAAATCTAAAAGACAATTAAACAGGCAATCTCAACACATTTAGCAATGGTTTTCCTTCTAACTTGTATGCATTCTAATATGCATATCTGTAGTTACCTGCTCACATATTGGATTTTGGAATCTTACACAAAGTACAGAAATGTATGCGTTAATTTATATGAAGTTACCATTCAGCTTCAGCAAGTACAGGATTGCTTACATAAGCAAAACGATACCCCAACTATGTAAGGTGCAAACACATTGCATCAAAGGAGATGTTATGTAATAAAAAAATCCTTATATTTGATATAGTGCCTTATCACTATAGATAAGTCTTCTAGATGTTTCAAAGTGCTTCACAGAATATGCTGTAAAGTGAATTGACTGTATGTTTTGTGGGTGAAATGTGGCAGCCAATTGCACACAGCAGTGTCCCCCAAACAGTCGTAGATTGTTTGACCAAATTATTATTATCTTATTTTTCGGAAGGATTATTACCCCCGGAAAAGCAATCTGCCAATCGACTAACAACTGGGTTCCTATTTACTGGTAGGTAAGCCAAGGTGTGTCAAGTCAGGAAACATGCCCATGGTTTTGCCCTGACGGGTATTAAACCCGGCTCCTCTCCCTTGCGAGGCGAGTGCTCTAACCACTAAGCTATAGGATTCCACGTGGTCCAACCAGAAGATTTTATACTGAGGGGATTGCAAGACCTCTTTAATTCTATCCCCCTCTCCTGCCCCCTTCCCAATTTCACACTTATGACAAGGCTACTGAATTTCATCTCCCTCCCTCATCTTGAACTGCTTATTCATATCAGTCTCTCCTTGGAGAAACGAACAGTCTTTTAAAACCTAAACGAATCATTTCTTGACAGCATTCTTCTTTCCGACTCTTCAAGCTTGGTGGTATCCTGCACTATGGGCCATAGCCTTTCTGCCAAGCTTCTGAACTAAAACAACACTCCTATTTTCAATATAGGAATTTACATTCTGTAGAATGAGTGCTCAGTGTGGTTCAAAAAAATAAGACTGGCACCCATACACATTATAAAATTATTGGGCGTTCAATGACAAAACAATCATGCAAAACTAAACAGAATGCCTTATGCCAATTTTTAAACTGGTTGCCCCTACACCAGTAATAATCCAATTTGGCACTCATCCCACTGAGTGCATTTGCATGCCTCTAGGCCTAATTTATGCAGGAGACCAAAATCAGTACTGTTTTCCATCATTGGAAGGAAGAGAATTACAAACCAGCCAAACCAGTTCTCTCTACATGGAACTCAGCAGCTGCCCTACAAACACATCAGCACTACAAGTGTGAATTATGGATCAAGCAGAAATAAAGTAGCCATAATAAAAATAATAATTCTTGCTTTTGGTATAGAGCCTTTCATGTCAGAACACTTCACAGGTTTTTCGGAATGTGTAGTGACTGTATTGTGTAGACAACCACAGCACATGATTAGCGCACAACATGTCCCAACAAACAGCTATGAAGCGAATGCCCAGTTTTATCTCGGGTTGCCCTGGAGATTGGGAGAAACTCCCTTCACTTTTGAAATATTGTCATGAGATCACCTATAAAAATAATGTGTCACTACAATTTACAGTATGAAGCGCTTTGAGATATTCAAATGGGAAAGGCACCATATCAAATGTAAGGATTTAAAAAGATTTAACATCCACCTAAATCCAGGCAAATTGCCTCCTTCTGTGCTGTAAATTTCAATTTGTAAGATTGCCCTCTTGAAGCTGACAGTCAGAAGCTAAATCTTTGGAAAATATGCCTGCAGCAAAGAAAATACAAATCGTACATTTTATACAATACAAAATTACATTTGTAAAGCGCCTTTCCCGTCTGGAGGACATCCCAAACTGCTTAGAAAGCATTAAAAAGTGAAAAAATAGGAGAATTATGTCAAAAAGGGCTGGATATTAGCCGCAGAAAGCAGGAGAAATGAAAGTTGGAAAGAGGAAAGCAATTCCAATCAGTATATTAAAAAAAAATGAAATGATGGCAATTGGAAACTGCCAAACAGTAAATCATTAATATAACCATCAACATTCGCTAAAACTGCCAAAGGGAAAGCTTCAAAAAAATCTACAAGTTGGACAACAGCAGAGTTTGCAAACCACTAAAAAAAACACACACACACACTTCTGCCCCAGTCAGACTTTTGGTTTGGGTCGACGATCTGAGGGAAACTTTGACTTGCAGTCAGCGGTTTGACCACACACTTTACAACCCCTTGGAACTGGCGGACAGCGGGTCAGTCCGACTGTACTCTTGTGTCGGGATTTTAACGTTCATGTCCACACAGTGATGTTCTGGTCGAGTGTGGGATTCAACGAGACACGAAACAACAACAACGACGACGACGACGACGACGACTAACATTTGCGCAGCGCCTTTCCCATCGGGAGGACGGAACGAAACACCGCTGCGTTGTACTTCAAAATAACAGAGCAGTCGTAGCGACTGTTTAGACGATTGAATTATCGAGAGCAAAACAGCAACAAAAAAAAGGCTACGAGGAGAGAGGAGGAGGAGGTGTGTGGGGGGGTAGTAACTTGTAAGATTTTCTGGGACACTTTACAGCTGCCTCTCTCCCTCCCTCCCTCCCTCCCTCCCTCCCCGCGCCGTGGGTGGTACCTCACAACCTCCACCGCTCGACCAGCAGCCGGGATACAGGTCAGATACACGTTGCTGTCGGCCTGACTCGCGTTCCCCTCGGCGGCCACAAACAGGCTTCAACACTAAACTAAAAAAAGATTTCCGACCCGTTAGGGGGAAACGGCGAGGAGAGCAGGAGGCACTGCGCTCGCTCACTCACTCGCTCGCTCGCTCGCTCACCCACCTGGCCTGGCACGCCCCGATGGTCGGTGCTTCCCTGCCAGAAGCGGCGGCTGTAGCCACGAATGTAACCCACCAGCTTCTCCTCGTAAGGAAAGTCCACTTTCCAGATGAGCGAACCGTACCCGAATATCCACATTGTCAGTCTTATCGTCGTGACCACTGACTCACTTGACCTTGTCTGTCTTTTTTCTCTTTCTCTCTCGCTCGCGCGCGCTCTCGCTCTCTCTCCACCCGCCCCTCAAGCTTCCCCGCCCGCTCACTAACAGCCGTGGCTTTAACTCACCACAAAAAGGACTACGCACGCGCGAATTTTTCGCTCGGGGTTGGGGACGACGGGAAATGTAGTTCTCCGTCGCTTCCGGTGTCCCCCCTCCCTCCGAAACCCAAAGAGCGGAAAAGGACTACATTTCCCGGCATCCCTCTCCCATCACTTCCCTTCGGCAGCGCTGAACGGTCCAACACAGCCGATACGGCGGTTCTTGGGTCTCGAGACTGTATTTTGAATGTGGGGGAGAATAACGGCTGTGATGCGCGCGCGCGCGCGCGGTCATTGACGGCCGGACGGTTAGAGCAGGTGTGCGGGCGACCCCCTCGGGGTAGCGGCGGCGGAAGTGTAAGTTTTTATTCCGTGCCTTGTTGTTTGAACCGGTTTGGGGTTTACGAGGAGCCGCTGCGGTCCTGTACGTCGAGACAATTTGTTTTTTTTTTACGGCCCTTCCGCGCTGCCGCCGCCGCCGCATCCCGGGAAGTGTTCGGGGAACCCGACTGGTCTGCGGGAGTCGGCGCTGGCAATCCAGGAGCGTGTAGGCGGCTGTGAATGCGGCGGCGCCGGAGCTCATGGCCTCGCCAACCCAGCAGAGACCCAGCAGGAAAAGTGGACCCACCTCAGTCCCCACACCTTCCCCACTCGCGCACCGCCCGACATTGCTGCACACACCACACTTTGCAAGCGCCGTACTCTACGTCCATCCCGTGAAACGCTTTGAGACGCGGAAAGGCGCTCTATCAGAGACGTAAAGGGGTTGTCACTGTTTGTTATTATATCGTGCGTTCTGTTTGCTTTCTTTTGCATCCGACACATACTTCAGTGGGGGGGGGGGAGAGCCCGGGTTTACAGCGGGAAGAAGCACGAACGTGAGTCCCACGTACGCGCACATTGCGTTTCTGCCCGTTTATGTTTATGTTAAGTGGGCGTTGGTTCCGGTCTCGTCGAGAGCCGCTTCAGCGTTGGATTGCACAGACAGTTTTGTAGCTGTAAAGCTGGGGGTGTGGGGACTGTGTGGAGGTGCTGGAGCTCGTCTGCTTTGCTTCAGAGCGCTCAGGTTGTTAGTCCAGGATGGACTATTTGCTGCTCGCACCCAGTGGCCGACTTAGCTCTAAATTGTAATGCTCTCTGTCGTCTTGCCCCGGATTTTGTCTCCCGGTTGTGTAACCTACCAACCTGGCAGACACCTTTAGCCTTAATAATAATCCTTGCATTTGATATAGCGCTTTTCACGTCGGGAGGACGTCCCAAAGCGCTTCACAGTACACACTGTAAAGTGAATTGACTGTATATTTGTGGGCGAACGCGGCAGCCAATTGCGCACAGCAATGTCCCACAAACAGTCGTAGATTGAAAATGACCAATTTAATTATTGTTTTTGGTTTTGGAGGGATTATTATTAGGTGTGTGGAGTAAGGAAACTTGCCCAAGGTTTCGCCCTCTGCCTGGAATTGAACTCAGGTCTCTCGCTTGCAAAGCGAGTGCTCTAACCACTGAGCTACAGGACTCCACAATATATTAATAAAATCCTCGATTGTATGTATCACTTTAATTCCTGCTGTGGTCACTGCTCCCGAAAGACGAAGCATCTTTCTGTTGGCTTCATCGGGCAGAGCACATCGGGCTCCTGCAGTTCAAAATATACGAGAGAGAAGGAAAACTTCCATTATCACTCGTCCAGACTTCATTTCAAACTAAACGTTGGATAGCAAGAGGAGCATACGATCAACATAAATCTATTGCACAATAAATAGGCCTCGCACCGCAGTTTTTTTGGACAGGCTTCTTTCATTAAAATAGTTCTGTTCAACCACTTAACTGTAGAACGTGGTGTACCAACGTTTTTGATGTGAAAAGAAACTTTTTAAAACATGTTTTGGAGAAAATCTTCCCGGAACATGATTACCAGTTAAGTAGAGGATTTTGGGGGGGAAAACTTACCAGTTGTGGCTGATGGAACCATGTGTGGGAAGACTTTAATATAGTTACATAGTTGGGCTCGGTTTAAAAGTCCTTGCTCATCGATCACTGATTTAAAGTACTGAGCATAGATTTACTTGGTGCTATTAGTTGATGGCTTTCGTACTGTTACGCTATATAAATCTATATAAATGCAAGTTGTTGAAATGCTAGTTGCATACCAAGATCATAGGTATTCAATGCAATGCAGTTTCCATATCCTATTCTGTGTGCACTTAATGTGTTAAACTCTTAATTTTAATTATAAAGCCAGTTTTGAATCTTAGCTTGATATTTCATTTAAATGGGTAGTGTAGTACTTTTATCTATTTCTTGGCTTCAGTGATAATATCCTCCTGTAATTACTTTATGTTAATTCAGCTCTAGAAAATGGATTTCACAGAAGCGTACTCTGATACCTGTTCTGCGGCTGGATTTGCTGCAAGAATGGGAAATGCAGAACTTTTGAAAGAATTGATTAAAAAAGGTCACAGTCTTGACATTGCAGACAACCGGGGTTGGCGTCCTATCCATGAAGCGGCAAGTCGCAATCATTTGAGATGTTTGAGGCTTTTATTACAAACAGGTACTATAAATTACTGTTTACTGTTTTAGAAGAGTCTCTGAATCCTGTACCGATTAGTCTTGTTTGAGTCAATAACACAGATACTTGAATATTGCAATGTTTCATTTTTTTCATTGTTTCATTTGTTATTCAGAATTTGTAATAATTTTATTTTTGTTTTCAACAGCCTATTTTAGTTACTGAGTAAAAGCATCTGGAGTTTTATCTGGGTGAGGGGAAGGAGGGAAAGAGATGGGAGTAGTGAGAGCAATATTTAGAATCATGAATAATTATCTGTTAATACTGATAGTTTGAATAAAGTGCCATGTAGCTACCTTACTAGAACTGGTTGTCCAGGAATATCCATTTGTAAAATCACACCAGTTCTACCCAGGCTCCACTGGCTCCCTATCACCGAATGGATCGATTTCAAGATCTTCACACTTATTTTCAAATCCCTTCATGCCCTGGCACCTCCCTACCTCTCCAACCTGCTTACCCCTCAACCCACTACCCACTGCCTCTGCTCGACTGGCTCTGGCCTGCATGTCCCTCATGCCCTCCTTTCCACCATTGGTGACCCCGCTTTCAGCCATTTGCCCCAAAACTATGAAGCACTTCCTCTATCTCTCCGTCTTGCCCTTTCCTTCCACATCTTCAGGTTGCGTCTGAAGACCTTCCTCTTTGATTGTGCCTATGTTCACACCCCTCCCCCCCGGCTTGGTGTCAGGCTCTGCTCAAACGCTCTGACACCGACCCAAACGCCCAAAGCAGATCAATTTTAAGCTCCTCATCGTCACTTTGCTGGGACTCGGAAGAAACATTCTTCAGAAAATTTCAGAATCGTCCACATCTTTGTGCACACTATTCTCTGAGAATATTCCTGCAACTCTACTCCCCCAGGACTCCATCTACTCTGTCAACACCAGCTTGACAACCCTGGCTGTTGCCATAGATGAGCTTTTTTTATTATTGACAGTATTGGTGGTTATTGCTGTTGTCACCATTATATTAGAATATAGATGGGTTATGCCATTCCTTTGTAGTGAGCAGTGAAGCAACTTGAAATATTTGTAGCTTGATCGCAGAAATCAGAATCTTGTTACTGTTTATCGTCACAGCCCCAAATTAGTTATCTTACAAAAGTACACAGAATCGCTATCTGCATTCATTCTACAAAATAAGGACTGAAAAAGGACGTGGCAGTGGATCCGTATAGCTCTTATTTATCTAATCATTACAGCAATTTGGCTACAGTAACATTGAATTACCATTGTCGTTTGAAAAAACAATGTCCATTTGGTCTATTGAAAATGAATACATTAAAGATCCAAATACACAATAAATACAATACATGTTATCTAATAAAAAAGCATGTAATCATACATGTGATGATATTTTTCTGGATTTCATTCACTAATTTAAATTCGATTGGGTTCATTTCCAGGCAGGGTGAAACCTTGAGTAAGTTTCTTTACTCCACATGCCTAATAATAATCCCTCAAAAAAACAATAATAAATTAATTATTTCAATCCACGACCGTTTGTGGGACACTGCTGTGAGCATTTGGGTGCTGCGTTTCGCCCACATATATACAGTCAAATCACTTTACAGTATGTTCTGTGAAGCGCTTTGAGACGTCTAAAAGATGTGAAAAGCGCTATATCAAATGTGAAGATTATTATTATCAATTTGATTGAGTAAATATTGCCACACTCATTGCTTCACAAATACCACAGAAAACCACCAATCTCAAGAAGGTTTTGCAAATCTTGTGTGAATTTTCAATTATTTGTAGTGTGTTTAGTTTAACTTAATGTGAAGTTTTGATCGTTTGTATCTTTTCCTACAGCTCCATCCACTGCATGCATAAAAACCTTTGAAGGTGAAACGGCTCTGCATCTAGCTGCCAAGTGTGGTCATTTGAAAAATGTTAATTGTTTGCTAAAGGCTGGGATAGATCCAAATGAAGTCACTAAGGAAAACACAACACCACTCTTCTTAGGTAAGATAGAGAAAACTTGGGACTGTATGTGCCCATTTTAACCCTTAAAAGTTTAGTAGAATCAAGAAAATTCTATGTTTATTTTATCTTCACTTTCAGTTAATTTCCATCATAAAGCTAAATTGCCATGTGTTTCTATCTTAGTTCTGAACATTTCCAAACATTTTTTTCTAACTCTTTTGTATTTTGCCTCTCCCCCCTCTCGGAATCCGGCTCCGCCACTGTTAAGCGCTCTGAGACGACTCTGTATGAAGGGCGATGTATAAGTGCAAGTTTTTTGTTTTTTTATTTCTAAGGTGATTTGTTTTGAATTGTGACAACTAGTGTGGTATTTTGATTTTTTTNGCTATAGCCTTCTAAGTGTGTCAATCTGGCTCAGTTGGTTGCTCTCACTTCTGAGTCAGAAGATTGTCGGTTAAAGCCCTATTTTGACACCTGGAAGAAACATACTTAAGAAAATTTAAATTAAGTATGTGGGTCATTGAGTACGATATAGAGAGGTATCTAATAATTTGATTTTCATCTTCTGTTCACATGTTTGAAGCTGTTGAAAAAGGGGACTTAGCTGTTATAAGAGCTCTACTAAGACATGGAGCAAGAATTAATGGATTCCATTCCTCATGTTTATGGAGTGTTGTGCATCAAGCTGCTTATCAGGTACTGTGATAGTAGTACATCATACTCCCAATAAAGCAGGTTTAACCTTGTTTAAATTAGTTTTACCATGAATACTGTAGAGCAATGAAATAAACATTCTTCCCATAAAAGTATATGTTTAATAATTATCCTTGCATTTGATAGAAATATTGAAACATCTCAAAGTCTTCAGCTTCAAAGCTACTAAATGCTATGATTCGAGTCCATTTGGGATCAATAGAATGAAACGCTTTCGGATTGAATCGGGTTGAAATTTGACGGATTTGCTTGATTACCTTTTGGGAGTCAGGGAATAATTCATGATGTTTAACCTTCAGTTATTCATCTCCCTGGGAAGATTATTAAATTGTGGTCTACTTTAACTGTTAGGGAAGGCCATGTTTAATTGGCCAAATGGCCTTTCTTTTCATACTTTTTAATGCAAAGATCTAGTGTGCTTGGTCTCCATGTGGCTTGTATTACCCAGCTTAATGAAAACTTGGATAACTTTTTTACACAAAATTTCTAGGAAGGGATACTTAATTAAAAGTTCTGTTGTTTGCCTTTTTAGAAGTACTCTCATTGAATTTTATAGAAGGTAAACTCACAAATGCTGAAGCCATTCTGACAGATAGCCTGGATGTAAGCAGACTGACGTTTTTGACCAACTGCAATTTAAGTTCCTTTTGCAAATGGTGCTTGGTATTTTGACGACACAGTAGTTTCGCTTTTGTGTTGGACCCTTCAGCTGATCGAAACACACATTTAAAAAAAAAATTTAATATGTATATTTATATATACTAGTTATAAAGGATGATTATGTAGTAGCATGATTTGTGGTATTTTGAAATTCATATAGATGTTTTTTTCTATCTCTTCTAAGAATATAAACAGATTTGGATGAATATTAAATCATGCATAGTTTAAAATTACGCTATTCTGAATGTAAATCTTCTTGTGGAGTAAAAGTGCAAATTTTTCAGAAAATAGTATGAATTATTTCAACTTTACACAATTAAGTCTTGAAACAAATGAGGACAATAGAGTAAAACTGCTTGGTAATTGGGTAACACAAACTGAACCCAGTAGGAGACTTTCAAAGCTTGGCCCTCTGGTGTCAAATGATGTACTTTCAAAGGTAGATAAGCTGCTATACAAAATGATATTCAAACTTGCCTATTGACTCAAACATTTTTGGTGGGGGAGGAAATATGTCCTTGGGATATGTTGCTGGATTTTTTTCTGTACTGTTGCTTACCCTTCGTACATGTTCTATCTGCCAACTTTTACCACATCTGATATGTTACCGATCTGAAAACCAGGCAGAATGGGCATTCTAAATCATGTTGATGTGATAATACAGATGTACAACTTTTCTCCAGATAGTTCTACAATTGCATTTAGTTAATAATGGCAGAAAGATGCAGGTGATCATTTCCTAATTTTATAATCCTTCTTTGCCTTTCTTGACTGAAGCCTTTTTTAAATTGTTGTTTTTCAAATGATTTAATTTGGAACTGACAGTTTGTGCATATAATAATAATAATAATAATCCTTGCATTTGATATAACGCTTTTCACGTCTTCTAGACGTCCCAACGTGCTTCACAGAATATACAGTAAAGTGAATTAACTGTATATTTGTGGGGGAACGCGGCAGCCAATTGCGCACAGCAATGTCCCACAAACAGTCGTAGATTGAAAATGACCAATTTATTATTGTTTTGTTTTTTTGGAGGGATTATTATCAATGTGTTGAAGTCAGGTTGAATGACCTTTTCAGTTATAAATTAGTTTCTGCTCATATAATCATGCCTTAAAACCTTTTAAACTGTTTTGTAGGAACACAAAGAAGTACTGACTTTCTTACTTGAGAAGGGGGCTGACAAAGAAGCCAGGGACGATTATGGAATTACACCATTGTTTCTTGCTGCTCAGTACGGAAAATTGGAAAGTCTAAGGATTCTTTTACAACATGGTAATGGTTAAGAATTTTGTGACATTGTGCAATATTAAAGTGATAAATGTATGTTGCCATGAAGTTACATTTCTAAATTTATAATTGAACTTCCTTCTTAACTAATCTGATTCTGAGATTATTGAATCTCTAAATTTCTAAAACTGGTGTTGCATTGGTGATTTAAAAAAAGTGTGTCTGCGCCACCCCAACGGAATCCGCTATAAACAACCTTCTTCGCTACAAAACCACTATAAATGACATTTCTGGCCCGTGGATGTTCGCTGATTATCTGACGTCACTGTGGGTGGAGTGGCTCTGGGTGAGCCACGGTGCAGCACAAGTGGCAAATTGGCTTCACTCGGAGGCCCCGTTGTTATGATTGTCTGTGTATTTATATGATTGTGTGTGTGTGTGTGTGTGTCTCTGTGTTTGTGAGTGTTATCGAGTGTCTGTGTCTCTCTGTGTCTGTATTTGTATGCGTTTGTGAGCATGTTTGTGTGTCTCTATGTGTTTGTGAGTGTCTGTGTGTGTCGCTATGTATTTCTAAGTGTATGTATGTACCTCTATATGTTTGTGAGTGTCTGTGTGTGTGTCTGTGTTTAGGAGTGTGTGTATGTTTGTGTCTGTCCCTCTGTGTGTGTGTGTGTCTACATCTCACGGAGCCAATATGGAACCTCAGCGTCCTGTTCGACCCTCAACTATCCTTTCTACCCCACAATTGTGTCATGACCCGCTCTGCTTTCCCCCACCTCCGCAACAACGCCTGGTTCCGCCACTGTCTCACACCGCAGGCCAAAACCCAAATACTCGCATTCATAACATCCAGGCTTGACTCTCCAAACTCCCTGCTTGTTGGCCTCCCCAACTTCTTCCTCCATAGACTGCAGATAATCCAGAACTCTGCAGCCCATGTCCTCTTCTGCAACAGGTTCCAATGACCCTATCACCCCTATCCTTGCCCGACTCCACTGGCTTTCCATCACACTAAGGATACAATTCAAGATCCTGATCCTCACCTTCAAAGCCCTCCATGGCCTTGCTCCCCCCCTACCTCTGCGACCTCCTAACCCCCTACCGATCTGCCTGCTCCCTCTGCTCAGCGGGCTTCAGCCTGCTTCACGTCCCCCACTCGCCCACCCAACCATTAGTGGGCAAGCCTTCAGCCACTCCTCTCACCCTCTGGAACTCCATCCCGCAGTTCCTCTTCCTTGTCCCCTCCCTTTCCCCCTTCAAGCTCCCATCTCAAGACCCTCCATTTGGACCCAGCCTTCGATCACCCTCCTTCCCTCCCCGCCCTCCACTCTCCCCGACCGCCTGCTCAGCTCTGGAACACTGAGTGGGATGTCATCGCCTTGGGACATCCTCCCGATGTGAAAGACGCTTTACAAATGTAATTTTGTTGTTGTTGTAATAACATGGAAAAGTTGATTTGCTCTTATAATGCTAAATATCTTCTATCTTCCACTTCGAGATGCTGGTGCGACGTGAATAAGTCTTTCTATGACTTGCGGAACTATTATTTCATTTTGACAATTTTTATCATATTGACCTATGAAAATAATGCAGGATTTTTAAAAACGGGTTGGATAATAGATATACTAAACAAATACAACAATTAAATACATTATTTTGAATAGGGTAATAATAAACCGCATTCTTGGCTTAATCTATTACTTTTATGCCTATATTCAGAAAAAATTGTGTTGCTTGCATGACAATCATTCTCTGCATTTTTATACTGTATAGATACCAAATAATTCAGCCTACAATTCTGTGATTGTGAATATAAATTAATTCTCCTACTCCTTTGATTATATTTCAAACCTTATTAAAATGCAGCCAGCTTGTCAGTTAAGAGGGGAAGGAAATGCTTCGCCTTGAATTTTCTTCACATAGAACTCTTGATCAAGGTTGGAACTATAACAGTATGGATATCATTCTCTTCCTAATGCTGCAGTGTAAAGTCAAAACTGGGTTACAAGTCACCATTTTCTGCTTGTTATTTTCATTTAATTTAAACACCTACAAACTTGTGTTTTTACTAGGAAGAGAAGCTTTAAAGTAGTCTGATCCATTTATGGATGATGTCATTGTTGGCTAGGACATCGGGTGGAAAAATGTTTCCTTTTCAAATCTTGCCGGGGATCTTTCACGTCTTGAACATTATTTGTAATATTTCAGCTATAATTGCAGAAAAGGTTGTCAAAAATGAGAAAATTGCTACCAAGAATTAGTTATAAGTAGAACATTTGTACCTTTAGTTTATAGTAAAATAACACACAAAAGAAGGTTTGTGTACTACACATAATTTCTCATTATGCAATCAGTTTACTCATCTCTTTGTTTAAAGTGGTGCGCATATAGATTGAGGAATATTTATTTGAACAGCAAAGTATTTTGCCTCTGCTGCACATGCAACATGACATTTACCAACGCATACTCTGGGGTCCCCAAGCCTTGTCTTTTGCCATCCTGCGCCAAATTACGTTTTTCAGGATAAAGTAAGCAGGGTGCATCCCTCCAGGAAGACAGTTTAGATGGTATGCATCTGTGGAACTTTCTATCTGGTTTAATTGAACGCTCCTAAGCATGGTGATATCACTTGTGTCAAATACCACGCTGACCAAAACTGTGTCTAATGATTACAAAATGTTATTTTTTTCATAGTATCCTGTATTTTAATGTAAATAAATAAGTAATTTGAAATGATTTAAGTATCTAAATATGTAGCATTTCATATACATTGCACAGATCGTATGGGCCAATTTTACTATTTTAATACGAGGCATTAGCTGAATTTGAACTTTTTAAAAAACCTATCTTACAGGTAGTGATGATAATTGTCAGGCCTTTGATAAGGCCACACCATTGTTCATAGCAGCCCAGGAAGGCCATAGTGAATGTGTGGAATTGCTGTTATCAAATGGGGCTGATGCAAATCTCTACTGCAGTGAAGATGATTGGCAGTTACCCATTCATGCTGCAGCCCAGATGGGAAAAGTCAAGTGAGTGCTCACAGAATATACAATCTAACCAGGGGATTTTGTAAAGAAATTTATCTTAGAGCTTTATGTGGTTACGTGGCCACAATACTCAGTTGGTGATTCTGGGCATGTAACGAAAATTAAGCTGGTCTAACCAGGCTTTTTGCAACTTGCTTAAAACAAAGTCAATGATTTTTGACGCACTGCTTAAAAAAAGTGCATTTTATATTCAGTGTATCAATATCTTGATTTAATAGTTTGGGTGTCTTTGGCAGGGTACTGGAACTTCTGATGCCAGTCACTGATCAAATATGTGATACAGCGAGAGATAAAGTGAGCCCAGTCTATTCAGCAGTGTATGGAGGACATCAAGAATGCTTAAAAATGTTATTGCAAGCAGGATACACTCCTGATGCCCAGCAGTGCCCGCTTTATGAGTGTTTATCACCGTTGTGCATGGCGTTTTCTCGGAGGTAAGGTGTTGAAGATGTAATAATAATAATATTACTTGCATTTGAAATAGTGCCTCCCATATCAGGAGGATGTCACAAAACACTTCACAGGATATACTGTAAAGTGTAGTGTCTGTATTTGCAGACCATAAAACGTAGGAGCAGGAGTAGGCCATTCGGCCCCTCGAGCTTGCTCAGCCATTTAGTAAGATCATGGCTGATCGTCTAACCTAATTCCATTTATCCATCCTATCTTCCATATCCCTTAATCCCTCTATCCTTTAGAAATCTATCAACCTCAGTCTTAAATATGTTCAAGGACTGAGCATCCACAGCCTTCTGGGGTAGAGAATTCCACAAATTCACTACCCTTTGAGTGAAGAAATGTTTCCTCAACTCAGTTCAAAAAGGCTGACCCTTAATCTTGAGACTATGACTCCTAGTTTTAGATTTTCCAACCAGGGGAAACAGTCTTACGGCATCTACCCTGTCAAGACCCTTAAGAATCTTATTCTTCTATATTCTAGAGAATGTAGGCCTAGTTTACTCAACCTATCCTCATAGGTCAACCCCCTCATCCCAGGAACCAGCCTAGTGAATGTACGCTGCACCCCCTCTAAGGCGAGTATGTCCTTTCTCAAATAAGGATACCAAAACTGCACACAGTATTCTAGGTGTGGTCCCACCAGGCCTCATACAACTGCAGCAAGACTTTCCTACTCTTGTGCACTAACTCTTTTGCAATGAACCCCAACATGGCATTAGCCTTCTTAGTTGCTTGGACATTGTAAGAGAACGTTGTAGCCAATTTGAGTGTAGCATTATTCCAACAAAACAGCCATGAAGTGAATGTCCAATTTGGTCTGGGGGATTGTTGGTGAGGATGCCATGAGAAACTGTTCTTCATTTTCAATTTATACCCCACATTGATGAGTGCCCTAAAATCTTGATTGAAAAGTGGTACCTAAAGAAGTCAGAAAGCTAATGGAGATGCCATTTCAGTCAGATTCAATGTTATCTGTTGGGATTGTTGTTTGATATTCTTTTAAACTTCTACTGTCAAGATAATTGCATACCACCTACCATGTCATGTTTCTGCATCCCAAATGCAAATACAAAAGGACTGTTACTAGTTTTTAGTTCCAGATGTAACTCAACACAGACAATACTTGACTTCATAACTGTAGTCAATTCACTTCAAATTCACTTAATGTTTGAAATGCCTTGATTCTTTTCAAAATAATTTTAAATGGATATCCTGTCCAATTTTCACTACGGTAAGACTTGTATTGAACAAGCTATTATTAAGAATACAACCAATACAATTTATTTATCTTGTTACACAGGTAAAGGTAATAGGGAAAAATGCCATTGTTCATATTTAAGTGTGGAGTCCTGTAGCTCAGTGGTTAGAGCACTCGCTTTGCAAGTGAGAGACCTGAGTTCAATTCCAGGCAGGGCGAAACCTTGGGCAAGTTTCCTTACTCCACACAGAGCCTAATAATAATCCCTCCAAAAACCCAAAACAATAATAAATTGGTCATTTTCAATCTACGGCTGTTTGTGGGACATTGCTGTGCGCAATTGGCTGCCGCGTTCGCCCACAAATTTACAGTCAATTCACTTTACAGTGTGTTCTGTGAAGCGCTTTGGGACGTCCTCCCGACGTGAAAAGCGCTATATCAAATGCAAGGATTATTATTATTATTATAAGTGTGCCACAGTTAGAAACTTGCGCATAGAAATTATTGTATTATACACTCGTATGCTTTTTTTTAAAAAAATCTAAATGATCAAGTAGTATGACAACAGCTGAAGTATGAACTATGGAGATAATAATAATAATGCTTGCATTTGATATGGCGCCTTATCATGTCTTCAAGACGTTCAAAGCGCTTCACAGAATATAGTGTTAAGTGAATTGACTATTTCGTGGACATAGGTTGACACTGTTATGGCAGGCAGTTCTATTATGAACCACTTCTTAAAAAAATCTTGCTAATATTTCTCTAATTGATCTTATTTCCTAGATTCTTTGAAATTGTTCACATCCTCCTTAAAGCTGGGGCTGTTGTAACAGGTCTTCATTACCGTTACTGCCTACAATATCAGAACTTCAAGTTACTTCACTTCTTTTTGGAACAAGGTTACTCCCTGCCATCGGGCAGTTACATGGATGACATTGTAAAGTATGGGTTACTAGTGCAGCACCAGTATAAGCAGTGGTTACCTCGTCTACTTCTGGCTGGATTGAATCCTTTGGATCTACTTTGCGAAATGTGGTAAGATACAATACAAAATGACATTTGTGTAGTGTCAGGAGGACTTCAAAGAAAAAAGATGTTTTTGTTTAAAGTAAATATTGATTTTTCCTTTTTACTAAAACAATAAACGCTGAAAATAGAGAGCCAAAGAAAAATACTTTGCTGTCCATATATTTAGCATGTCCTTAACTAAAGTCTTATTTTTATTCCCTGCCAAGCTCAATGTTTGTGAACGAGACAATTCTGCAAAGGGACTGATTGTAGTTCTGTTGTATGTATGCCAGAGTTAAACTGATTTTAGAGGCAACAATCGTATTGCATTAACCCTTTTGTAGAATCTTAATATGGTTTTGCATAAATCTTGTACAAAGTAAACCTTGTACAAAGTAAATTTTGAATAGTTTTGCTCTAAGCCAGGTGTAGGTAGTATAGCTATTGTGACAGCTGAAACAATCCACTGATCTTTTGCCTACAGACTACTGTTAATTCAAACCCATTCTTTATTCAGTGAACGAAAAGTGCTTTATTTTAGGGAAATGATAATTGTTATTGCCATACAATCAGAAATGCTGTCAAAACGTTATTGTGAATTAAACCCCTTTCCTTCTGACATGTTCAATATATATTTTTGCTTCTCTTACCAAAGAATGATGGAATGATGGTGTCTGGTGTCATTGTGTATTATTTAGGGAAATACTTGTTCATAACAAACAAAACATCATCTAATTAAAATATTAAATCAGGCTTCTTTAAAATTTCTACGGGTAGATTGACATCAGGAAGGTACAAGTTATAAATTTAGTTTGGAGAGTGTTGTTTGAAAATTATTTTATTCGTGGATAAATCTAAATCTAACAGCAGATTAATAGAAAACAAATGCTAACTATGTATTTGATTTATCATCTGTTACCTGGTTGTGATTTCAGAAGTGCTTTCAATATCATCATAAAATCTAATCATTTAGCTTATTTGTTGCTAATGTTTTATTTGTTGCAGTGGTAAATTTATTTGTCCACAACAGTAAGGCGAGACTACCATTGCGTAATTGTAATACAGTAAAATATAATCTATCAGCAGCAAACTCGTTTTTTCAAGCATCAGTATAACAGATTACAAAAGGCCATGAGCTCAATATGAATGGAGTTTGAACATGTTTTGCAGTTTGCATTAAGAGTTGGTTTTAGAAGCGTTTGAAACAAAAGTTGTCCTGTGTTTCAAACTCGTCTAAAAGCAACTCTTAATATAAAAAAACTCACATTTATCAAGAAATAAGAGGAACATTCTTTTACATTATCATTAATTAGCTGTAATTTTAACTTTACTAACATATCAAGGTAATAAATTCTCCAACCTCAATTTGATGAGCCTTTACCCATTTAACTCTTCTCTTTCATGCTTGATATTAAGTAACTAATTCTGGTGATCTCATATTGATAATAATAATCCTTGCATTTGATGTAGCACTTTATCATGTCTTCGAGACGTCTCAAAGCACTTCACAGGATATACTTTATAGTGAATTAACTGTATATTCGTGGGTGAAACGTGGCAGCCAATTGCGCACAGCAGTGTCCCACAAACAGTCGTGGATTGAGTGACCAATTTATTACCTTTTTTATAAATGTTGATCTTTGAAACCATGTAAAATCATGCTGTACAATGTATTCTAATCATTTGAACACCAAAAGTAAGATTGTAAAAGTGGGAAAAGTAAAATTGAAATGCAGCAATGAAGTGTGTTGAATGCTACTGGATCCACAAACTCACATATGGATGTCATTGATATAACTAATGATAACTGGAAGAATTAAATTTGTCTCTAAGCTTTAATGCTTTTTACATTTATACATTATTTCATAGCTGGATTTTGTTGTGCAGGATAAATGCTGCCAATGATGAAGTGCTTAACTTTACTCTGGAGTTTACAAACTGGAAGAGGCTTCCTTCTGATGTGGGACAGGTTTTTTTCTGCCGTGCATCAAGCTCCATGTGCCCACAACAGAAATACTTTGGTATGTAAGATTTGTAAACCCAAATCACGCTGTTGCTTTTAAATTGATATCTAATTAGTTTAATGAGAACTGAGGTTGTTATTAAATGTTAAATAAAAACTATCTTCTAAATAAATGTTTCAGGGGCTCTGTTTTCTCAGGTTCCCCCTCCCATCATTTATGTCAAAATTACTTATTTCATATTTTTGTATTTTAGCTTCGCCTCATGTTTAATTATACTTTCTATTTCTTCTCCTGAATCTTATTATAAATTGTCATCATTGCAAACTCCTTACAGACTGCCCAGTCTGGCCAACTTCTATTATTTTCACTCTGTTTTTCAGTGATACCTAATGTAAACTGTATTTGGAAGCGTTCAAGTTGACAAACAGCAGATGTTGCAAAAATAATTAGAAATCCTGCCTGCTACCCGAGAGAAAGCAAAGCTTCAAACATGTCTGCTATCTGAGATACATCATTCAGTGCAGTTTAGAGTGGAAACTCACTAATTAGGTCAGCAAACAGCTTGAAGAATTTTGCACGTTGTGAGTTTGTATTAGTGTGCTATATAATGCAAAGGAAAAAGACTGAAAGAAACTGACCACATTAAAGAGTTGGCCACATTAATGAGGTGACATTAAAGTGAATTTCCACTGTATTCAGTACACCAGACCAAAATGTTGAGACATAAGGGAAGAAGTAACTGGTTGGGGGAAATCTGAAAGTGAACAGGAATAAAAAGCTGCAGAACATAAGTAAAGCCTAAATATTCCCTAGAAAGCAATTGAAAGCTTCAGGAGTAATGGTCCTATTTTTACAATACAAAGTTACATTTGTATAGCGCCTTTCATGCCGGGAGGGCATCCCAAGGCGCTGGACAATCAGGGATTTTTGAAGGAGTTTTACTCAGTGACAACTGGAGAACCTTTCTATTGCTATACCTTTCTATATTTGACTAGCTGCTCAGCAATTTGAATCCTGGGTCACAGGAAGTGGCTTTGCTGACCATGATGCTGAGAAACAACCAAGTTAATTTAATATTTTGTGTAAAGTAAGTTTAAAAATTGAACATTTTACAATAACCTTTTCTCTTGCAGAACCTAGAGTGGGATTAAGAGCGTAGGTGTAGCAAAGTCAAAATGATCTATCTGCAGGCAGCAAACAAATCATAAATATATTGGTGTATAGCTCCAGAAATGAAAACCCTGCTCTTCTGTAGGCATTTGGGTTTTTGTTGAAATAGGAGATAAAATCCATTTGGCTACCAGTCATGGCACTATTGTGCTATGTTACTGATCTAATTGTTTGGTTATATTCTGCTTTGAGATCAACTTCTATTTTTATGTTCTTTCTGTTTTAGATAATAACCCTTCATTAGCACACCTCTGCCGATTAAAGATCCGATCAACTCTGAAAAGTGAATACTTTCGTTCTGATCAGTATATTCAGCAGTTGCCGCTTCCAGCTTGTCTACATGATTTTCTTCTTTACAAGGATGTATTAAAATTGTACCACATTCCAGAAATTTCCAAGAATCAAACCGAAATGGAGAAATTAATTGAACAAGAAACTAAAGAATATGGGACTTGATGGGACGTAAATGGATGCTTGGATATTGTGTCTTAACTCTTAAGCTGTCACCATTAAATAATTGTCGATATATAAATCAGTGGCAGTTTATGGGTTCCATAGATCAAGTCTGACTCTATTACATCAGTTTTGCAAGGCTTGCATTATAAAATAGGAAAGATGGACCCTGGATAATTCTTATTTATGATGTGACACACAAGAGCAAGCGCTGCAGAAATCTAACGTCGTCTCCCAACTATTGGTTTTGCAGCTCTGAACATTGGTAACCAGGTGGTGACTGAAATACTGCAAAATTTGCCTTCCCTAATAATTAATGTGACTTTTTTCCTGTGCAGTCAAATATTAAGTTACATTGAAATGGTGTATGTCTTGATTAAAAGGAGACTCTTACAGCATAATGTGTAATGTTGTATGAGTCCCAGTCAACCCAACAGTCAATGTAACTATTATGTGTTGCAACAGGATTTGGTGTGATTGAAAGAATGATATCCAGGTATTTTAATCAAACTAAAAGGTGCTTTATTAACAAAATACAACACAAGCTGGGGATGTCATTACTTGGCGACGTCCCTTCCGATGTGAAAGGCACAATATAAACGGTAAATTTGTATTGTTAACTGCTCCCCTCTAAGCCTTTACATGTGAAACCTTATTCATGTTTATAAAGTCCTAGAGCTTTGCCTCTGGACTCTCCGGTACGCGACCCTACTGGAAAGGCGCTATATAAGTGCAAGTTGTTGTTGGAGCACTTGTTCCTCTATTCTAGGCCTAATGCCAAAGGGTGTTTCTCCCAGCCACTAAACTGGCACTATGGTCTGCTGTTACAGTTCCTTCTTGCACTTGAAGGTTGATACTCTTCATTGCTGATCCTGACTGTGTGTCTGTAGCCAGCACTTTTTCTACAGGCAGCCGCTACTTCCTTCACAGTGCTCGCTGGAGAATACATCAGCCATTTATTTTAACATTGCAAAAGTATTTTAACTGTCTTCTACAGAATTGGAACAGAATGACAGAATGCTAAGTACTAAATATTATTATAATAAGTATTATTACTTATGATTGATGCAAATTGTTTAAACCTAATTACATTTGCCAAACATGGAGAATGATGTACAAACATCCGTTAATGCTGATTTTGCTACATGATGCATTTTTTTATATAAGTTCCCATCTGTTTATTTCAGACACTTGCCTTTATTTAAATATTTTCCCTCCTCCCACTTTGAAGCTCATGGAGAGCCATTATTTTGCGACTGGATTTCCATTTTTTCTTCCTCCAGTGAATTTCCCTTTTTTCTTTTTTCTCCTTTGCATTTCCCTTTTTTCTCTATTCTCTGGATTTCCCCTTTTTCTTTCCCCCCTGGATTTCCCCTTCTCTGAATTTCCATTTTTTTTTCTTCTTTCTCCTCTGGATTTCCCTTTTTTTTCTCCCCTGTAACATCTCTGACCTTAGTTACATGCAGGAGAGAGACAGATGTTCTGTGAGGCAGCTCCTCTCTTAAAAACTGATTCAGAGCTGCTTGAAATTGGAAAAACCCAATACTGGCTGGTTGTACTGATTTATGTTCAGCCAACATGGGGCTTCCTGGGGTCTAGTTGCTGCAGATCACTTTCCAAGCTGATCTAAAGTACCAAACATGTTTAAATGGATGAGCTGGTTCTTCCCATGACTCACCCAATTCAATTAACAAAGGATGGGAAGTAATGCAGAGTGATTTGTGAACCTGTAATTTTTTAAAAATAACAACTATCATTTTTTTTACACTGTGTTGGGTATTACTTTGGATCTCAAACATTCTCAGAGTTATTTACCTGTTAAACAAATGTTATTGTGAAGATACAATTGCTTTCACTCCATTTATCAATAAATATGCCACTTGGCCTCATTTCACTACATGCTACTGTTGGTTTCCGTGAACATTTAAGAGACATCTGCTATTTTCTTAATCTGAAATAACAAAGGCTACCAGATTTGAATACTCCCTGCAATCTTGTTCATTACTGCATTATAGGGCAATAACTGGAAGACTGAAGAATAAACCTGCAAATGCAAATAAAATCTTGAAAGTTATAATGCAGCTCAATATTTTAGTGTTGATTGAAGTTTATATAACTGAGATATTGACTCTTATTACATTCAATTAGAGCACACACGCCGGTCTCAAAGCCTTTCTCTTTGACCGTGCCTTCAGCTCCCCTCTTGACTCTCTACCCCCTCCTCGCTCCCTCCCCTCACCCTGACCATTTTCCCCCCAAGGCTCGGGTCCTGACCCAACTGTCCAGCGCCTTGGGACGTCCTCCCAACGTGAAAGGCACTCTATAAATGGAATCTTTTGTTGTGGTTGTTATTGTTATAACTTCAAACAGGAAGGAGCTGACTTACTGAGGCCAATCACAGCCCCATTTAACCCCTAATCTAATTTGCAATATTGTGTGAATGCGTTGCTTCCGTCACACAAAGCATCTGTTAGACTCGCATCTCACTCGAGCTCATTTCCAGGTGTGACCCTCTTCCCACAATGAAGTTTGTTCCCTGAAAGTGGCCTTTGGTGAGGGAGGGCATTCAGTAACACTTGGGCTCAGGTTTGCTTTAACTCAAGGCAGTTTGCTGGCTGAGGCTGCTCCAGGCACAGGGAGACTAATAATAATAATACTTGCATTTGATATTGTGCTTTAACACGCCATTGAGACATCTCAAAACGCTTCACAGAATATAATGTAAAGTGAATTATCTGTATTTTGTGAACTCATCTCTTTCAGAAAGTTGTGAGTTCAAGCCCCATATGGGGTCTTCAAGAATATAGTCCAGCTAACACTCTGGCTAGAGAGTATTGCAATGTTGGAGGTGTTATCTTTTAGGTGAGATGTTAAACTGAGGTCCGAGTTGCCTGTTCAAGTGGAATTTAAAAATCTGTTGGCACAGGGAGTTTCTCCCGGTGGCCTGGTCAACAATCCCCTGGGTAAATATTAGTCATTCATTTCATGGCTGTTTGTTGGATGTCGCTGTGTGCAAATTGGTTGCTACATTTGTCTACAAATACACTGCACTTTAGAGAAGTCTCTTTGAGATGTTTTAATGGAATAGATCCAAAATTATATGCAAGGTTTATTATTATAAACGTCCATGAGGTGAGTCATTCACAGACAGTTTCCTCTTGCTAAAGTAATCCTCTGCTGTCCCCTGGTGGTCAATTGCAGATTTACTCTATTTATTCCAGGAACTAATTGGAAGGAGAATTATAACATGAGGGAAAAGTACCAGGAGAATGGCTCGGTGAGTACTAAGCGACTGGTTGTGATTTCCATCAATATGATTTTGGCCCCTGTTGGCTTTAGAGTTGTTTCCAAGAGGAGAAAAAACTCCAAAAAAGGCCGAGAAATGTGCCACTCTGTAGCTCAGGCCATTCAGCCCATTATTTTGTGTCCATTTTTATTCTCTATGAAGCAATCCATCCTAATCCCAGTTCCCTGTTCTTTCACCATGCAGCAAGTTCTTGGCATTGATCTGTAAGATCTTTTCATTTCAAAGCAGCTTTTAGAAACAATACAATACAAGAATCGTTGCACTTTATACAGTACATTATCACATCTGATCATCTCAAAGCGTTTACAGGATATGCTGTAGAGTGTAGTAACCGTGCATTCTGTAGGTGAATTCAGCAGTCAATTTGCAAACAATAATATCTCACCATGAAATGTGAGAATAGCCATGAAATGAATAACCAATTTTATTTGGGGGATTGTTGGCCAGACAACTGTTAGAAACTCATTTCTCTTATCAAATAGTATTGTGAATCAGTATTCCAGTCAGGAACCTCGGCGTTTTGTTCGACCCTGAGCTGTCCTTTCTCCCTCACATCCGCACCACAACTGGCACCGCCTTCCATCACCTCCGGAACATAGCCAGACTACGGCACTACCTCACCCCTCACGCTGCTGAAACTCTGGTCCACGCCTTTGTCACCTCAAGGCTGGACTATGGGAACTCTCTCCTCGCCGGCCTTCCCGGCACCTCCCTCCACAAGCTGCAGATCATTCAGAACTCTGCAGCTCGTGTACTGTCCCGCACCAGGCTTCGGAACCACATCACTCCCACCCTCGCTCGCCTCCACTGGCTCCCCATCCCCCAGAGGATTGATTTCAAGATCCTCATCCTCACCTACAAGGCCATTCACGGCCTTGCTCCCTCCTACCTCTCTGACCTACTATCCCCCTACCTACCTGCCCGTACCCTCCGTTCCTCCGGCTCCGGTCTGCTCCACATCCCCCGCCCCAATCACCCTACCATTGGTGGTCGGGCCTTCAGCCTCTCAGCCCCGAGGCTCTGGAACTCCATCCCCCAGTGCCTTCGCCTTGCTTCCTCCCTCTCCTCCTTCAAGGCCGGTCTCAAAACCTTTCTCTTTGACCGTGCCTTCAGCTCCCCTCTCGACTCTCTTCCCCCTCCTCGCTCCCTCCCTTCCCTCCCCTCACCCTGACCATTTCCCCCTCCTCGCTCCCTCCCTTCCCTCCCCTCACCATTTCCCCCCTGCTCGGGTCCTGACCCAACTGTGCAGCGCCTTGGGACGTCCTCCTGACGTGAAAGGCGCTTTATAAATGGAATCTTGTTGTTGTTGTTGTGAGATCTTTAATGTTCACTTGGAACAGGCAGACAGGGTCTCAGCTTAATATTTCATCCGAAGGACAGCACCTATGACAATGCAGTGCTTCCCCAGCCCTATTTAGTTTGAGCCACAGCCTTTTGACACCGAGATGAGACCGCTACCAGCTAACCCAGGCTCTGACACCAATTGTCGGCACCTATTGCCTTATCACAAGCAAAACAACATAGTGAAAATGCCTTCCATTAAACTCGTTCATTACGGTCTTCAATGTCAGGCTTCCCCCACCCAATCCGCAGCTCTTCCAAATTCCATACAGCTTGTCAACTCAGCATAATGCCCTTGAAACGCCAAGGACATCCTTGTGGATCTGTTGTAGAACTTGTTCAAAATTGCCCTATGACCATGATCGACAACTGACTTCAGTGAGCAGAAAGCAGGTTTAAGATTGTTTTTGTGTATTGTGATCCCAGCACAAAATGAATATCATTCCAGTTTTCTTCCACTGTGTGGCGCTCTGCTTCTACCAAGTTTCCCCACCAAGCACAGTTGGCTTAAATATATGAAATTTCTCTGTATGAATCATTTGGATTGTCCAATATGTTAGCTACAGGCCACATGTGGCGAATTGTTAATCCAAATGTGGCTAAAATGCGTTTTTAATCAGTAAATAAAAAATTTGTGATAGGGTACATAATCTCAATACTCAGATTTGCACAGTGTGTGCATTATTATTATTATGTGTACTTTGACCTTTTTGTGCATTTGTTGCTAAAATGGTAAGGCAAAAAGCTGCGTGTTTGAATGTTTTTTGATCGATGTGTGCGCTTTACTTTCTTGTTGCTGCTTATCGGTTATCCACTAAAATGGTGTGTAACATGGGTTAACATGTAACACATTTCAGATCCATGGAAACACCAGCAATATTGTATAGAGAGGGGAGCTGTCAATCATGAACAGCTAATAATGAGCAGCTCCAACACGGCACAACATGGCAAAGGGCAGGCGGCATCCAACCCCATTCTCAATACAGAGTAGGGGTGGGTCTGGCGCGTTTTGTGAAAGAAAAATAAGAGAAGACTGCAAATTTTTGCTCTGAATGCGAGTAGATGTCTGTTAGGTAGATGTTTATAATGTAAATATACGTGTAAATGCACATGTGAAGTACATTTACTTACATTGTATGAGTGTATGCGAGGCATTTTCTACTAAAATTATTGCATGCGACTAAAATTGTGTTGCTGGAGCCACACCTGTGGCTAGTCAGCAATTTCTATTGGACAACACTGCTCTAGCTCACCATCTTCCCAATACAATGTCAGAGCTGTTTTATAAATGAGTTCAACGTCCTGCCTCACTCAAGCATTGGAGCCATCACAAAGCATTAACTTAGCTTGTCTCTCTCTTCTCCAAGCGTGTTACCATGGAGCCCCAGCTCAATCCCAGGGAAATCTCGCTCAACTCCATCCCTTTTCTCTCCCACCTTCTTCCAAAAACATTGCAACACAGACAAAGAAATGAAACAAGCTACTACAAATATGACAATAGAATAAGAGACATTTAGATGCAGAGTGCATGAGAGGACATGTGTGAGAGAGTGACATTTAGTGACTAAGAGAAAAATAAATCAGAAAATAAAAGCTGTGAAGTAAATGGAGGATGTGTCAAGAAATGTTAGGTTGCGCAACAGCTTGCCTCCATTCTGAGTGTTTATGGTAATTGCAGATCATGTTGCTCAATGTTTTTTTTGATGATTCCTGTATTATTCATGCCTCACATGTGCCGTAAATAAAGGAAGTGAAAAATGAGAAGTGAGCACAGATGTTGTATCCGCTGAGCTCACATTAACCTTTTGGGTGTCTTCAAATGCTTTGATTTCATTTGGGATTAAGCTGAGATATGGCTCTGGCCCCTGGGATGCGAATACTAAAAGTGCTTTAGAATAATATCTTCGGGGCTCTTCATATATCTTACCTACAGCGCCCTCATCAAAATGAGATTGCATGAATAGTTTTTAATAAATGTAGACCGAATCACATGCATCATATTCAACAGCACACACACAATGACATAGTATTTCTTGATTTATTGGTTCTGTGGCTATTTGAGGCTAAGTTGTCTACTCCTGTCACTTTTTGATATAAGGATGGAAGCAAACGTCAAACTGACCTTAACCCTGTTCTTCAAAGTAAAATATCATCTTTAAATAAGTGTGTCTCGCTTTATGGATATTTTGCGAACTGGATACAAGATATAATAATCCTTGCATCTGGTAATCACATCACTGGGGTGC